AGCCTCATGTTTTTTTCACTATGACAATGTTTGTAGTTTGATACCAACATGGAAACAATTGGATTCACATCCAGATTGGTTTATCTCTCGACCACAGGTTACTCATCTTCCGTCGAAACACCGTCACTCATCCAGTGCTTGCCAGCGTCAGTCTGCAGAACACACGCAACATTATGTTCAGGTAAGACATCATTCACTCACCAAACAGACTAGGTTGTAGTTTAAAGTTAGTTAAACAAAAGCTTGAAGCTGGAAAATTGCAATTTCGATTAGACTTGGCTAAATATTGACAAGAGACTGAAGAGAGTTCAGTTTGTAGTACTAATGCTCAGGTCACATTTAAGGAACATTTCTAAATCCTCAGCTGTGCAGGGGCTTCAAGCCTCATGTAAAGCAAGAGTGGCCTACCTACTGCCTTCCTCAATCCTGCAAAATCCTCCAAAACCTGATGGATTTTGAAAGATCAAGAGGGATAAAAGTTGCATGTTTGCAAATCACAGTCAGATTGAGGAATCTTCATCTGTTATTCAGTTTTTGTTTCATCTCTAGAAGTGAATGCAAGTTTATGTCAATGTTTTTCCGTCCTTTGCTATATATCCAGGGTACGTGTGATTTCCTACGACAGCCAGGGACATGTCCTCTACCAGAAGAGGAGTCATCTGAAGGTATTGAGCCTCAGTAAGGATGAGGTAAGCCCCAAATCAGTCTGATCAAGTCATCAGCTTTCTTTGCAGTGTGAATGATTTGGTTTAGAACCAGTTTCTGTTCATTCACAGCCATGTCCAAAAATGGACATTATTGTCTTTGGCTACGGCTACACACTATGGTATACTAATGCCAAAAGCAGAAGCTGTAGCCACCAAATATCCAATGCGGGTACATCCATACTTTTTGTGAATAGCACCCTCAAGTGTTTATGCACCAAGACTATAGAGCTAGATCACAGCTCATTTGGTAGAGCTCTCAAACAGCAGTACAGGTGATTGTAGGCTCAATTCCTGGCCTAGATTCTCCACTAATTCTGGTTGAAAGATCTTTCAGACAAATGTTTGATGTCTTAGTGTATATCGCACCCCCCCCCCCGGAAGTGGTTGTGTCATACCAATTTTGTAAGCAGTTGTAAATACATGTATTTCTTCACCAGGAAGCTGTAGTCCTCAACATTGACAAGCACGTACAGTTCCCCATGCGAGTTAGCGTCAACATGCTCTGCACCACCCCAACTGGAATGGAAGAGTCCGCAGAGGACCCGGCCCCAGCCCCAAGCCAACCAATCGGGAGAGAGGAAGATTTATGAAAGTAAGAAATCCTGGACTTTGTTGTCTTTAAATCAGTTCAGTCTTTAAATTATTTCAAACTGTGATTGGCTGCTGACATACATGACACCTGCTTGCTCATCAGTGCAGAGTGCACTGTTTATTTCATTTTTTGCTTGCGGCCAATTGTTTGTTTAACCCTAAGTCTCCTCAATTCTCCAAAATCCTTCGGGCTCTGTTGGAGGATTTTGGAGGATTGAGGGTGAATGGCAAAAGTGCATGGCTGATTGCGAAGGATGCCATGTGTGAAGGTCGTGGGTTACTAACATTAGACCTTGTGTTGTTTTTGCTTAGCCATGCATAAATTCAGCCCGATATTTCTTTTGAATCAACCACACTGCTCAAGAATGCCATTCGCATTGCCTCAACATAATGACAGGAATTGCCGCAGGCTTTTAAAGGATTGAGGCAGTAGGCACACCTCCTAGTAACATTTTCAAGAAATTTTGGAGGATTTTGGAGGATTGAGGGAGAATCCAATTTTTTCGCCCCCGAAATCAAAGGATTGAGGAGGGTTCCTAGCAAAAAGGGCCTGGGGGTGAGGGTTAATCGATAAAGCCGGGAAAAAAGAAGGCTCTTTAATCAGGAAAAAAAAATTAGTCCTAAAGTAACAGTGATACAGCAGAAATATCCATTCATGCCCAACGAAGTATCCAGGTTGATCCAAATAAGACATATGTGTAACAATATGGTTCATTTGGATGCCTCTAAAATGGCATCCAGAGATATAAAAAATGATCAAAAGTTGTACTTTTAAAAATTTCATTCATCGATCATCTTCTTGAGACATGCTTGGCTCAAAGCACAACATTTTGTCTTGTGACAAATATTGTAGATTTCTAGCACAATATTGACCATAGTACTGCTAACTAAACTGCAAAAAACTTCTCTTCAAGTATACAGATACAAATTTTAAAATTTGACAAAAACACTTTTCCATTCAGTAACCTGGTAAACGATGCCATTCTAAATTGAGAAAACTTTGATTATGTCACCATTTGTGGGGTAACAACATGCAAGAAATACAACAGTAAGACTTTTACCGTTTAGTTGCAAACTACAAAATCAAAAAAATAGCAGGTTGTTTGTACATATTTATTTGTAATAAGTTTTGTGTAGAATAATTTAAAATGGTTTTATGTGTATTAATTTTCTTCTTAATGCTTGTCTTCATACCTGTGACACCGTGCCACAGAACACACTGAAAATTCTGAAATCACTGTTGAAGTTTTTTGGGGGTTTTGAAATAAAGACTTTTATTGTCTTGATTTTCTTGTAGAAATAGAACTTGTTTGTGAAATTTATGGAACCACACCTCCCTTCTTTAAATGTTCTGACTCAAATAAGGGTTTATTTCAATGGCCTGCTTAATGACCTTTAAATTCTTCTTGAGCTAGAACCCAATTTTTTAACATTTTGTTTTCAAGTTACCAAAAAAAATAAAACTAATCCTCCCTTTTTTCAGGAAATTAGAGCATTTGAAGAAATTGCTTTCATTTAAACAATCTGGGATTAAATCTTCACGAAAAAAAACAATGAGCCTATGATATGAAGACGTTTTTATAAATGCAGGGTAATAAATATGAGTTTAAAGTTGTATTAAATAACTTATTGGTTTGACAAGTATCCATGAAGTTTACTTATCTCTGGGCTTTCTTCTTGATTTGAGACATTAGTTTCCAATTTTCAAGTGAAATTTCTTTGCTCTAATCACAGGATATTGGTAAGGATGATATCTTGACCTGCCAAAAGTCCGTGTTAGAGGTTTCGTTAGTGTTTTCATTGGAAAAGAACCAACATAACTTACACAAGTCAAATGTGTTTATTTTTATGGACCCAATTGATTGTTCGTCTGGTTGAAAACCAAGGTGCGTAACTTTTTTCCTTGTGCTTTAGACCAACAAAATGAAAAAAAAAAAGATTGGAAAGAACATACACATGGGTAAAAGATTTTGTGTACACTTAAACTTCGTGGTCAGAGTAGAAGCAGTAAAATATAACATCCTTTTTTTTAGTTTATCATATGGGCTAACAAGACTTTGTCAGGCTCCAGCCCCCTCAAGTCATTAAGTCTCTTGCAGAAACAGAGTTTGGATAGCAGACTTGACCTGACTGTAGTCACATGTAGTATAAAATGTAGCCGCTTGCTACAACAGTACAAGGTCAGACTGTGTCTGAAAGAGGCATTCTGTAAGAGGACAATTCACTTTGGCGTTCGGTTTTTGTCTGGTTGAAGACAGAATATTGAAATGGAAGTTTGTCCATCAGATTTGATGTGGTTGTAGTCCTGTTTTGATTTGTTGCTTGAAAGCTGAGCAGGTTGATACAGACTTTGGTCTGGTCCCAGTCACCCAGGATGTGTTTTCTGCTGCTTGTATGTTGGATAACAGACCCTGGTCAGGTTCAGTTGATCCACAGTCCATTATGTGTTGCCTTAAGGAGGTTGGGTGACAGACTTGCGTCTAGCCCCTGTCACCACTGTAGACAGCGTCTGTTGCTTGTAGTGCTGCCAGTCTGTATGGGCCTGCAGGTGCTCCTGCAACGTTTCTTGAAGTGGGTATGGACGGACGATCTCCTTCAGGTGACGGATGACGTACTGGTTGGCGTGTTCCAGGAAGAATCTCTTGTTCAGCATGATGACCTCTGCACCCCGGCTGACCAGACTGAGGCTAGGCTGCCTGGCATCGATTATCCCAGCCTCAGAGCACAGGAATGGCAGGCCCTACCAAGGTTGGAAAAGGGAGGTGGATTTTCACATCAGTTTTACTGGATGAAAAGTATGTCAGCAGAGAAAATGGCAAAGGTAATACACGATGCATATTCATGTATACTCGGTGTTTGTCCAAGAGCTTGCGAAAAAAATTCACAAGCTCACTCGAACTCATGACCTCCTGTTTACTAGTGCAGATGTCTCCACCACTGACCTTGCCAGGGTGGGCTGGCCAGTCCAAGTCAGATGTAGCAGCAGGTACCTCAAACTATTTCAAGATGTAGTTTTTTACAGTCTTGGACAAGCACTGAGTATACAGTGTTCATGAATATACATGATGAACAGTGTACGATGTTTATGAATGTATATGAAAATAAGGGCAAACCCACAATTGAAATTAATATCTCCCCAACGCAAAGTACATCTTGAAAGGTAATACATTTGAATTTCATTCATTCTTCCGTTAATAACCTCTGTGGTCATGTAAGAAGTACATGTACTTTTCACGATTTCAGGCGTATACTTACAAAAACATCCTTTGGTAGCAACATGTCCAGTTGGACAAAGACAACCTTCTTGTCACCATCTCTAGACTGAAATAATAAGGAAGTGAAGCAAAACATACAGACAGCATTGAAGTTACCAGGTGTCAAAATACCAGAAACCTTCAAGCAAAGTCCCATCAGGTACATGTATTGCCCTTCAAAGTTAGCCCTGTGGAAACTGACTTACCCTTGTATCATCAAGTGATGAAGGCACCCTCAGACTGCTCAGGTCTGGTTCCTTGACTGATGATCGCCGTCTTCGACTGTCGATTTTGGGACCTGTAAACAACAAATTCAAGGGCACTGACTCTGTGGTACATGTATGTACACTGGTTTGAGAATAAATTAAGAACAGTTGAAAAAATCAGTCACTGATTGCGAACAATTAATAAGAATTTCCTAATTGTTGCCTTGCAAAAAGGTTAGACAATGAAAATTACACCACAACGGTTAAGTTAAAACTTTTCTTGGCTTGGATGCTCATATACATCATCAGTGGTGGTTTAAGGAGAGTTTAAAGATGTTTAAGTAGTATTACTTTCATGGGCCCTCATTTTGGTGTGTTCCTTTGCAAACATGCTTCCAGTTTGTGCCCATTCAGATGAAAACCACTAGTTTTTGTTTTAATACAAAGTCTATAATAAATGTTGTCACTAAATGTCTTCTTCATGCCCTTAGACTCACCAACATTGAGTCCATTGGGAGCAAATTTCTCATTCATGTTGGGGTCAAGGATCGTGCTACTTCGTCTCTGCTGCCCTGGTCTGGCTTCTGACAATTCCTTGATCACTTGGCAAGAACCCTGGAATATGAACAGATACTGAAATCCATAAATGGAATTCCATTAACTGTGGTGATATATCATGTAGAATGTGTAGAAAAGGAGATTTACAATGAGTAACTTACAGACTTGACAATGTACAGCCAGTCTGACTGGTTGCTGTCCGTGGAAATAACTGCCCCTCGTCTGCAAAGAAAATTAAATTAGAAACTTACATTGCGTTTGAGAGGACATGGTCTTTGGTAGGCACTGATGACTTTACATGGCTTGGTTGATCTGAATTTGCATTGTTACCTACTTGAAATAATGGAAGAGTCCCATCTGGGGATGATCATTGAGTTTCCGCACGGGCCATCCCTTCAAAAAAGGGAGTATCCTGAACAAGAACAAATTAAGGTTTTTAAAAATCACGACCTATTGTAATAGTCAATATTTGCGATGCTTACAGTTCTGTGTGGGATACATTTATATGTTCAACACACGTGAGATAGGAAAACACCTTGTTTTTAAAGCAGCCAAAGGCTGAAGAAGGAGTTGTAGGGGGTGTGGGTTCCGCCTCCTTCAGTGATTATTTGTTCAGCTTTTGCATGAACCAACATACCTCAGGAATTTCAGATGTTCCATCTCTTTTCCATGATCACCTTCACCCATAAACATGTCAAAGAAATCCTACAATGGACAAAAACCCAGATAAAAGTAAAAGAAACCCTGTTAAGTCATGGCTTTCACTTTTGTTTGAATATCAAAATGTTTACATGTTTATTAAATTTTTTTTTCATTTTACTTTGACTTGAGTCAAAGTATTGGTATTGCCGGATATTAACCGGTCTCTAAGAAGTGAAATGGTATGACACTCTAACCGGTTACCTGCGTTGTTGGTTCAGACGTATGTTTTCATGATAAAGGTACATGCATAATGTAATGTACCGCAAAGACAACAATATTTGGCAAATTCATATAGTTGTTTGGAATATGACACATATTGTATGTTGTTCTGAGCTAGAGCAGCTTTCATATTCACAATAAATCCCTACCTCCATCTCTATTGCGATGAGCTCACAGGGCACCTCGGCGGTGATGGTGTGAGTTCGTTTGATGCTATGCAGTAGTTCTCGTTCTCCGAAGCATTCTCCCTTGCGTAAGATCTGCACCACTTTGGCCGTGGGTTCCTTGCTCACCGGATCCACACCAGAACATGTCACAGCAGCTAGACACGAAGCCAGTCGTGACAAAGAATTTTACAAACTCTCCAAAAATATTGGAGAAATAGGCTCTTCTCTATTTTACGAGTAGGCCTAATCACTTTGCAGCGGAATAGAGAAGTTCTGAAGCTAAATATAAACGTTGATCCTTGAAAAAAAAACCCGGATGGATGGATGGTGCGTTTTTTATTTGATGAACCACATTTTCCTTTAACTTGTAAGTCACGCGCCGGAGTGGGGGGGGGATTGAAGATTATCTTACCCGATCCAGTGATGAGGAAGTAGAAAATTTCAGCATTATGACCCTCACGAATGATGACCCTCTTGGCTGGAATACTGTAAACAAAAAATCCAAAATATGACCCTTATGCAGTGGCCAAAAAAGTTGCAAATGGTTTTGACCCCGCTGGGCCTCTCCTTCGTTTGAGGCTACGGACGGCAGCTATCTTTCTGGTCAGTGGGATATGCCCAAAAGGTCTACTTATGGAACAAAAACCACTGATTGGGAAGATGGCAGCCACGCTTAACCTCTGAAATAATCTGTTCTGTTATTTCTGTCGTTTTCTCTTATACTTTTGTAAACTTACGTGTATATCAAGCATTCCATTACCTGTAGCAGCTTGAAGTAGTGTAGGGTACGTGCGTGTAAAGACAACACTTCGATGGAGTACGATGTGTTTCTGAGCAAGACACTTAGAGCATTGATAATAATTTATGGATAAGCACTTTATCATTGCCGGTGTCTCTGGGGAAGCAGCAACTTACTTGTAGAAGAATGCCACGCGCACCAGTTTCTCCTGGATGTGCAGAGGATATTCAGCAAAAGATGAGATAGACTGTAGACCATGGAGAGCCTTGGCAGACAAAAATAAGTGATGAAAAATACTGGACAGATTTAGAATGTTTGAATTTATGAAGACCTATATACACTGGACAGCAAAAGAAACTTGCCACTTCTGTCAAAGGCCACATATAAAAATTTACTCCATAGAAATAAACAATTTTTGTGCACAGGTATGCTGCAATACCCCTACTAATCACATAGTGGAGAGTGCTTTTGTGTGTGACGTTTGATTCAGTAACCAAGTTGCTGTGCATGTCAATTTCTTCTTTGTTATAAAGATAATCACTTGCTTTTGGGCATGTGATTAGTAAGGGGTATTGCAGCATACCTGTGTACAAAAATTGTTTATTTCCATGGAGTGAATGTTTATGTGTGGCCTTTGACAGAAGTGGCTAGTTTCTTATGCTGTCCATTGTACATGTACTTTCCTGTCATTGCATCACAACCGATGAAAACTCTCAGACACAATTCCCAACACATCTTAATTGTTTGTACCATAACTGAATTCGTAACATTTTCATTGAAATCCTGCAGGTGGCTTATCCTCATAGGACCATTGTTCTTTGGCATGTTTAGCCCCAGTCTTCCCCTACCTCATAAGCCCTCCCTCCTTGAGGGCGTCTGTCTTCCAGTTTGCATACCCTTTGTTGCTTACCAGTTGTAACTGGGCAGGTGTTCTGTCTTCTTGTTCCAGGCTTAGCACGTTCTTCACATCTTGCGTGATGCGCGTCTAGTCATTTTAGAAACACATTTCCAATATCCGTAAATAAGAAGCGCAGATGGCATCAGTTCAACTCAGTAAGACCATTCAATCGTTTTTAAAACCCTTGAAACTTGGTGATTTCCCACAAATATATTTATTTCAAATAAAAATAATCTTGTTGTCGAAAATCAAAACAAAAGAAAACGTCGGTAAAGAGATGTTACCTCTCTCTTTGCGCGGAAATACTTTTTATCGAAGGTCAGTTGTTCGATGGTCACTCCATCCACGCCCTCGATGTGAGAATTGAAGGACAAGACCTGGTCCTCTTCCTCCACTTCGGCCGTACCCCTGTAACAATTTTGTTCGCGAAGTTAGCCAGTCAAATCAAATCGTTTCTAAACAAAACCAACAGTTTAAATCATCAAGTCCAGTCACAACCTGTTCAAAATGAACTGCAACTTTTCCATTCCTTTTTAAGTTTGCAATCGTTCATCCCCGGCCACTTGACCCCATACTCATGGTTTTACTTTCAAGGGATTAGACAAATGTTCTGTATCAGAGTGAAACTAAAGATACACAGTCCATGCTCGCCTGAAAAAAACTCCCGCCTTATAACGATCGTGATGACGATGATCCAAAGACATCAAAACTTGAATAAATGGAATCAGTGAAAGAAAAACAACCACGTGATACACTTTTGATTTTCCAAGAATGATTTCGTTATTTCAGAGGAGATGGATGTTTGTTCATACTTTGACATTTATTTTATTGAAAAAAAAAAGCTGCCTGAGGTAAATAAACGGAGTTTGAATTAGTAACATCACCAAAACAAAATTAAGCGAGGATATTTGCCTGCTGGTGTAACTGTTTATACAACCAAGTCACTGACATTTTCTGCAGCCAAAAAAAAGGTTTAAAGCAGTCGTCTCCCTGGAGATCTCGAAACAAAAACAGCCTGGAAGTGTTTGACGATGCAAAAATAACACCAAACTTTACAATTACTACGTGCTAAAGAGGGGAACGACTTGTCAAGAAATTACTAAATATGCTTTCCGGGTATAGCGACAGCGTCAACAAATTCGCACATACATGTAGATAATAATGCGTCGGTGGTCGGCGTAATTTTTGACTTCGAGCGAGAAAAAATGCCACTAAGTAAACAGGAACTAGCTTTCGTTTTCTGGGGTTTCAATCTAAGGGAGTAAACACAGAAGTGACAACTTAGCGACTGGGGCGGTTCATTAGAAGGTCTCCGTCGTTTTTGGCGTCCTGTGGTTGTAAACATGACCTCAGGACAGCAGAAAATTGTGCTTTTGTGTCACCCTTCGTAGCTGCGAGTTGAGCCAGTAACGCGCACCTAACCTAATAAATGTGACAGGTTTGACATCGACACGATAATTGAGTCGTAAAACCAAACAAAATTGACACCTGTCTAAACTTGTGTTTCTTGTATTCCACTTCGATTAATATATAAACCATGTTATTTTCCGCCTGTGGTTTCGTAAAATATCGGAACTGCAGCGGATGACGCTACAGGGGTCCGAAAACTCAATTTTTACTCTGCAGATAGTCGGGAAATTAACTATTCTCCGAAAATCTTGCAGGATCATTTTGCGAAACAGCCATTCAGACAAACCAGTACTAAGCAGAAGGCACTCACAAATTTATTTTGAATTTGCTTTTCTGTTCTTGCGATTTCTTATTTTCAGTTTTTTAAAGTAACCGAAGATAAAACCGGTACCGGTACTCAACTACGGTGCACTCGTGGACAGTTTCCACTGTGAAATTATCCATAAAGAATCGAAGCTGGTGGTTTGGTCATCAAACTTTGCCAACTCACTGCCTTATACACAATTCGGCAGGAGGCTTGTCCTCTTTTTTGGAGAGGGAACCTTGATGGGTCATCGTCATTATTATAGTGTGGATTTAGCGGAAGCCATGAAAGTGACGCGCCGTTGTCCTGGCTTCAAACTCCGAGTCGGTTGGCATCGAAGCGACACATGATACGTGCGTGGCCTCTGTTTTCCGTAACAAACACTGCATGTACATGTCCATGTATGTTGTTCCAGTTGCAGACGCTACAACTGAGTTACTGCTTGTCGCAGTGAACGGAGAAGAAATGATTTGCCTTAAAGAGATCGCAATATCGACCACCACCACCCCCCCACCAGGCTGAAAGCACACAGAAAGACTTTGAATGACTTTTATTGGGGAAACTATACAGTCAAGCAGACGCTATTGAATTATTGTCCGTATAAGCCGCCAAAGCTCTGTGTACAGAGCAACCTGAGACTAAAGTCTCAAAAAACAGTTTGGTCTTGGAAGTGGTCGTCCCCAAATTATCCACTTTGGTCAGCTTTGCGGGCGTGTCGTCTCATAACTCATAGGTTTATTGCATTAGAAATTGTGTTCGGCTTGCCATCAAGCCCGGATGTGCATTGTGTGTTCGGTTCCCGTTTGAGACAGGCGTTGGCATGGAGACAGGAAACCATACAAGCCAAAAAGAACAGAAAAACAGCTATATGAATGAGATGTGAACAGGCGAGGTAGAACGGAAGGCAAACTGGCTATTTCCCAAGTTTTGGCTTTGTTTGAGACTTTGGCATAATCGTGGACGCGTTTATTGTTCAGATGAAAATAAATACAGCGTGTCTCAAAATGTGGCTTCATGTTACGAGGTTTACTAATGCAAAAAAACCCGGAGTTGCCTTGAGTTGGGGGGAGGTGTTCATCTCAGGGAAACTAATTAACGAAACCAAATCAGAGCTCCGTTATGAAATCTGCGAATGGGCCAGTCTACGATATTGGTCTCAAGATACCTGCCAGTTCCTTTCAAACAAATTGTGCTTTTTAGGAGAGTTTCTCCTGGGATCAAACGTCAGACTCTTTTTGATGTCTCCTGTCGACCCCTTTATTTTAGGGCATTAAGTCAAAAATTGTCAACCTGCAATGTTGGGTTTTGCCTGTCGCCGAAGTAGGACTGCACACTAACGTGTGATGAGAAAAATGTACTGATTTGTTCTCTTGGTAAAGTTTCAATCAGTTACCACCCGAAATTGGGTCGTGACGATTTAATAACTGTATATCTGTTATCATGACAACGGAAAACTTACCTGTTCAGGGTAATCTGCATGATGATCATGCGCACTGCTCGGATGAACTTCCATCTCGCCTGTGAAAGATAAAACAACAAAACGAGGGAAATCACAAGATGGACATCAAATATCAAATTAACAAAACGGATGAGTTGAGCGTCATGGGTCAGACTTTGGTCCAATGGATGGACCAATATCTGGACGGATTAATGAACATCATTGTTATGGGACCGTCAGTCATTTTCTCTTGAAGAGGACACGTGCTGTCCCTGTTTATATCGATCGATCTGGAGGAGAAATGGATATATAAACCAAACGAGTCTCGAATTCACAGAATTGAAATCTCCCCAGGTCAATTTGTAAAGATTGAGACATAAACGACCATACATACCTGTATGAAAGGCTGTAATACGCCGATTTTGTTAACTCGGAAAAAGGATCTTCTACGGAATTCTCTCTTTTATCCAAGAGTAAAATTCCACTGTACATCAACTGAAAATTTGGACCGTTATTAATGAAAATGCCACTAGCTCTTGCCGAAAGAGGTTGATCAGGACTTTCAGCTGGACAGAGTTAAATTTGCCTCTTTGGAAATAAAACCAGTGGTGTAGAAGCATTTCCACGGGTTAGATATTATCAAAAGAAGACTTAAAACTCACAAGTCTCACACAAATATTTTGCAAATGAAAAGATGGTCGTCAACCAAGTTTACGGCGTCAAAACAAGCTTGACTTATTTGTCAGGACACGGATATCCCAAAACTGATTATCTTACTTCTTTTGGTGTCATTATCGGTTCAAATTCTGTCTAGACCGCCATATCACAGTTTCCCAGCTTTCCAAATGGACAGTAATAATTCTAGTTATTGTTCCATGGGATTGATGTGTTGCGACAATGTCGCCTGTTCGTGTCAGTCACTCGTTCCGGCAGCTCTACCGTTGTAACCTGTGCAGAATTTCGGATTATACTCCGCACTTGTCGGTATTGTTCTGACGGAAGCCTCTTCCCTCTTAAGCTATTAGAACTCTGTAAATCTCCAAGATGTCGACAGATTAAAGGGCAGGTGCCATCCTTCAAGGGGATACTAACATCTTAGGCCTTCTTTTCCATAGCGTCAGACTGATTCACTTTATACCCCTCTGCAAAAGAAAAAAATATTCATTTTTCATGGTTTTGATTAACTTTTGCGTTCGAAGCAGTCTTCGGGATTCTTGGCTCAAACTAAGGAATTTCTTTGTTCTTTTTAAAGACACTTTGGAAGTACCATTCAAATCAAGAAAGGGTGTTACAATAAATTTCCAGTTGATGATATAAATACCTTGCAAGTTCAGCTTCCTTGAAAACAGACTGATGATTTGATGTCATCAACGGCACCTCTCGTTTACTAATTGGAAAACCACAGTTTCTGTTCTTTCACAACGTGATGACGCATCCCCCGAGCAAATCAGCGCTTGCTCCCTGGAGTCACAAATTTTTTCCACTTAAGAAACTTGTTTCTTAATTGGAAAACGTGTTTCCTGATTGATTCCAAGCTCTAAAGGCGTATAATTCAATTTATTCTCCCTCGGAATGACATTCCTTGTTACAGTCTGTTTTCTTGTCACCGAAATAACTCCTGAATGATCTCCTACTTCACAGTGGTCAACAAACAGCCGTGTGCGCTCAATTATTGCGTGCCAGGGACATACACACTGATTTTCATCCCGTCGAGAAAGGGCGGATCACCTGGACACTGACTTGGATAACAAAGGCACCAGCGGAGCGTGGTTTCGAACAGGTTTGCGAACGTGGTAACTTACGTAACTGGATACAAAAGGCAATGATGATTTGTCAGGGGAGAAGATTGGTGGATAAATCCGGTTTATAGCCCGTGGCAAATTTGTTTCTCTTGTGGAGAAGTGATAGGACTATCGTGAGTTTTGAAGGTCCGCTTGTCGATGACATCGCCAAATTTAAACCGAGGTCGTGGTGTCAAAACCATACAACTACCTGTGTAAAGCGCAATGCCGCTGTCTGTTTTGGATCTTAATATCAAAGTGAAAGAGTTAATGGAATAATAACCTTCCGTTTCTTATTAGGACACATTTTGTTTTGCACCTTATTGAGTCTGAAGCAAACCCTGCCGTATGAAACCGCGACCTTCCACCGCATCGCATGCTGTTTATTATTAAAGGAATCGGGCGCCCGTTGCGAAACCTCACTTGCCAGAGGCAGGCACGGCAAATAGGCAGGATGCGAGCGAACATGGAGGGATAAGAATTCTCCATGATGCAAGCAGAGTGCATATGTCTGTCAAAATAGTCATGTTAGCACCTGAAATAGATACTTGTAGAACTGATCACCAGTGATTGAAACAAATAAACATTTGACCCAACCCCCTCAATTTTCCCTTTACATTTTGAGGAACAGGGACATTGTATGCAGTTGATATATTGATTCATAGGTGTTGTCATTTTGATGTGTTGGACGCAGAGCAGAAGCGGATGCAGGGGGCCTGGGTGGCGCACGCCCCCTTTTTTCACTCCCCCTCCCCCTTTGGAAAATCCTGGATCCGCCCCTGCAGAGAATATTAACAGGCGACAAGAAAATTTTTTTAAGCTCAAAAGGTCTGAGCAAAGTAGCTTCATGAACAGTTAAAGTGTCCTGAAGGTCTACTGCATCAACGATAGACCATTTATAAAATTGTTCTTCTTGATTTGCTTTCCATGTTATTAAAAATGATATTTTGGGGGCTTTTTGAGTACTACAAGGTGACCGTCTAATTTGGGCAGGCGGGTGCGGCTCAATAAGCGTAGAAAATGGAAGAAGAGCCGAGGGGAACCTGACTTAAAGTTGAGTACCAACTCAAGTACTTTACAAACAAAACTGAGAACAACCGAGGAATAATCCGAAACCCCGGCCCTCAACATGGCTCCAGGAAGCGAAACTAAAAATGACTGAGAAATCTGTTCCCATAATCCGACCCTCGAAAGGGATAACCGCAAGTTTGCATACAGGGAATCATCCTTGAGTGATCTAGCTAGTGGCAGAAATGTAAGTCCACTATTCTTCCGTGACTAATATCTGTTTCCAAACCGCCTCATTTGGGCACAGCTGCGCGTACTTGGGCAGAATTAGTTACTTGAGATCCGTACTGCCATGCTCTTATAGATTCAGTTCCCTCTGTTGGTGGAGCAGTTCGATTCAATTTGATAATCCTAACCCAAGGTCGTTAGGCAATTATGTCAGCTTCTCTCACTTTGCGTTTCAAACTTTCCGTGAAAAAGTAAAACTGAGAAATCCTTGAATGGAAACCTCGAGGAATTGACACCGGTTTAAAGTAACTTTTTTTCACGAATTAGCTAGAAATGCGTAATAGGGTTTTTAGGACACGAATACACGAACCACAATTTTATTTCGTGTTACAGTGACTTCCAATCTACACTGCAGTAGCAGAATTGAAGGGAGAAATTGAAACATTTTAATTATTTTATGCTTCGAAATTTCTTTGTGACCCAACGGTGGTGCCATGCAAGTGATTGTAACCCAGATCTTACTCTTAAAAATCCTCATTCGTCTTTCAAGCTAGAATACTTACAACTCTTTTGACAGTCATATTTTTAGATTTTTCATACATCTTTCCAGACCTTCGCCACAAATTAACTGTCGGCTGCCTAAGCGAGGGCGTGTCCTATCACTCCACCCCAAACAATCACCAACGGTCCAAAGTTAGAGCGACCTCTTTTGGCCACAAATTCCACTCACTTTCTTATGACGCATGCGTTGTCGTATCAATTCATTCAAAATGGCGTGTATTTCATGGTGATTGCTGCAAATGCATTCTGTACAAAGGAAGTTAAACTTTCCCGACTATTTCTTGTTAAGTGACGAAACCGGCGATTGCGGTAAGCACTAATTGTTGGGAATTTACCAAAGCGAGACAACACGTAAAATTTAAGAAAACGTGTGCCTGTGAACAGCGTAATTATTTGAATTTGCAAGGCAAGTGTGTGTGAGTTGCCAGGCTTCTTTTTTTGTCAGTTGTCACAGTGCTACTGAGTGCAACTGACCGTCGACATTTTTTCAATATCGGTTCGCCGATTGATTATTGCAAGTCGGTGACTCATGGAAATAAAAGCATAGAATTCAATGTAATTTTCCCTTCATTGATGATAAACATCATGTTTGATCAATTCAAACTAAACATGGCATGCATGCATGAGCATATCATGAAAACGAAATGGGCATAGGCCTGTTGTCGATGATGGGTAGTCATCATCATGATCATGGTCAGATAATCTGATTATGGAAACCATGTAAGGAAAATGCTTAGAAATCCATATTTTTACATTATTTTTGGTCATATTTGATGCTTGTCATTGACACATTACTTTACAATAAGGCTTAGGGCTTAGGCCTCCTTCCAGAACCGTATGGCCATGCACAAACTCCCATAAACACATTTTGGCTGTTTTGATTTTGCCAACTTACTCTTCCATCACAGGTATTTGTGCAACCAAATTTCATACATGCCTTCTTGGTGAAGTTCGATGTCAGATGGGGAGGTTTATTCACGTTATATCTTCTTTAACATGGTGAAATTGTTGAGCATTTTGCCGATCCACACTGCAGAAAATGAGCAGCATCACTTTAAGTGGTTTAAACAAGTACCAACTTACTGTCATTCATGAAGCGTTAAATATTCACAGGAAGGGAATTTCTTCAAAACTGGTTGAAGTATGAAAGAGAAATTTGTATTTATATTCTTACATCTTTGTTTTGATGTTGAATTGGTCAGGAGTTAGGTGTGCTTTAAAATGAGTTTAATTTTTCTCTTTTTTAATACACATGAATAGAGAAATTAAAACTTTCAAAATACAATTTTGTTGCATATTATCATTGACACTAATTTTTAGATATGACCATTTTGCATGTAGGTCAGTGTTATCATTATGCCAAGATATGGTGCCAAGACTTACAGCCGTACATTACGTGCAGGCACATCTGCCAATAAACAATTTGACGATCTTTTCACTGACTCTAACGCCCGTCGACGACCGGTGACACGCTCTTCTCCCACGAAAGCATCGCCCACCAAAACCTCCCCAATGAAATCCCACAATGCAGTGGTGAAACAGACAGCCCCTGGGAACGCAGTACGGTCTACACGGAACTCTGAGATGGATACCCTCGGCAGTCCTAAGAGACGGCGAATGGATAGTGGAAGCGACGACCCATTTAGTTTTAGTAGTGACGATGATGCATCACGCTCCCCTATTAAGAGGAGTGATGCACGGACAGTCACCACATCCCCCAACAAATTCTCTGGACTTGAGAGTCAGCCGGCAATGAGACAAACGAGGGCAAGCAGTGCCCAGGCACTAGCCGACAGCAAGATACAAACCCGATCCTCTGGAAATACCAAGCCGATAGCACTGGGGGACCGAACGAAAAAGCAAGCATCCATCATGCGGTATGCTAAGAAGCTCTCCCACAACGAGTCTGATCGCTCAGCTCCATACAAAGCGACCTCAGCCCTGTCCAATTCCAATGATGCAGTGAGAACGATAGTGGCTGCACCCTCTAACAGCCGCTCAAATGCTGACAAGCCACACCCGAAGTCCGCATCCACGAACTCTGTGGAGTCTCTCTCTCAGGTCAGCAATTCCTCAGAGTCGAGCAGTGCCCTCTATAGTCTAAACAGCACACCAAACTCAGGCAGACTATCTCCCTCACAAGTCCTGAATTCCGTCATTACCCGGGCCAGCTCCAGTGAAGATGATGCCGTTATGCTCCTTTCTGATGGAGATGGCACCCAATCAGTCATATCAATCTCAGACCCCCAGTTGAGTTCTACGACCAATCAGACTTCAAGCAAACCTTCCAATCCCTTGCAAGCACCCTCGCAGAAAACCATACCCCCCAAGCCTCAACAGGCAAGTTTACCATCTGTCACAGTCTCGGCCAAAGACGAATTTGACTTCACAGATAGCGGGGAGTCAGATGCCGAAGACAACCCAGATACGTCCAATGCAATCACTGACTTCAAGGACAACATGGCTAAGAAAATTTTCAATAGCCCCAAAAAGGTAAAATCAAATTTCGTCATCAGATTCAACTTTTCATTTTACAGTCTTTGTGTTCTCAGTGTAAATTGTACATATCCAGTATATCAGCCATTGAAATGTGATTATACTACATGACAGACTGAATCAAAATGACTTCTCTCCAAGGTGTTTAAATGAAAGGACTAATTGTAATTTACCAGATGCATTGATTTGGTTGAGCCAAAAAAGTGACTGAGATAGGATTCAATTAGTAAAAGTCTGCACTTCCTGGGTAACTTGCGATAAAGGTTCAGGTTTACGATTTCTTTGTGTTTTTTCCTTAGTCACCTGCTAAAGCTCGCTACAATGCTCGGTCCTGGAACACACCCAGCAGCCCTGAGGAACCAGAGGTAATGTACATTGTCATTCCATGATGGGATTGGTCTAGTACCTGTAGTAGAATGTTGTTAGATTCCAAAGTGTTAAGCTCTGCCACTTTTGCTTTGCATTACACTGACTTGATGTCCCAAGAGCAAAGCATTTCAGCAAAAAAGAAGTAAGTCAAGATTAACGTCCAGCGCATAGACATTGATGAAATGAAATGTACGACTTAGAGAAGTACTGTAGCGCCTTAAGCATTGACGGTGCGCATGACATACACGATGTGCTGTTTTCATGATGCGTCATACACGGTGTGACCACATGCACATATGGTCTATAAGGTGATCCATACTTTTAAACTTTGTTACAAGGACCAGCATTTTTCTTGGCAACATAGCTTTTTTCCAGCTAAAACTATGGATTTGTTAATGTTGCTTTTGTTGCACATTCAACGTCTTTGCCCAACAGGAAAAGAGTGTAATGAAAAAGCCTAAATCACAGCCATCCCTGAGAAAATATCAGTCAGATCCTTCCAGTCGGGCATCGACTAGTGGCTACAGCAGTCGTGGTGCTAGACCAGAGGTCAAAGGTGGTGTCAAGGGGCTCACCAGGCAGGTTACCTATCCGACCAAGGTGAACCATTCCATTGTGACCTCGTTGAAGTGTGACAAACAGGAGAAAGGGGTAAGCAGACGAAGAAAATCTTGCGCTCCAAAAGTTTCCCTCAGAAAGCAGCCTTCAGTTCAAGGAGGATTTCAATGAATTCTTTGACACGCAAGCCTAGCTGAAAAGAAATTGGTCATATGGCAGCTAAGATCAGTGGAGAGCTTAAGTGAACAGCAGATATGGCTAACAGAGAACATGTACAGTCAATACCAAGGTTCCCACGGTAATTGAATATCCTGGAAAAAATATCTTGGAATGCCACAGACAATTCCGAAAAATAGTTTGCCATGGAATCCTACTGAAAGAGGGTAAAAAGTCGTGCAAATCGAGATGATGTAATGGTTATTTTTTGATGAGCTGGTTTTGATTTAATACAAGAATAATGATAACTGTAAAGGTTATTCTTGGCAGTCTTAATCAGTGACTATGGCAGTCTTCCAGGTCATCATACAAAACAACTTTTCTTTGTAAAATGGCATTAAATGTCATAGTACTGGAAAACCCTGGTAAAATCATGGAATTTGGTTTTCAGATTTCTGTGGGAATCTAACCATTCACTGAACTTTCCTCTATCCTGTAGCTCTATACCGTTGTACAGCATGTCAAGCAAGCCACTCAGTGTCAGGAGTCAGGAGAGAGCCAACAGTATGCGGACGACATTGAATATCTCCGAGACGGCTTGGACCCGATGGTTTCCACATCCACGCGCTGCCTCAGGTATTTTTTCCCCATTCACTAGCCTCCCATGTCAACAGAATAAGTCAATAATCAAAACCTGATTTTGAGTGGCCAGCTGTTAGCAAGGGCCAATTGTTATAAAGATGGTGAGTAAATAACTCTGACGGTTCTAAGAAGTAATTGGTCTGAAGCCTGATCTGAAATGCCCCCCCCTCCCTTTTTTAATCCTCACTGATGTGAATTTGTTTTCACGCCTCCAGTACTCTCAGCTTAGTTGAGAAGTGTGCGGTGCCTGCATTCCGTCTTCACCTGCGTGCTCATGGGACCATTAGTAAGCTGTTTGCTGCCCTCAGGGATGCAGACCACTTTCCAGTAAGTCATACCATGATTGATAGCAGCCGGAAAATCTAGGATGGTGATTGGACAATACAAACTAAGAGCTTGAAATCACCACTTGACTCCCTCCTGGCCGTACCGATATTTTCGGCCCATCTCGTGGGAGGGTGGTCATTACATGTTTCCGAAGTCACCATCATAAGTTGATGTAACTGGTCAGTTTATCACAAGGCATTCGGTCTTGAGTCAAGTCTTTAGCTGTTGGAATTTAATTTGTTGACATTGTCTATTGTCATTGTTCACCCCTGTTGCTTCAACATGTCCAACCTTTCCTGACTTGTTCCTTTACTCTTGATTTGACTATACCTGTATCCCTGTCTCACATCCTAAAACCAAGGTTTTGACTATCTTTATTCTCAGAGCCTCGCTTTATGCACTGCCGGCCTGATGTACATGTTGAGTCGCGACCGTCTCAACATGGACTTGGACCGGGACAGCCTGGGTCTGCTTGTCCGGCTGCTGAGCGTGGAATCCGAGATGTCCCAAGACGATTGGTCAGAGATCAAGAAGCAAGACTATGATCGCACCAAGGAGAAGTTGAGAAGCATACTGCAAGAGGTTCCTAGCACCTGCACCATGGCCAAAGACTTGGATCTGGATGGCTTGTCAGTAAGATCTCACTGCATGAGACATCTGTGTGAATGTGCCAGATCGTAGGGTTCAGTGTCTTCCTGTGATAGCCTGATTTCAGGCGCCTCAAATGCGGAGAAACATTTGTGGCTTACCTGAAATTTTGGGCAAAATGCCAGAGCCTATCTACATTCCAGAACTTGGCAAAACATAAGTGGTCTTAAAACTGTTTGTCTCCTTGGTGAATTTGCCTGATTTTTTGCTTGCTGCAGAGTGAATATTTGGCCATGGAGTCTCTACTGTCGTTGACATCCCGCCGAGCCGGTGAATGGTTTAAAGAAGAGCTACGTCAGTTTGGAGGCCTGGAACACATTGCAGACACAGGTACACAAGTTGTATTGAAATAGATATTCACTAAGGGTGCATTTTCATGAACTTTTGAAATCTCTCCAGTAAAATGTAACGTAGCATGCATGCTTAGGGGATCGTGGCCCACCATTGATTATCGACAGTCTTAGGACTTCAAGACTTCAGGTCTGTGTTTAGCAGTGACTGGGTGAACTTGAAGATAACCTTTGTTTTGAGTGATAGGGAATGTGTTGCCTTTCCAGTGATCAGCTTAGGGGAGAAGCTCGCAGCCTTGACCCCAGGCTCTGACCCGGCCAACTTGGAGCTAATTAATCGACTCAGCTGGTGTCTGCGCGTCCTGGAGAACGTCACATTTCTGAACACAGAGAACCAGCAATATCTCTTGGAGCTGAATGACTGTAGTTTGGTCAAGGCCTTTGCAAGGTAACATCCTTGAGCTACGAGATGCAGTTTGTTGCATTTTGCTGCTTAGATTGTACCATAATCATTCCATTCTTAGACCCTTCAAATTGAAATTTTCCTAAGATAACATGTTTTCCGTTGAAATTCCTATATTCCTCAGTATGCTCCCGTTATGTGCTCAGCGCGTCGAGTGTTGCCGAGACCAAGAAAGAACGTTACGCGTAGGTAAAGAGAAGACGCCAGGCGGTAGAATGAGGCAGTGCCTGCTGGCATTGTTGCGAGTTCTTCTGAACATCACCCACGATAATGGTAAGAACAAGAATTTCATTCACTGAGACGTTGAAGTTTGAGCCTTCAACAGTTGTTGATAGGAATGTAACTGCGCTATTTTTTTTTTTTATATACAGAATGGGGAAGTATGAAGGTTGGTGAGCAGTCAGGTCTGATCAGCAATACCTTGGTCTGTGTGCTGAAGGTGGCTCAGCATATCGCCCATGACCAACGCTTCGATCTCCTGGTGCTGGTAAGTTCAACGCATTGCTTGGCAACCAGTATGCGCCATACCAACAGCGCCCTCTTTTGTGTGTCGTTGAATAATGCACGTTGGACACCTGTTGGGCTCATAATGCAAGTTGAATATTGAACGTCAAGGTCAGTGCCCTCTTTTAAGTATCTTTGAAGAGATTCAGTCATGTAGGCCACCTGCATGTTGCATGTTTATGGTTCTTGGGATCTCACCTCTTGCTGACCGTATTATCTCATTGCACAGAGTCTTGGGGTTCTGATCAACCTGGTGGAACATTGCCCGGGCAATGCTAAGATTCTGACGAACACCATGACCAGTTACTCCTATGATGCTCAGATGGATGACAGCGGCAAGTTCACAACCAGTGGGGAAGTATGCTCACTTGAAGCACTCACTCAGGTAAATGTTTAGATACCTTTAATCAGCCAACCCCTTGTGTTTGTGCCCAACCTCTCCTCATCTCTGCCTGTGGCCCCTCTTCCTGGGGCATAGGCCACCGATAAGCCTCCTCTAACCACCCTGGTCCTGAGCCAGTAGCTCCACCTGACCCAGGTGCAAACCCTGTGCATCCCATTCATAGAGACCACTGCGAACCAATGTCTTGCATACATGTTCATGGAAAGACTGGATAGGCTAGATTTTAAGAGGGCATGGCATCCATTTTTATTGATTACCCTTGACACAGCTGTTCATGCAGCGGTATCGTGCAGCATCTCGTGCTGAGCGGGAGCCAGAGCCCGGCGAAGAACAACACGAGGATGAGAACGAGGATTACAGTGAGGCACAAGCCGGCTTGGAGTGGTTAGAGATTGAAACCTCAGGGACCGGAGGACCTAATGACCTCACTGAGGAAGAGATCAAACGTTCTGTCAGTAAAGGTAGGCTTAAGCTATCTGTGGGGACAAGTGATACCTCATCAGAATACTCGATGTGAGGACGTTATGTCAGGAAGGAGCCTTGGGCTTTGTCCGAATCGAAAAAATAGGAATGAACTCAAGTTCGAGTCAGCAACTTGAGTCAACACTGAAAAATTCCATCAGTTTTTGGTGGTACCCAAATTAGTAAAGGCTACTTCAAGAACAAGGTTTATTATAAATGCTCATGTAACTCTACTTTCCAAGGCTTCCTGACTTGTTGATCATTAACAAGGTAAAAATCTACACTCATCTGCCAAGTACATAAATATGTCATCTGCAAGAGATGTAGGCCTATCGTAACCATTTTCCGAGACACCCTAGGGCCAGCATTTCTTTATACGATATTAAATGTGAGGTTTCCGGGCCCACTGTCATCGCCACACAGATCTATTGTATTGGCATCCCGAGGGCATCAAGTGTGATTGTTTCTTGGAACTATTGTTATGCAGTTTCAGGTGTGATCCCGTATTCTGAACGTGGCCCATTTGAATGGAGGAATGCGGGAGATTAAGAACAATGGGCCTGTTCTTCCCTGCACCTGCGTCGGAATGGGAAAAATACTTTTGATCTTTGCCCTAAGCCTCATTGAAAAAATAGTAAAAACTGAGTTTTGTGCTTGAAGAAAGTTGTAACAGTCAGACAGGGAAGTTCCATCATGAGACATACAGCAGTGAAATACACAGGAATCAGGAATTCAAGCATCTCTTTAATCGACATGTTTTGGTTTCTTGTGATAGTTCTGCATACTGCAGGGAAGCATATGGAAGACAGCATAGTGGCGTCCTACACAGCGTTACTCATTGGATGTCTGGTTAAGGATAACCACGTAAGTTACTTTCCATCCACCAGGGAATGATTTCTTTGAGCTGATGAAACGGAAGACATTGCTTCTTGGAAGTATGACGTAGGAATTATCTCTTGGGAATAAGTCACAGTGGATGTTCTCTGGCTTGCCTTAAAAATGTCAGTGATTGTCACTGAAAGGACACTAAAGAGCAATCATCATGCAAGCAAAGTTACTTTGAATTTGTGCTCATTCAGCTGAAAATCAGTCATTGATAGGCATTACACTGACCTTAAAAATGCATTCCGTGTGTTTTGGCTAGTGATGTGTTTTGGTGGGCATTTTCAGATGAATGTAACTCGCGTCCGTAGTTTCCTACCCGAGGGTGACTTCAACTGCATGGTTCAAATGCTACAGAAGTTCCTGTCGTTCATTGAATTGACGGTGAGTATATCGCAAGTATGACCTACAACAAATATGTGAAATCAGCATTGAAAAACCAGTAATGGTCCTAATATGAAGCATTGCTTATTTTCTACATTTTCTTATTTTCCCTTTTTATTTCCCCCACAGAATGCGGCGGGCAACACAGGCAATAAATCTATATCCAAGATCATTGAGGTACTAGATCACCTTTAGCCAAGTGGTACAGTCCACTAGAATGTACAATTGAATTACGGATTCTTCTACTGATCAAAGACGGTAGGGATGTAGTATAAATTGGGGAATATGGCTTTGGAACAGGTGAACCTGCCTTTGTGGAATAATCCCTGAGTTGCTTTGTACAATATTCACGGCATGGTTGTATGTTCATTGGAATTCAACTATGTTAAAGCAATTAAGCAGTGAGGGGTGTTTGTAAGGAGTAGCGGTGCATGATGGGAAGTCATTGTGAGAACTCAGAGCTTGCTGTAGCTATTGGTAATGTACAAGTCTATGGCAAATGGCTGTAGCCGCTAGCCACTCACTTCTATAGGTGACAGTTGTTTGCAGCCATAGCCATACCATGTGTATGCAGCCTTTTGTATTGCTTATGCAGGTGATCACCTTGTCAAGATCTGTGTTGTATTTGAATTTTGGTGTGCTCTGTTGAAACTTCACGGTGCATATCCTCCAAAAGAGGGCGCTGTCACATTGACGTCATTCCACAAATGGCACAAACATCCAGCATTGCTTTCAAATTTTTTTCCTGTGATCCATGGCCTTACTTTGGCCACATTGGCTGGACTGAGCTTACCTCTTTAACGTAGTGGATTGACCCGGGCCAGCATTCCCTGTAATGAATCTACGGATTCTGCCATTAGCAAAGCAGGGGTTGTAAAGCCTCACTGGCAGATAGATTGCTCCATGATGTGTAATGCCTCCAAAAGGGTTGAATTCTTTCTTTTAGGTGAGCTGTCTATTTTTGTAAATTTGCTTGAATGTGGATAATTTAAACGGACGTTTATCATTCATTGTACATGTATATATTAATGATAGTATTATGCGCATATTTTATGAGCACTTTCATTTTGTTTCATGTCTTGAACTGATTAACCTAAGGGAGAAAATTTGTAAACATGAGTCACTTAAACAAATTTCAGTATAAGATTCTTTCTTGATGTGAGTATTTTTCAGTTTATTTACGTTTGATGGGACAGACTTTTGTCAGGTGTTTATTAAGGGGTCTTGGGTAGAATGTGGGAAACTCATCAAAATTAAACTACTCACTGGTGGAAGGTTTGCAGTTTCTTGGAGATTAAGTTTGTGCCGTTGGTTGCAAGTCAATTTATATGTGTTTTTGAAGGTACGTTGTTTTGACTTACAATTATGCTCACTTTGACCTTGAATGCTTTTGTAACTTCTTTATTGTACAGCTTCATTGTGATTTGAAATAATAGACTGGTCGATTACCAAATAATTGCAGTTGTGGGTTTAACTTGTTATGCTGAGTAATTCAAAATTTCTTTGTAAACAGGCCTTTTCCTTCCATTTTCAGAAACAATAGCATACTGTATTTTCCCCCCAGAAGTATGATTATTTGTTTTTCAGCAACACAGATAGCAGTTGTTTTAAAATGCAGATTTGTACTGGTCTCTTATCCTGGCCAAGATGTTTATTATATTCAGTCACTTTTTCCCCATAAAAATTAAGATTGAGTATTTGGAAATATTGTCAAAACATTTGTCATAAATGTTTATAAGATTTCCATGGTTTAATTTCCAAACAGAATTTAAAATCAGGGAAGATAATTTCTAATAATGTTCTTTTGATGGAAAAAGCATCAGTTTTGTCATTGTGATTTTCAAAAATTGCATATTGGAAAAATGTATTGATCAAAAAATAAAGGGGGTCACTCTATTTATTATCAAATATTTGCTCTGTCGTTTACTGGCCTTTTCAAATCCCGTTTTGTATAAACCAAAGTTTCCTCAGTTTAGCTGTTGATTTTTTTCTTTTCTTGCAGGAAAGCTCAGAATTTTTGGACAATGCCTGTCATAATCGTGTTTCTCAGTGTAACAACTTTATTTTCATTTTTTTCTTTTGAGAATTAATTTCTGACAGGGCTATATAGGTAGTGAGGTTTAGGGTTGAACTGTTTTTAGATTTTCGCAAAGCTATGAATTTTGAGGAAGAAAGTATCAGTGATGTAATTGTTAATGTATAGAAAAACCTTGTAAATGTAACTTTGGAGAGGTACAAAGAAAATTCCAGACGAATAAAGAAACATAATTCTAGGAGTTCCAAATAATTAGTTTGATTTGTTATTCAGATCAGTGCTATTTGTTTGTGCTCCTTGTTTTTTTTTCATCCATGGAATCAGGCTTGGGAAGGTTTATAGCCTGTGCATTTTTTACCAATTTTAGAGCTTGCAAATAGCTTGTACCAAGCCGGCTAATTCTAGCCGGAGATCCAGCATCAGTTCACGGAGCTTTGATTGGATTTTTCCCTGCGATGGAGGAGCGGGTAAGGCATCATTTTAAAAAGAAGACATCAAGAACAAGTAATACAGTTTTTATTTAAATGAAAAATGTATAATTGGCTGTGTTGAAAGTTCGCCGGGATTACTCGTGCGTCACGTCTTGTTTACAAGCAACGTATTATGTAACACTGAAAGGCCAGTGCTGTTATATGTAAATTTCAACTGGTGTGTAAAGCCTAACCAATATTTGCTGGATATAAAAATCTACACATTGAATCTATCACATCATTTAGTGATTTAAAAACCAGAAATTGGTCAAAACATTCACAAACATCAGAAAAGCTGCAAATTGTCACGAATAAAATTTAATGATAAACACAGTGACGTCATGAAATGAACCTTTGACCTCGTTCTCCTGCACTCGACTCGTGACGCGAGGCCTGACGAATGTAACATCGTCACATCGAATTCTGGCCTGGTTCGACGCCAAATCCATGCATTTTGACCCCAATCTCGACCGCTAGATTGACTCGAACAACCCAGGAACCATGTCAGGCCCGCCACCGTCGCGTCAGATGAGCGGAACGAAGGAAATTCCGACGAGGAAAGTGCTCGTCAACGACCCGAAAGAGCTGCCGTCGGACTACTGCACAACGCCTGGCGGTACAATGTTTGGTACAACTCCAGGAGGTAAAAAAAAAAAAGATTATGAACCCAAACTTGAACTTTTCAATATTTGTCCTTCAACTCGACACTGTTTCAAGCTTGGTGCACAAATACCCTAAAGATATGTACGAAAAGGGAAGGGTGTGTTTATGTTGAAGGTGTCTTGTTTTCCAAGCCAGGTATTTGTTTTTATAAAACGGCAAATGATGAACGATTCGGTATTTATTTTTAATGAATGTACTTTCATGACTTTAGACCTCAATGTTGTCACGTATGCATGGACTGTTTTGAATGATGAAATCACACAGTGTGTGTAACCAAAGGTTCGCAGGTCTTACTTGAATGGCAAAAAAAGAGTTGTCTTCAGGGATAACCAGGCCTAGTAAATAGGGACCTTTGAATTTCTGTGACCCACCATCAACAAAGAACTAGACATTACAAAAGAAACTACAGGACAGGGTATAAATCATAAATGCACTAGGCTTAAGTACAAAACATGTGGCACTAGGCCAGCTAACGTCGTCTGAACTACTCAGATTTATCATGGAAGTTTTGCCACATTGAGTTCCTAAATTGGCAAACAGTTGTCAAATTAACTTTGGAAAGATTTTTTTTTTTTCTGTTTTCATTAATTTTTATCCAGAAAATTTCTCAGTTATGTACTAATCAAATTACTGGTAGATGACATTAATTTACTGTATAGAATGAATGACTTAGATATTGGAAAAATCCAGGAATCCCTTTTTAGTGTTACTTGCAGACAGTAAGCTAGATGTGTATTCTGTCACAACTTCTCTTCAAGAGTGAGGATATTAAGTTGAAATTCAAATGGGTCTATTCCTGACACCCTAATGCCCTTTTTGAGCCTTTTAAACCCTTTGAAAAGTGGAGTGTCCTCTTTTGAAAATTCATCGCTGTAAACCATGGGCAATTTAATGAAGTTTGAATGGCTGCGAGTTTTTATTTAGGTGCAAACAATGTGCATTGTATCTCGTATACATGTATCATGTTTGTTTTGTTGATATTTGTAGGACTACTTGACCAACTGTTTTTTTATGGTTATGGCATCAGCGTTTACATTAGTGGTATTCTGATACCGCTTTTCTTTGTTGACATTCTGCATGAAGGTGGAAGTTGGCAACTTTCCAAAAACACCACCCGTGATTTTGCTGCACATAAAGTAAGATTCCTTCTGATCTTACAGAGACACACTGATAAATAGCTTATACATTCATCTTGTAGGAATTGGTGGACAGGTTTGAGGTTGTGAAAAAACACGTGTACATCAGGCCACTGTTCTAAAACCAGAAAAACCAAAGATAGACCCTACATGTAACAAGATTGCTGATATTCAGTCATCCTCTGCATAAATTTGGTTTGGTTATTCTTCTTAAATGGACTGAAGTGCAACCCAAGGGGTGCCTCTCATTTTTTCAAATGTTATCCAAAATTGCTGCAAATTATCTTAATTTACTAAGGTTAAGGCTTCAGTTCAGACAACATAGATATTGCAACTTACACTGCATCTTAACCCTAACCCTCCTCAGTCCTCCAACAGGTGAAGGATTGAGAAGGGTTAGGGTTAATGCTGTGAGGCAACTCCCTGTGCAATGGGGTGTGGCTCCCTTTAGGCTATGCCTCAGTGTACCCAGGTGATAATGAGGTACAGCACCTGAGCACTTTGAGGTATACATGAAGATGCTTTGCCTGGTAGCCATCTTGCGGGGCAGTCCTTTGTGCATACCCTGTTGAACAAAAGCATTGGCCTACAAAATGGTAGCCATGCAAACCCTTTATTGCACCTTATGTTATGGTGCACCTTAGCTGTCCCTGTATACCTGAGTGTTTCTGAGGTGCGTCACCTCTGTACTGTATGCTACTCAGCATACCTCATTGCTCTAAGGATCTGTATTCGAATGCTGTAAAGACACCTTTCCATAAGTGTGTCAACACTTGTGTTAAGCATTGCGTATCTGTCAAAATCACCCCCAGAGCAATTTTGACAGCCAAATGCAACACATATGTGTGCTATGTTAATGGGGAGTGTCTGTGAAAGTGAATCGCATGAACACATCGTGTAGGCAATGCATCCAAAAAACACACATACATGTATGGAAAGGCGACATAAAGACACTTCATCAACTTGATCAATTTGTTGTGAGGTGCAATGCATCTGAGGGTATTTAAGTGCTGTGCATACATAGCTTGTCACAGATCAGAATGTGTTTTGGTATGTCATACCCTAAAGATGGCTTGTAAATATCCTGCCCTGCACAATAATTATGAGTAATTTGGTTGCTTAGACAACAACCTCTTCAACTATGAGTATTAGTCATTGATTGGATAATCATAATGCACATACAGTGTAGTCGTCATTATTTTGTAGCTTGTCTGGTAAAAGTCCAATGTACATGTATTGTTGATAGGTCAAAGATTCTGGCATCTGTTATGATTGCTGATGAGTCACAAGGTAGCATTTATGCATATTACACTGCTGTATGGTCATAAATAACCTGTATTTTCTCAAACTCACTTATATTGCAGCAGTATTTGTAAGCATTAGTAGAGTTGTTTTCTCTTGTTGCATACTAGCCTACTCTATCATGCCACTCTTTGCATTGACTTTATTGGTTGTGCTGTTTTCAGTAGGCGCCCGTCTACATGTATGGTGGTGTGAGTGGTATATTTCTCACTTTACCTTAGATGGTATGTGCACAAGCCCTATAAAGAAATACACTTGGGTAAAGGTCAGCGACCTTTAACCCTGCAGGTTAACTGTGTTGCATTGTCACACAGACGTGACTTTGACATGCAAAAACAAGTCTAAACTCCACAAGATGAATTCCTGTGGATGAATTTGTAGGCTGTGTGAGTGAATATCACAAAGTCATTGGACTCAGTGGATTAAGGTGTAACTGTTCCGGAATTTTCTATGTTGTAGCTACACAGAAAGGAGGAAAAAAAGCCTCCTACGCAGCGATAGTTTGGATAAAAGATGCCTACTAGTCGCTTACGGATAAAACAAAAATCAGAATTTGCCTGATGGAGCTCCTCGTTGTCCCAAAATCTGCATGTGTGAGCAGTATGAGTTGTCTCATGAGATCAGTATCTGCATGAGGCAAAGAGTCAAAGGATAAGGTTGGCACAGAATTCACCAGTGATATTTTTCTTGGACAATTGGTCCTTGTCAGGTACGCGTATCATCTACGAGCGGCAGTTTCTGATGAACCTGCGCGATTCACCTCTCGCCAGAACACCTCCGGCCAACCTTCCCGTCATCCCAGGAGTGACAGTGAAAGGTGATGCAGCTGTCAAGACCAATGGAAAGGTGGCCTGCAGTGAAAATAACAAGGAGGCAGTGACTAACGGTCAGTTGGTTTCAGTTTATAGTCCGAAAAGCCATGTCTGAAATAAGTCTTGAGATTCATGGCTCTGACCACTGTTGTCAGCATGAACATTATTCCTGTGTTTACAACAAGCTAAGGCCCATATTCTAGTAAAATGATGTAGACATGGCCTCGTGTTTATCTTTGATTAAATTTATATGGGGGTTCCAACCCAGCCATGATCATTTGTGTTCCTAAGCAAGAGACTTTAGAGCAATTTGTTCTGTCTACCCAGTGTTTTTACTGAATCAGTCAGTAATCTTCAGCTCACAACCTCTGACTTAGTAGCTGCTGACTAGATTGCTGTTATTTTCATTTCTTTCTCGGCCAGGGAAGTTTGGGTATTTTGTGTCCCTTAGCAAGAGACATAACAGCAATCGATTTTGTCTGCTTATTTATTAAGCCAAAATGGAGGTAGGAGATATGTGGGCTGTTGTTTTCCTCCTAGGAAGACTGCCTGAGGCTTGAATATGGCAGCTGAATCCAAGATAATCTATGTGCCAGTCAGAAGCTGTGAAAAGTAGCTGTTTAAGAACAATTTCTTTAAAAATTCCATACACATTTTGTTTTGTAAGAAGCAGATGTAAAGCCACATGTAAAGGAACAGTTGCTGGTATCTACCTTCCTCAAATCCTCCAAAACCTGCCGGTGGATTTTGCAGGATCTGGGAAGGTAAGGTTCAGAACTAAATCTGTTGCCTTTTCCCAACTTCAATTGGACTTTTTCCTGTCTTTTTTTTTTCAATCATTAGATACTGCTGAGGAACCACAGTTTGAGATGGATATCTGAGACACTCAACAGTCAGCGTGCGTTCATCAGGTAGTCTACCGCCCTCGTGTGGAAAAAAAACACGGGCATCCAGGGGGAGGGGGGGTCAGGTTTGGGCGTTATAAAGCTACCACTCAGATTGAGGGAAATTATAGAAAAAAAAGAGGGGGAATAACTGGTGCAATAACACATCGTCCAAAGTTGCTTCCTTGACGACAGAATGCAGTCAAGGAATGTGTTGCTAAGGTAAATTTGAGCCACTCCTTTTTTTTGTGCGTGTTGTATGTGCCTATGCATCACCCACAAACGGATCAAGGTTATGTTTGGATTGGTTCAAGCCCTGGACTGACTCTTTATCTCAGCGGATGAGTGCCCTGTGGCATCTGTTATGGATGCTGTGACCATGGCAACTTCAAGACGGTGCTCAGATTTACAGACAAATTTCTTTGGTTTATTGTATCGGAAATAATTTGGCGGACTTGCAGTCGAGACAACACTGTGGCAACAGACAGGAACCTACTACATGTACATGTAGTATTTGCCGCAAATTGAATGGACTCTACAGTACAACACAAGGAAAAGATTTAATCAAGTGTTTCAATTTGATGATTCTTCAACTTTGACTTTTTTGTCCTTCAATATGCTGGCAGTCAATTAGTTTATCTCTGTGTACAAATTCTTTTTCAGTCAGAATTGCCATCAATTGAAATGACATGACCCTGGTCATGTTATTCTATGCCAAACCTATGCAGAGTATTTGTTGCTTCATGTTCATCCCTGGAAATCTGACAAAAAATCATGTTACAATCTTTCAACATGAGGAGAAAAACCCCTGGAAAAGTGTTTTTGTAGCTTTTTCAGTATTTGCATTTTTTCAGGGACAAGTTAATGTAGGTCACCCCAGTGTTGTAGTCAAGACCATTGCAAGATGAGACACAAGACCAGACACAAGACAAGTCACAAGACAAGTCACAAGTAACTGCGAGAACAATGAAAAATGAATGCCTCAAATGTTGTAGTTCATTTGAATAGCTTGTGGCTTGAATGTAGACTAGAGATCTTGTGTTAGTCTTGTGAAGGTCTTAAATGGTCGTGACTACAACACTGGTTTACCCTCTGGCCTTAAATTTTCACAAACCAAATTATTGAACATCTTGGAATGTGAAATTCATCTCTCAAAAACAAGTTTCCATATGCACTAGAAACACTTCACAAGTCCAGCTTCATGAAATACATATTTTTCCCCAAATCCTTAGTGTCGCTCCCGAATTTGAGCTTTTAACATTTAAAAGATTTCAAAATTTCCTTTGAAATCAATGCATGGCATAAATGCCACCATGCCTTATTTGAGGTCAAAGGTTAAACTATATCAGGGATACTTAAAACTTGTGTGGAATGGTTTTCTGAAATTTTGACTTTTGTTCTTTTCTCCAGTTTGAGGACTTGGCCTTTCAGTAAGATATTTGTCCTGTGCTCAGCTAACAAAATCTACATGTATTTGGTCCAGTTTTTTAAACTGTCCAGAAAAGTGGGCTTTATGATCACTCAGTATTAGTAGACCTTATAGGTCAGTTTTTTTGTTCATGCACAGGCCATTTATCTGAAGAGTCACATGTAGACCGAGTTCCATTGTATGAGGTAATAAGTTCTGTATACAGTAGTCCAGGACAGTGGCTCATTGGTAGTGGCCAGCAGGGTTAAAGGAACTAAGATGGTGCCTTGTACCTCACATGTGAGAACCCTGGAGTGATTCATACAGAGGGCAAAACCAGTTTTCATCAGAATTTGTACACATCAGCTATGAGAGATTTTTGTGTTTTGCATTGAACCGCTGTTGGAAGGACTTTATGCCTGACATTCATAAGTCAGCCTAGCCACTACAAATGGTCCACTGCACAGTATGGGAACTGCTGACTCTGACCTTGTACAGGTTTGGTCCAACATGATCACATGACTTAACAATCATGAATATGAATATAAAATTAAGTTAATTTATTTTGCCTGTAGTGCAAGAAAAAGTGTTCAATTTCTTCATAAAATAAATTATCCTCGTTCTTTTTCGTCTAAACTTGATACAAACCAAAAGTTAGTCGTAACATGATTTCCTCACCCCCACAAATTTGAAAACAAAAAGATTATGCATATTTAAACTTCCTGTGGTAAACTAATGTAAATAGAGTTTTTAATTTACTTTTCAGTCCATTTGTTCTTCTGAACTTGTCTGTCCATCTCAGTGGATGTATACCCTCTTGGTCACTAATAAATGATGGGTGCATTGTGTTGCCAGTTTCAAACATGCTGATTTAATTTAACCTTTCAGAAGTTTTGCTTAATTTTTCTTTTGGGGGAGGCAATTTCTTCCACATGCCATGGGTTTTTTGTTTAGTGTTTAGCAAAAAGGGAAGGGGAAAAAGTAAAATGTAAATTTCTACATCAGGGCCTCTGAAGTTGCTTACAGGAAATGCTGATAAGGTTTAGCCTCTTGTCAAGTTCATTACACAAGTACATGCGACAGGGTGAACAGTGACAAATGAATGCTCTTGGCTTGTGACGTATGATTAGACAGTTTATGATGGACTAGAGATAAATTGAACTCCAGTACTTGGCCGCCAAGAACAAACATTTGCCCAGGGGGAAAATATTTCATTTTGACTAAGTGGAGTTTTCTCTTTGCAAGGCCTCATTCCTATAACTGGTAAGCAAATTTTATTTTGCAATTTTGTTGGTAAGCAAGGAACAGGACATGAAAAATATCAGAGGAAGTGGAATTTGAAATAATGCAAGGTTGAATATTCGCAAAAACTGGAAATAATTTCTTTTACTGTGAGTCAGATTTGTAACAAGTATTTGATGCGAATGACCACAGTATGAACATACATAAGATCTCCATTTTTGTCACTGGCCAGATTGCCTCTGCATTAATTTTTATTCTTTTAACCGATCAGATAAAATGAGTCAGATCAGGAATATGTATGTTGACTGTTAATATGGTAATCACTGTAATCCATCTCAGCCACATTATTTGTAGTAGTACAACATAATTCAAACCGAAACTTGCGTACCTTTATGTTAATTTTCAAGTTTCAGTTTGCTAACTGCAGATGTTAACTTCTTCGCCTTATGATTATTTATAATTGTGGGGAGGATGAATAAACATAAGTTTCCGAGATTCTATGAATAAACGCACTATTCAAGTCTGAAAGCTTGTCTTGTACATGGTGTACTGTGAAATCGGAACAAACCTACATTGTGAAAGTACATATTCATTACTTCTTGCCGGGGACGTCCCCTTGAATCCCCTTAAGCACAGAAAGTACGTATGCCAAACTATAGGTTACAATACCAACAAATTGTAACAATCGTACGCTTGGCATTGTATTGCTTTGCTATCGGGTATTGGTTGGTTCTCCGGTTGTATTTTGCTCACCAATGTAAAACGCGCTTTGCAAAGCAAAGGATTTTTGGAAATGGCCCTGGACATGGTCAAAAGGAAACATTAAACAAACAGACAAATCCCAAAAACTGTGGAATGTTGTCGTTTTCTTCAAAAGTGTCACTTTCCAGACTTTTTCAGTGGGATTTCCGTACATGTTGCCGTTGCGTGCAGTACCTCTTGTACGGGCGCGTTTTGTTTATGTCCTTGTGTGTCGAGAATGCAAATGTTTGCTCTGTCGATTTATGTGGCTGATACTTGTGGGATTGGTTCGTTTATTTGACCAATCTTCTACCGAAATAAATCTTTCCCCATTTTTCTCCCGAACTTATGAAGATGAAGGACTGAATTTTTTTGTTGGTGTATGCTAAAGCTAATTGCGCATCGCCATGCGTAAAACATTGCAGGCGTGCTCGAGCGAGCACGCGTGCACTGCCGTTATTTGTGTAGGGCGCCACCATTTTATTTGACCCAGAGATGGCCACTAGTACCGTACCCCGAATTCGTGTAGTGTAAGTGTACGCTAGCCAGGCTGTTCCTTCATATCCTTTCCGTGTATGTGGCTTAAAATGTGCAATAAATACTAGAATCTAAAATATCATGTTGATTTTCACCACCTGTCATGTTTTCATTTTCATAATCAAACCTGGAATGTAAAAAGTGGCCGATTGTAATTACTAATTATATAAAAATCTAAATACATCTTCACTTATCAGTTGAGCCTCCTTAGCTCAGTGGTTAGAGCACTGGTCTTGTAAACCAGGGGTCGTGAGTTCAAATCTCACAGGGGGCTACTTTTTTTCCTCTTCCTGCAAATTTTTTAAATTCATTTACAATACTGTAGACTTTAACTGCGATCATGAAGTACATGAGCCTTTTTCTTTTTTTGTCTTTTCCTGTCAACGACAAAAATTAACTGCAGGCCCGCACCGTGATGCGCGCCGTACTGGCCTGTGCCATGCTTGCGTTGAGACGAATGTTGTTGTGACGAGTATCGATTAGGAGATCGATTCATTAAGTGGAAAATTAAATCGACACGCTTATTACATGAATAATAAGCAGGAACACCCCGATATTTGAAACTGAGACTTGGCGGAAGATTGACTTCTAGCAATGGCATACAGCTGATTTTTCAATCTTACGACGTAAATTGAAATTCTGTTCAGTTGTACAGGGTAATCGATCTAGCATATATTCGATATCAATAATGGTCGATCACCATTTCTGCTGTGTTTCCCACTACTGCGCATGTTGTATTCGACCGCATGATATGTAATGAAGGCAACATCCGGGCCTTTTCCCTCTAAAATCCAGTATGGCGGGCGACGTGTAGTTCTAAAGCGAATAATTACCGTCAAAAGACACCGTGATTTTTCCATATCCTAGTGCTAATATTACGCTTTAGATTTCTGACGGACTACTCATGTAACTCGACTATCAGAAAATGCAGAATGGTGGGCAGAAGAAGGTCCCAGTCGTCCGAAAAGACGGGAAAATTAGCGAGTCTCCTAAAGCAGCCGTGACTGCTTTGGAGCATAGACTGGACAAGGCCCAGCTGCTTGCGTTCCAAGCTCAAGATTTAATATCCGATTTGTCTGGAAGTGAAGAAGGCGAAGTGTCCGAAGTAAGTACCTTTACGTGGAAGGTTTCAAGTTCAGTATTTTTTCTTGGATTCTACCACCAGTAATAAAACGTAGGCCTACTTTGAACTGGTAAACTTATCTAGCAAAGAAAAATTTTAGTTTAGGGATAGGGCCTAGGCATGCTAGGCCTAGCTGTACAGGGTGTATGGCCTAGCAAACTGAAAACTATGAACTGAACACAAAGCACGGATAGGCCTATATGATAAGGTTGGACCATGGATGGAGGTAGGAAGGTGGTCGAACATTATTACTAAACATGCATAAGCCTTATCGCAAATACTGCATGGGTGATTTTACACAATGGTAGAAAGGCATTGTGGGAAGGAAAAAGGAGCAAAGATTGTCCCTTTTTCCTTCCCACCAGCCCACATTGCCTTTCTACCATTGTGCTAAATCACCCATGCAAGGCTTATGTGAATGTGAACATTGTGAATATAAATTAGGCCTATATGTTATAATAATCACAAGGCCTAACTATGGAAACTGTTCTCTGACATGTCCAAGCTCTGACATGTCTGAAATTTAAACGTTTATTTTATAAGACCCCAGTGACCCTAGCATGCATGCCCAGTCTAGTTATACATGTACATGTAGGCCTTGCCGTAGGCCTATAGACAGGGGTATGAGAATTCAGCTTTTTATCCGATTTCAGCTTTTTTTGTTAAGATGTTGACCCTAAATTTCAACTTTTTTGTACACCAGGTCTGTACAAAAAAGGGAACTTCTTACTTTCAGATTTTTGTTAGCTGTTTTCAACTTTAAGTGGCCACACACACCCCTGTTCTTAGACCTGACGTGTGACATCACTGTGAACCAGAAAGTGTAGTGCAAACGAATGGAGTACGCGCGCGTGTTGATTCACGCACTTGTTCTCACCAATATGCCTTTTACACGTATAGGCCTAATTGCACACATGACATATTCACTTTGGTACTCTATTGGCCGAGAGCCAAATATGGGAAAGGAGCATGGTTCATAGCCTTCTTCGGCACCCTCACCCTCACTGTGTATTCTATTATATCTTATGGCTTCAAAGAACAACAAGGTCATGTCCTCTTACAAGCGACAGGACTGAATACAACATTTTCGTACAACTAGTAATTTGTAGTACTGTGTAGGGTTTGGGTTAATTTAAATAAAAGCGGAAGTGAACCTTTTTCATCCTGATTTGAGTATTTCTTTTCAAAAAACTCGAAGGGGATTTGTAAGTTTAAACTGTATTTCAACTTTGTTCAGTTGATGCAGACTGTAACAAACCCACCTCAATCAAAATAGGAAAACGTCACGCTGACACGCGTGCATGCACGTGCAAACATGACAATGTTTACAATGATTATGGTCCGACACGCTGGGGAGTTTCCTGCATGAATTCAGTGAGCACACAAGCTGTATGTATGCACGGAGCAATGTTTTCATGGTGACCAAAGCTCATGGCACACCGCTTTCTACTTAAGCGCCCCTGTAAAGAAGATGGATACTGATTGGCTCTCTTGTCACTGAAAACTGTTACTAACCAATAAAAACACGGAACAGATTGTACCATGTACAGCGCAACTGTACCCGACATACATGCACATGCAAGCATATGTACACGTACATGTAGGGTGTGCATGCTACATGTGCGTGTAGGGCCAGCTGGCCGGTCTGAAAGCGGGCTGCGCTCATGATGCAGTGATCGTAATATATTCACACAATAATTATAGGCCTACCTATGAAAGTCACTTCTGAGCCCTGCCACATTCCCAGTGAAGGAAGCAAGTGTTAATTCAACTCTTGCATTGACATTGAGACTTTCATGTGTACAAAAGCCTATGTATGTACATGTATATCAGGCCCCCTGACTGATAAGGTGTAAAACTTGTCAAAGGGGTGCTGTAGACCATGTCTGTTTGAACTAGCAAAATTGTCCTGTTTGCCTGGTGAAGTTTGTGTGAAATTGTTACACACAGACTCATTCAGATCAAATGATCTTAGTTTTGTTTGGCTGGTACATTTCTTATATGAATATTAACCCTAACAGTCCTCAGTCCTCCCAACAGGTGAAGGATTGAGGACTGTTAGGGTTAAGGTCTCAGCCTTACCCATATTCCGTGCACTGTGCTACCAGGAACTTTTCACAAACCAATGTGCATTGTACTTACACACGAAGTATGTCTACTACCATTTGTGTCATTAGCTGCCTAGAGCCAAATAAAATTGATAACATGATAGTCAACTACAGTATTACTCAGCAATTAAGAAGCCAAGACTTCTACCCGTAATTTTTACGATTCAGAAGGAAGGTAATGATCGACTTTGTGTAATTGTGCTGTCCGTTAGGTTTACCTTCTGTACATGTATATTTTGAGCGTGAAATTACAGACGGATGTTAGTCATTTTTTTGATCCCTCGAGGTACATTTCTGACCAAAAGCAGAAGTGTTCAGACAAAATATTGTCGGGAAATGTAAAATTAAAATGTCCTATGCTAAATTAATTTTGCTCTGGTGTTTGCATTTTTGACTTATAAAGTTTGTGCATTCTCATGTTACTTTGTCCTTTCAAAATCTGGTAAATGGCGGAATAAATTTGATCATGATATTCAATTTTGTCTTTCCACTTTTTAACCAAATTTGACACCTTTACATACTTATATTTATTTCCCAACCATGCCAACAAGTGATGCATTAAAAAATTGATACATGCGTCTATTCACTGGTGTACACGTACTTGTACGTACACGTAACGGTATTAGAATAACATTTGAAAATGATGAATTTCTAAGAATGTGTATGTTATTTGGTCTTTAGAACCTTATTTAAAGGGTAAAGTTGTACATACATGTATATGCGGCTACATGTACGTGCAGATGTGGCAATTCTAAATGTAATTTCTTGGTTGCCAACTTATTTTATTCTGAATATTGCATTTGTATGTGTACATCATAGCAGCAAAGTACTGTCCTATGTCAGCTTTTGTGTTGTTTTATTTATTTGTTTATTTATTTATTTATATCTGTTCATCCAAGAGTATATTTAGCACCAATTATAGGATGATGTGACAATTTAGAAGACAATAAAGAAATGTTCAGTTTTAGAGGTGGGAGGAAAACCCCCAATAAATATTTCAGGAAAAACCCACGGGATCATGCAAGGACTGAAAACTCAATCCACATACTGACGTAGGTGGGATTCGAATCCAGGTCGCAGAGGTGGAAGGCGAGGAAAGAACCACTACGCCAACCTGACTCAAGTGATCAGTTTCTGAGTGTTTAGCTGGTATTGCCACTGCATGGATATGTCTTGCAAGAAATTTGGCCCCCGCCTGTTAAACCCCAACACCCTGCCAAAATCAAGGGCTTGACATTAATGTACATGTATCAGTAACCATGCAGAATTTTTATTGAAGAGACTCTTTGGCTATTTTTACTTTAGAACATTCAAACATCATCCTAAAACACCCACTCTTGTGTACATTATGCATGGAATTTCTCAATTGCACATTCTGTGTACTTGAACTTCCAGGTGTATGAAGCTCATTTGTGCTGTTGACTACCAGTAATAGTGGCTGGGCTCTATCTTCCTGATTCCTGCAAAATCTTACAAAGTTAGCCACCTCATGTATTTGTAAGGATTTGGCCTTGGCCATCCTCAATGTAAAGTGGCAGTACTTCTGATTTTGGTGAATTTAGGATTTAAGGTGGAATGGCTTACCACCCCCCTTCATCAGCTTACATATAAAGGCAAATTAAGTACTGGTCACATGTCTAAACAGTAATGTTGCCATGCATGGACAAGTATAGTTGATGTATTTCATGCACATGCCAAGCAATAGGCCAAACTATTTTCTGATCTCTTTGAGTTGTAATGCACCTTGAAGTCAAAAGCTAATAGTAGCAAGATATACAGAACAGCTTGAAGGAGTAAATGCATTACAGCTGATGTTTTCTATCAGTCATATCGGCCAAGCTGTGATAAAAGATAACGTGAAAGGGCAGAACAAATCACAGGACTGGTGAACAGTGTTTTCAAGGAGAGTAGAGCCGTCATTTGTAAACAGGGCGGTCACTGGGAAAAGTGAGCTTTGGAAATGATGGGCATGGAATGTAAATGCCAATAACATGGAAACTAGATGACAAATGAGCATTTTTCTGTCGTTTGGATTGTCCATTTGTTCTTGACACCTGGGGGTACCATTCCTGGGTCACTTCACCTAGACTCCTATCCTCAGGTTTGATCACCACCAGTGAATTTCATAGAATTTGTCGAGACAATACATGTACTTGGATTATGACGAGCTTACTGTTGGGATCAACTGACCCACATTCCATGCACATGCAGAAATACCAGTGCTGACTTAACCATATGAACTAAGTCAGTCCTATGAATTCAGTAGGCACCATGCTGTCGAATCGTACGGTGCACAAAAACAAACGGTGTCCACTTTGGGCATGTCAGACAGTCTTTTTACATTTGGGAACATTGTGTATCGATAACTTAGGAATTTTAACTGCTGCTCTCTGTGCGCAGTGCGTAGCAGGTAGTACATTAAGGTAGCTTCTGAATTACATTTACCTACATGAACATGTAGCTTATATGGCTTGCTGGCACATGATACACATGTACCTATGGAAGCCCCCACATGTTGCTAGTTGCATCAAGCATCTCCTATAGATGCATGTGTTGTTTTTCAGATGGACACACTGTACGTTCACTCATTGAGTGTCTGCTGGGTGCGAAATGAACATGAAGAGTGGAAATTGGTTGAAAGGAGCAGAGCATTATGTCTGGCAACTTTTCTCAAAACAGTCAAAAATCTGTGACTGTGAAGCTTCTGTGTCACACATCATCCATGGTTTTGAGTATGATGATACAATGTGAACATTAGAATTCCTAATCTAAAATTGCCAGAATACCTTAAAGCAAGATGAACAGGCAAGACAGACTGGAGATGAAGGTCAGTAAGGCGCAAAGGTGCATGTCAAGGATTCTATTAAAAACTCCAAGGCCTTGTGAAAGGAAAACAGTTTACAAGATGAAAAGCCTTGGGTTGATACTTAATGTAACTACTTCCTAGCTTATTTGAAGGAAATTGTCTCTGCAAGAGGTCTTGCTCCTTGCTAAGACAACTTCCTTTCCACTCAACCTGTCTCCCAAATACATGTATTTACAGTGAGCTCATTAGAAATGGCCATACTGAACTCAGTGATGCATCTCAGTGACTAAATTCTATTAGATTGTTGTCATTTGCAACAGAAACGAAGTACTCTTTTGTTCTAGCTGTGGGATTTTAAAAGATCCTTGAGACCTCACACTTTCCCTTTGCAGGATTTCCTGAAGAAATTCTGCTTTTTCTGGGGACTTAGGGTTCTCTAAAACACAGAAATATTGTGTAAGGTATTGTAACGCCTTTTTATTTATGTATGTACAGGCACATGTGTTATTTGCATGTGTGAATAATTAATTGTCCATAGTTATAGGACGTGGACCGCACATACAGTGTATACATGTACATATTTTATGTATCTACATTAAGGTTAAGACACCGGTCTGAACACTGAACAGAATGATCTGAAATGGTAACATACATGTTTGTAGAACTAAGAATCGAATTATTACATGTAGCTATGTGCCTGTATCTGTAACCACTGAACATAGTGGAACTGCACATGATTAGATGAGTCATTGTGTACTTTCAATTCATGTAAAGCAAATCAGGTTTCTCGAGATGACACGATTTGTGTGGAAAGCGTAAATGTACATGTACCAGTACATCTTGCCTTGGTCATGTTGGAATTCCCATCAGGAATGGAATGAAAGTGCAATTTTTTCCAGTGACTTTTCACAATTGCAAATGCTACTTAAGTCCATTAATTGAATCCTGAAAGATACCTTTACAGTACATGCATTGTAACACTACACAGCTGTCTTCTGTGATTCACCACAGCGTGACAGTGAATAAGGATCCCAACTCTAGCTCAACCATGCAGTCTCTTCAACCTCCACATTTGTCAAACTTCCTCCTATATTGACCCATATAGCAAAGCTCTAGAATGTACACATTGCTGGTATCCCTGAGACAGTAAACAGATGTTTGCATCAAATATCTTGTGAATTACTTTATTCATTCATATAGTTTATGCAGAAATGAATTTTGGTAGCGGATTTCCTTTGTAAAAGACCCCATACTGAAGCAAACTAATACGTACATACCCAAATTCTTTGTGTTGCAACAGAAGTAGAATATCCATCACCAGGTGAAAGCAAAGTGTGTCTTCATACAATTAAAAGGTTCAACCGTTACCACATGTAGTGTAATGCAATACAGCGTAATATCTGAACAAGTCAAGTAAATATTTATCATTTTTCCTTTTTCTGGAAAGGCCATGTACACTTCAGCTGGTCATGTAGGCATCTTCACAAAGTAATTCATATTCTTGGAATTTATGAAGCAACAGTTTTTATCAGAGTTGTTTCATTGTTTTTGTCATTAGGTTGAATCATTCATACTGAATCAAGACGAGCTACAGTTTGACAGTTCGGGCAACCCGGACCTCAGGGCAGTGGACCCAGAGACCCTTGAAGCACTTCTAGAAGCTGCGGGTGAGTATCCCTCATGTCCAGTTTAGTCTTAGAAGTCAAGAAGCAAGGTGCAGTTTGGCCAGATATGATTATTCAATCACTCAGTTAATAGACAAGGTAATTGTTTGGTTTCGTTTTTCTCTTTGATCAACCACAAACCACTTAGTAAAAATACAGGCTTTTGGAAGACACAAGGCAACAACAAAAACTTCCTTTACTTCTTTTACATGAACCTTTTAAGTAAAAATTACCATGACAACGGGCTTATTGATTGAAAGATACAGGTACATGTCGGTGATAAACATAATTCAGTTAATGGAAGATATTTACTTTCGACCATCTCAAAGCAGACCACTTTTTTTATTATTTTTGAACCTTACACGTATGTAAAAATTACCGTCCCCTGCTAAAAATATTGATTCATCATAATCATAAAATTGAACTGATTGAATTGCAGACTGTAAGACGCTGGTGGCAGCAGACATACTGGTCCATTTTCAAGGTTTTGCACATGCTCAGAACTATACACACCTGCTCAGAAATATGCGCACATGCGCAGAACTGGTTAAAAGGACCGGTGTATGTGTCGCCATCAAGTGTCTCAAAGTCTCCCATTAAAATAATCACAATCTTGCAGACTTAGGCTGCATCCGAATCTCTTGTCTAGAGCTAGGTCTAGGTCTTCACTCCATTAGAAATGCATGGAGACGCGTAGACAATAGACCTAGCCGTAGCTCTGGAAGCCCGTTTCGGACACGGCCTTAGCAGAGTTTCCAAGTGTGAACTACGTGACACTTGGAATGGATTGCTACAGTCACCAACCCACCCTCTGTCTTCTCTTCTCTTCCCCCTCCTCTTCAGCAGGGATAGACAAGCTGACCACCGCTGATGGCAAAGCGTTCACTGACCCTGAGATCCTGGGCAAGCTGACGTCCTCGGTCAGCTCCGCCTTAGATGAGGCTGAGGCTGCCCTCTATCGGATGCGTTCGGAGAGTGCAGGCAATCAGGCCAGCCAGGGGGCTGATGGGTGGGTGTTTGTTGAACAGTACAAGAGATCCTTCAAGTTTGTGATGAATATTAAACCTAACTTATCGATCTTCCAAATACTGTCTGAAATTCTGTCTTAAAGGCCATGTCCAAAAGTTGTGGCTACGGCTGGGAATGACCTGTAGGCTATGGAAACATTGTACATACTGACTGCAGCCACTTCTCATTGACATCTGTGTAACTCCCAGCTGCTGTCAGTTGCATCGGCTATGGCTTACCATTGGGCTTGTTTTACAGCCCCACGAAGCTAGTGCCAAGCACACCAATAGACCTAAAACATAACGATGTCATGCTTTGCTTACATATACACTTTCCCTATGGGGGCTCAATGGATCCAGTCCCCACTCTTTGCCACAGGAAAGCACACATGCAAACAAACAGTGATGTTATTGTATAAGTCCATTTGCTAAGCTCGAAACAGTTCTGCTGTCTGACAGCAAAACAGGGCACCAGTCATATTGCTGTATGAAATATGTTCCTTAGGACTGGTTCTCTATCAGTATTTGCTTAGCAAATAATTTATAAGCAACATGTTTTGCTTACCTTCAGTCATATTGATGACATGAGTTGTAGTGTATTTGCATTATCCACTCAAGTCTTTGTCCTTGTATGTGTCTACTTCTAATGCTACGAGGGAGTCGAGTCAGAATTATTACCTAAGCTTTCACTCATTACTTTCTTTGCAGCCAAGCTTATGCAGATGCTGAAGACGACCCAGCTGCCCTCAAGAGCATCAATGAAACGACGGAAGAAGGCGAGAGTCTGCTATCTCTTGCCTGCTCGGGAGGCTACTTTGAGCTAGCGCAGGTCAGTTCTAACTCTATGTGTGGTTTCATTTGTTGCCAGTTGTTCGTTGCTTTGCAAGGGTACCGTCCCAAAAAAAATCCATCTGCTGGAGGGTGTGCTTCCTAACCTTGCTTTTAAAGGTAATCAATAAGCCAGCATTTGCCAGCATGCACTGTAGGCACCTCAGAGTGAATGGGATAAACACCAATAAAAGCAGGGAAATGAAAAGCAATCTTTCCTTAATTGATTGCTTGACAGCTGCATCTTGTTTCTTGGTTTGACGTTCTAGGTTTTACTCAAGATGAATGCTAACGTGGAGGATCGAGGCAGTAAGGGAGACTGTACTCCTTTGATGGAGGCAGCCAGTGCTGGCCATGTGGATATCGTCAAATTGTTGATAGACTATGGAGCGGACGTCAATGCCCAATCATCAGCAGGTAGGACAACTGGTTCTTAAACGAACCTCTAAAAAAGCCATATCTGTTAGGGTAGGGTGGCATGGCTGACTTAGAAGAAGCCTAAATGATATTAGAGCATGGATATATGGATATACCGTCCTGCTTTAACGGGACAGTTTCCTTTGTTCGGAAAGTCGGATCACATTGTGGGAAGTGTCCCCATAATGTTTATTTCAACACCAGTAGTTCCCATAGCCCGATAACAAGTATGTGTGTGTTTGTCAAGTGCATTAAGAACCGTCCAGAAATCCTCATTAGCATGATTATCAGGGGAAATAGCACCGTGTATTTATAAGCAGTGTATTTGCCCAATCTCTACCTGACAGGCAATACCCCCTTGATGTACGCGTGCAGCGGAGGTCATGAAGACGCCGTCAAGGTGCTCCTAGATCATGGTGCCAACATCGAGGACCACAACGAGAATGGCCACACCCCCTTGATGGAGGCGGCCAGCAGTGGTCATGTAGGCATCGCCAAGGTGTTGCTGGAACGAGGGGCGGGTATAAATACCCACTCTAATGAGTTCAAGGAGAGCGCCTTGACGCTGGCCTGCTACAAAGGTTTGTCTTGTTCCCTGCCTGCTAAGTTCTCTCTTGTGTATAAAATGTTAAACATGTATAGTGAATTCCAGTAAACCAGTGATATGACACACTGTCTAGGGGACAAAGTCAAATTGTCAGTGTTTAAATTTATGTCGAGATAACTAGAAACACTGTACAATTTCTGATATCTTTTCATATGCTACATTACTCCGTCCCTTCACTTCCCACATTGTTAGGAACAAACCTTTATCCTAAACCTTATACACAAGTTACTTCGGTCTGCTCTTTGCTTTGTGTTTATGAATATTCGTGAACAGTCATTTTTGTTTTTACCTTTGACCTGTAGGTCATCTGGAGATGGTCCAGTTTCTGTTAGAGGCCGGAGCTGATCATGAGCACAAGACAGATGAAATGCACACTGCCCTGATGGAGGCATCCATGGACGGCCATGTGGAGGTTGCGAGACTATTGCTAGACCACGGTGCCCAGGTAAATGCCATACGACCTACTTTGACCTGTGTGCATAAGTACCCCCTCATCAGTAACAAAATGAGAGGCTTGGCAATCACTTGAAGTCCATTGTTTTCATGCATCTACCACCTAAGCAAAAAGCTGCAACAGTTTGACAGTTTGTGCATTTTAAATGCAGTTTTGCCATGCATGGTTTGCACGATGTACATCTGAACCAATTCATGAACTCTGTGTTGGACGCAGTCAGTCCAAAGTGATCACAAGAAATATTCACCTTTAAAATTGACAGCCGCGGCTTTGTGTGAGAATTAGTGCATACCACACCATGCAGTCTATTCACCGTGCAGTTGCGGTTTCAATGTGGGCCTGCTGCTGGACAGGGCTTTGCATACAGGGCATACCGCAGCCCAGCAGTTGCGGTCAAAAGAATCCTGGTGTTAAGAGTCGTTATTCGTTGTTTTATTTCCAGTATAATGATGATAATAATAATTGAAAATTTATAAGTGCAGTTTCCATAAACATGATCAACGGCACGGTACAGGTACAACTGAAATAAATTGATATTTAAGTAATGAATAAATGAATACCCTTTTTAAATGTTAGATTGTCACTTGGATTTCAAGTTTCAAGAAATCACTTTTTTGTTTCATATTCAAATTGTTGGTTTTTGTGTTCGGGACTGGTGTGTTTTCAAGTTCTCTTGGTCTGGTCTAGTAAAGTATTCGAGCTACTAACCTGTCATCTACATGAAAGTTTGCTTGAAGTTTGAGGCCTGTTGGTGTCTGCTGCCACAGGTGAACATGCCAGCGGACAGCTTTGAGTCACCTTTGACCCTAGCAGCCTGTGGGGGTCACACCAAGCTTGCCGCCCTCCTGATAGAGCGCGGAGCCAACATTGAGGAGGTGAACGATGAAGGCTACACGCCCCTGATGGAGGCAGCCCGGGAGGGACATGAGGAAATGGTAGCGCTGCTCCTTGCTCAAGGTAAGGCTGGGTGCCACGACCAGGATGGGTAATTCTGTGCTTTCAATCACCATGCTTTGCTTCAAGCACAAGCACTAAAATGCTGTGATAACCCCGGTCAAGATTTCTTGGTTATAGAACGTTCATATCATTTGAGCCAAATTCCAGGCTTATCTGGGGAATATGCTATTTTTCAGTAGAGAAACTCTTTCGTTGTCACATACTCCAAGAACTACTTTTCTCTGGTATCTTCTCATGCATCTTCCAAGTCAATCAATTTGAAGTCTTTACAGATCAAGTTTATCATCTTTGCAGTACTCTCCAGTTGGGGTATAGTCCATGCAGTGTAAAGCAAAATGCACTCTTTAAGAAGAATTCCTTTTCTTTTTTTTTTTGGTCAGGTGCCAACATCAACGCCCAGACTGAGGAGACTCAGGAGACAGCCCTGACCCTGGCTTGCTGTGGCGGGTTCCTGGACGTGGCAAAGTTCCTGATTGAAGTAGGGGCTGACATTGAGCTGGGCTGTTCCACGCCGCTCATGGAGGCAGCCCAAGAAGGCCATGTAGAGCTGGTCAAATTCCTCCTCAGTAAAAGTAGGTCCAGGCTGCCGTGCTGTTCAAACTAGTAACCCTCAACTCTGACAGATAGTTTACTTGCTTTATCAAACCCAGCACTGCTTTTCTTTGTAATTTTTTCGTTTGCAAATTTGTGATCCTGAATATGTTTAAAGAATAGACTACTCCGATTAGACGCCATAACGGCTGTGGCACCGCACTCACACGCACATTCTTCAGCTTGATGCGCGCATGCATTTTGCAAATCACGACACCCTGTTGGTCAAAGAGGCATGTAACCCGCGCTTACCACCTGTCCATGAGCGTTGTGCTACCACAGTAATGGCTTCTAATTCTGGTGGTTGAATTACACTATATAGTACAATTTTCAGCCCGTCATATTGCGGTTAAAGGTGATGTTTATTTTGGATGCAGTTTTAACTGATATGCAAATGAACACCCTCTAACTTGCTCCTTTTTTGTTTTGCTGAGGGATGTTTCATCCTCCAGTGCACTCCCTTCAGAGTATATTGGCATATCTGGTGGATGGGCAGAAAGACCCCGAACACCAAGACGTATCAGTTAAATGTAGCGTAATTTTCAATCTTTTCTCTGTGTTGTTTCTGTACTAGATGCCAACGTGCGTGCTGTGACAGCCACGGGAGACACAGCTCTTACCTACGCCTGTGAGAATGGCCACACCGATGTTGCCGATGTGTTACTAGCTGCCTGGGCAGACCTGGTCAGTCATTTGATATGTTTCTTCAACTTTGAAAACCCTTTCATTAATTTATGCAGGCCTGCTTCCAGGCCTCTTTTCTCCTGTTTTTGGTACCCTTTGCTCTTCACGTAGGTGTTGCATTCTTTTTAACATCCTTATAAAATTTGGCATGCAGTTAAGAAGAAAAACGTGAACAACTTGTGCATTATTTGTACCAAAAATTGTTGCTCAGCTATAGCTGTGGTGATGTGTGACTCCTTTTGTAAGGTCCAATCACTTTTGAACTCTCAGTTTTTGTTTGCGTCTGTTGTAATTGTTTTTCCCCTGTTGGTCACCCTCAGGAACATGAATCTGAAGGCGGTCGTACCCCTCTCATGAAGGCAGCCAGGGCAGGTCACATATGTACGGTGCAGTATCTCATCTCCAAAGGTGAGTCTCGCATACTAAATGCTGCATTTCATAGTGGTGTAATGAAGGCCATCCCAAGACTCGTAGCAAGACCATGCATAAAGACAATACACAAAACCTTTCATAAGACAACTTACAAGTAGCAGCGTGAACAGTGACCAAGGAATGCTTTTGTTTCATTCAGACTGGAGGCCTTGTGTTGCATTTGTGATGGTCTTTTGGGGTCTTCTGATGGTCTTAAGATCAGGGCTAAGTCATTTCAAATAATTCATTATTCCAATATTCGACCTTCAACTCAATTGAAAAGCCGAATATTCGGTCATACCAACGAGCAGGTTGTTGATGGGCAAACCATATACAAAATCAGTTGCAATAATGCACACAGTTGTACATTATAGTCACTATAATAGCTTCTCAAGTCTAGGAGTATCTCCAGTCATGATTAAGCAAGATCTAAGAGATGAATTTCTATTCCTTTTAATTTGTTGATGAGTAATTTACTTTTTGAATCGCAAGATTTCTGTCACTTTTCATTTGAATTTGCTTGAAACAAGCCTCCGTAGTGCAGTCTTTCTCTTTTAAAACAAAAGAAAATTCTCCCCTGCTTTTCTTGAATTTGCATTTGAATATTCAATTCAGAAAACAATATTTGACTATTCAACAATCAATTAAAAACTCGGATATTTGGCACAGCTCTGCTTAAGAAGTCTCCACTTCAACACTGTTTCTTTTGGAACATTTTTAAGTGCCAACTTTGTGTTGTTGACTCCAGCCATCCGAGCTACTTCTTTTTCTACATTTTTCTTCTTGGACACTCGAAAACATTTTCATGGTTGGGACAATTTGATGCAGGTGCGGAGGTCAATCGTGCAACAACTAACAACGATCACACGGTGCTGTCCTTGGCCTGTGCTGGTGGCCACCTCCGTGTTGTAGAGCTGCTACTGGAGCATGCTGCTAATCCCTCCCACAAACTCAAGGTGGGCGTTCAACGACTTATAACCCAAGCAGCTAGAACAAAAAACAGACTTTTTTGGAATTTGCCTCACAGTCATTATTTTTCCTTTACTGTGGAATGTTGTAATGCACAGGGTTCAAGGATTCCAAAGATATTTTACAACACTAGTGATTTTATTAATTACACCTTTCCAGTTCATACACACTACAGAATGTAGAGTACAAGGACTTTATTGACCTGCTTGTTGATAATGAATTGAATATACTCTCAATGAATAGGACTTACACAATGGAAATCATTTGATGTTGAATACTGATTACTCTGATTACAAATCACCACAAAAATCTTCCAAGCAAGTTTGTTCTAGTTATGCCTTTTTTTCTGTCACGACCCTTCCCCCAATAGGATAATTCCACCTGTCTGATTGAAGCAGCCAAAGGAGGTCACTCAGGGGTCATGTCCCTCATCCTCAACTACCCAAGCAACTTAATGACCACGTCGGCACCTGCAGAGGGTACAGTCACGCCCCCTACGCCCGAGCAGGGAGAAGTATCCCGGGTGCCGACCCAAGCCCTACCCATAGTAGTCCCCCCTCAGAAGCCCGACAAGCACCCAGATGAGATGCCCCAGCCCCAGGGTGAGTATATTCACCTATTCCAAGAGCTTTGGAACCCATTCAGTCACCTGTCTTTCTCAGTATAAGGCAACTGAAATAACTCATTATTGTGCCCCCAATATTGTCTTTCTGTCAGTTTTTATATTTCTGCTTGTTGATGATGCAGGTTCTCTATTGCTGGCTCAAGCAAACGTGGATCCATCAGTGGCCCAACGAGACCCAACACACCAAAGAATTCCAAACACTGCATCCTTGAGTAACGAGTCTGATGCAGATGTCTCTGCTTCAGGGCTTGGCCAGAAGCCCCACCCTGACGTCCAGATGGCCAAAGAGCAGCTCCTGGAGAAGAAGCAGAAGCAGTTCCGAGAGCTGCAGAAGATCGAGTGGGATTTCATCCAGAAGGATGTTGGGGCCGCAGCGGATTCCACCACCACTACTGCTAACGGGGAATCCACTGTCGATCGAGTCCCCAGCCCCAGCGACATGCCCTCTGCTGATGTCGCTTCCCGACTAGCCGCTGAAGCCAACAACAACAAGTCTCCTAAAGGCGTCCGGGAGGCTGTTCCAGGCTCCCCGAATGCAGAGGTCCTTGCGGCAGACATCGATGACTCGGCACTAGACCTTCGCGAGATCAAACTCAACCAGGTGAACAAGGAAGCCCCCGCACTAAGCCCCGACCTTCCCCAGCCAAGATTGTCCTTTCAGGGCACGGAAGCTGAATCCCAAATGCCAACTCAAGACCTCCCTGCTGCAAGTCGCTCCCCTGGCTCCCCCCTTCCAGGCCAGACGGTCATCGCGTCATCAAGAGACCCCCAGGATGGGCACTCCCATAAACTAGAAGTCTCCACCAACCAGCAATCTCCGGCCAGCCACCAAACTGCAGCTCCTCTAACGAAGGATGCCAGCAGCCAGATGGCCCCATTGACCTCAGCCTCCCTTCCGGACGTCCAGAGTCTTCTCCCCATAGGAGAGGATGCTCCCACGGTGTCTGTCACTGCAGTTGTCACAGGGTATACCAATTTAGGTGTTGGCAGACTCGTTGATGTGACATCACAGCCACGGGAGAGTGGAGTAGGAGAGGAGTCTCAGAATGGTTTGATGGTAGCCTCCTCAGTGTGTCCTTTGGCAGAGACCACAGATGCACAAGCACGTAAGTTGTAATTATACAGACATTATCCCTGAACCCTAACTCTGTAGACATTCCAAGAACCTTATAGAGCTCTCCAATCCTCTGCGGTGAGGGACCACAATAGACAGACTCTTGGTATGAATGCTTTTATGGGAACCAAACATCATATGTGGACTGTACCATCGTCATTACTCCAACTTTGGTGGATTTTGAAGAGACTGGAAAGTTAAGAGTGCATGCAAAGCCTTTCCATTATTGTTAAATTGTGAATCTATTTTTTGCTTCCTCTTTCTTCTCATTTTCTGACAGGCCCAGAGCTACCCCCTAAACCTTGGAAAGCTCCTCCCCAAACCCAATCCGTGGGCACCCAGTGCGATTCCTCCTCTCTGACCTGCCGTGTGTCATCTCCGCTCACCCTCAGCACCACGCCCGCTGCTGTTCCTACCCCAGACACAGCGGTGCATCCCCACCAGTCCCCATCCTCACCCGGTGGCGTGCTCTACGCCCCGCGCTTCACCCCTCACCCACCGGTGGAAGTGGACGCACAGACGGAGAGCAACCACGACACTGCACTCACCGTGGCCTGCGCTGGCGGCCATGATGAACTCGTCCAGATGCTGTTGGAGAAGAATGCCAACATGGAGCACAAAGACAAGAAAGGTACGACTATGGCTGACTTCAACACTTGTGTCAGTGGAAAGTAGCTGCAGCCACATGGTTTCCATTGCCATAAGTAGCCAAAAACATTTAGATGTGGCTTTCCCAGATAATTTACTGACCTCAAATCACCATCTTTGGTCTCATTTTTAAGATGACATCACTTGTTACTAAAATTTTAATTAATCTGTGACTTAATCGTGATTGGTGTAGAGCTAGAAAATGGAAATAGTGATTATCATGGTTCTAGGTAGGTATTTATGATCTGTTTACTGAAGGACTTTCTGCCTATTTCTTGTGCAGGATTCACCCCACTCATCCTGGCGGCGACGGCTGGCCACTGCAAGACTGTTGAGATTCTCTTGGATCATGGCTGTGACATCGAAGCCCAGTCAGAGAGGACCAAGGACACGCCTCTATCCCTGGCTTGTTCTGGGGGAAGATACGAGGTAGGTATACCTGACACGTTGTTGTTCATCCCAAGAATATCTTTCAAAGATGAGGATAAATTGGAAGAACTGCACAAGAACCACCCTCATCTCACTCAAAATGTTTCTTGGATGTAAATTGAAGCAATAATCAGTGATCCGTGGTCGTAATTTTGATTATTTTTTTTTTGTGGTTTTTGTGTAGGTAGTAGACCTGTTGTTGTCCCGTAGTGCTAACAAGGAGCACCGTAACGTCTCTGACTACACGCCTCTCAGCCTAGCTGCATCAGGAGGTTTTGTCAGTATCATCAAGCTTCTGCTCAGATACGGAGCTGAGATTAACTCCAGGTATGGACAGAGTCCTGTTTTGTGGTTGTGGGATATCTCGCAATCTGGAACTTACTGGTAATAGCAGTAATGGCCTTGGTTTTAAAAACTCCAGAGAATCAAAGTTAACAAACACTTTTTTATTTTTTGAAAATTTAGAACGGGCAGCAAGTTGGGCATTTCTCCTTTGATGCTGGCCGCAATGAATGGCCACACAGCAGCAGTCAAGCTCCTGTTGGACATGGGTAGTGACATCAATGCCCAGATCGAGACCAATCGCAACACGGCCCTAACTCTGGCCTGCTTCCAAGGTCGCACGGAGGTGGTCAGCCTGCTGGTAGATCGCAAGGCTAACGTGGAACACAGAGCCAAGGTCAGTTACCATACAGAAAAAAAGAACGACTTTGGAGTCTGCAAGTTCAACTGACAAGTAATGTTTCCTGAAGCCTCATATAATATAAAAGTTGCTTGGCTTTACCTTCCACAATCCTGCCAAGCTCAAATCTGCTCAAATCTAACCACTGTCATCGTTATTAAGACCTCTGAGTAGAGATAAATTGTTATCCGTGTCTTTCTGTTCCCTCTGCTCTCAGACGGGTCTAACGCCCCTCATGGAAGCAGCTTCGGGTGGCTATGCTGATGTGGGTGCGGTCCTGATTGAGAAGGGAGCGGATGTCAATGCTGGCCCTGTACCCTCCTCTCGTGACACCGCCTTAACCATCGCCGCTGACAAGGGTCACTACCGCTTCGTAGAACTCCTCCTGGAGCACATGGCTGCTGTGGATGTCAAGAATAAAAAGGGCAACTCACCACTCTGGCTGGCCTGTAATGGTGAGGATTGATGTCCATATTGGTCATGCATTCCCAAAGTCCATGTAGGGATTAATGGAGATTCAATGTCTAAGGTCAGTTGCTAGACAAGTAGTAACTTTAGTCATCCAGAAGTAGTGAATTTTGCTCTTAGAGCCAGTGATGAATAACCGTGTTGTAGACAGTTTACAGTCATATTACACTGCCTTGATGTGGCTTTAAACCCCTTCCTTTCCGGGTGTCTGATAAAGTGATAAGGTTAAATTGAAATAGGAGGATTGGAACTTTGAGGATCAAGGAGTCTTGACATTTTGCATGGAAAGCAACAATCTTCTTGATGTCTTAGGTGGTCATTTGGATGTGGTGCAGCGGTTGGTCCACGCTGGAGCAGATATCGACAGCCAAGACAACCGGAAGGTGTCCTGCTTGATGGCTGCATTTAGAAAGGTTAGTCATGGAAGCCTTTAATCGAGCAGAGAGGGATGCACTCCCCTGTAAAGTTGGCATCTCAAACTTCAGTGATAGTTGACATACGTACAGTGGACAGGACCCCCCTGAAAAAAGAGTTCTAATCACTACAAACTTTTTTACAGGGTCATGTTAAAGTGGTTCGATGGATGGTGCGCCATGTTAACCAGTTCCCCTCTGATGCCGAGTGTATGCGATACATATCTACCATCTCAGACAAGGTAGGATACTCATCAGGATTACTCAAAACATGAATTTCTTCCTCTCCTGAATCTGGTGCTGTTTAAGAAATAAGAATTGTACGATTATTGAGATTTTGATGTTGATTTTGATATTTTTCCTTGACAGGAGCTCTTGAAGAAGTGCCACCAATGCATGGAAATCATCGTTGCAGCTAAAGATCGGCAAGCTGCTGAGGCCAATAAGAATGCTACAAACCTTCTGGAAGAACTGGAGTCAGAAAAGGTATTGGTACCATGGCATGGTGGCATTAACCCTCCTTTGGTTTTACAGCACAAATATGCACGAGTGCCCACAGTCACTCTCTTTCGTGTATTTTCTGCATGGAATANTTATGCACATGAAACAGTGAAGCACAGTTGTTGGGCAGCACAAAAGTGCAATCAGATATTCCTGTGAGGGAGAGTTGGTGCAGTGCACCACATGACACAGCTGTGCTGCTTTGAGGTGCTTACCAAGTGACCCAAAGAGTGACTTCAGCATTGGAGGGTTAAGGGACCTAATTAAAAACTTTTTGAAATAGTTTCTGGAGTGTCCTATAAATCAGGTGAACATTCTGCCACAGTGTCATAAAGTTCTGAGTATCTCAGTACATGAAATGATTGTTTTAAAAATGATTTATGTGTGATGTTGTGTTTGTCCTTTTTTGGAATTGACAGTCACGTGAGGAGAGCCGCAAGGCCCAGGCAGCCAAACGCAGGGAGAAAAAGAAAAAGAAACGCCGAGAGAAACAGCAGAAGGATATCACTGATGACCCAGACCCAGATGCAGATCAAGACCAGGAGAGAGAGGACAGCACTCCAAGCCCAACTATCAACAGTGAGTCTTGGTTTACAGGGAGCTTTGGGTCCTGGGTTCATATCCACATGATGTTGAGTAGATCGAGCTTATCCATAATTGGTCTTAACCTTGGTTAGGCCTGAGTATGTATTAAAAACACTTAAATCCTAACATTCACCAATCACATGTCTTTGTTCACCTGTTGCTGGGAGCTGTTAGTCTAGAGTTTACATCGACATATCAAATAATAGGTTAAACTTGTGCATCATTAGGGAAGTCTGAAGTGTGACATTTTGTTCCTGTTTCAGTCCAGAGAGCATTTTATGTGTCTTAACTTTAAGCTACATGCACCTGTCGCTGTTGTCTATTCATCTTGAGTTCACATTCACTTCATGAGCAGTAGACATGCCCAGCTGTCTGATGATATGGTTTTCAAGGCGTCATACTTTGTTCCGTTCTTGTGATCATTTTTGAGACAGTAGTTTCCTTTTACTATTAGGGTTTCATTCAAACTATGAGCCCAACGATTTTCTTTTTTGTCTCAACCCCCCCCCCATAGTGGAAGACCCAGTTCCCCTTGAGCCCCCTTCTGCCACTACCACAACTACCATCGGCAAAGTCTGCACCACAGACACTCCAGCCACCTACACCATGTCTGGAGCCAAGAAGGGTAAGAACACCAAGCTAGTCACCAGCAACAACAGCAGCAACAACAGCAGCAATGTCAGTAGCAATACAGGCAACATCAACAACAGCAGCAGTGGCAGCAATGCTGTCAAGGCGCTGTCAATGACAGGCAATAGTGCCAAGATAACAGCAGGCAACATACCTACCAGCTCCTCAAGCTCCAAAGAATCAGGTACTTAGCCTTGTCTGTAAGAATCTGGCAGCGTGGCCATCCAAGAAGGACTTACTGAATGGTCCTGAGAAGATAGCCTAGTTGCGAATCATGAAGGAACCTTGGCATACTATTTGGTTATTGGTACAAAGTTCTCCTTACTTCTTGGTTCACAAATCAAACATTAATGATTGATTTGCCAATTATAAATACAAGAAGATGATGCCTTGATGTTGAGCTACAAGTTATCATACTTGAAACTGATAAAAGGAAGTTTTAGAATTTAATTTCCTAGAACCAAGAAAAATCCAGCATGAAGGAAACAATTTTATTGTACGCCATTTGTGAGTCAGGCCTGATGTCTGCCTTTTTTACAGTGACCAGTGCCAGTGACTCCAGGAAAGACCGCGTCCGATCTCGTGCCAAATCACGAGGTCAGGATATCAATGAGGGTGACAGCAGGAAGAGACTACGCAACAGCGTGATTGAGATGGACGAGACTGACAGCAAAGAGGGAGGCGGGCCAGCCAAGAAAGAACGGGAGAGGGACAAGGGGCGAGATAAGGAGAGACGAAAGAAGTCGGGGAAAGACGGCAAGCATACCGATCATTCCTCGTGAGTGATATAATCTTTGTACTTATCGGTCGTTTTATGAATTTAATTTGAGGGTCCAACAGTGGTAATTTTATTTGTACCTGTACTGAGCTGTGTAATGTGACATTTAAATATTGAAATTGATTTCAAACTATTTCAAACTATCATATATCAGATGTGACAGGGACACGAAAAAAAATCAGACCCCAAGTTTATAGACTGGCCGTAGTCCCTAAAATCTGTAACATAGATCATGATGGGTTTGTAAGAAGTGTTCCCAGGAAGCAGTTTGAAATACAATGCCAGTTTTTATTTGGGTGGGAAACCCCTAGAGACTCGCCTCAAATTAAAAGGTTGTAAGCGGTGACCCAAAACCTCCAACAGGTGCTTTTACTAAATCAGTTGTGAAGCTTATCAATATCTTGATGATCTAGAATGAAACCAACACCTCTTGTGATTTCTGCGGATAGGGACCATAGCCATAGCACTAAGAACTCGCCCCGGGGAGGCAGCGGAGACGCGGCTGGTTCCTCTACTGTCAAGAACCCGCCAGGCACAGGAGCCAGCCCCAAGAGAGGACAGAAGAGGGACGAAGGCTGGAAGGAAGTTGTCCGAAGGTAAGAAAAATAAAGTTTACCTCTAACATGTTTCACTGCATCCGCAAGTTATAGCTACAATCGGATGTTGGCTGAGTGTTCAAAGTCACAGTGTACCATGACTCAGATGAAAGACATTTTCAGTAGTTTGTATTGAGGAGTTTGATAAATGTGGATGCTGTGCTGTGGAGTTAAATGATTGGCAGAACCTGTCATCATGCGTATTTGATGGTTTTTTGTCTTCTAGGTCAATCTCCTCATTCCGGTCGAAGAAAGTCAATGTCCCTGCATCAGCAATCAGCCGTCTGATTGGCCGAGGAGGGTGTAACATTAATGCCATTCGGGAAGTGACAGGGGCGCACATTGATGTAGACCGGCAGAATAAGGGTGGAGAAAGGACCATTAACATCAAGTAAGTCTGAGTTGAGGCTTACTTCAAATAAAGTGGAAGTGAACTATTTATAGTCTGAACTATGAACCTTAGTCTGAGCTAATACAGGAAATTTGAAAGAGCCAGGCATGAAAAGGGTAACCCTTTCAGACTGTAAGCGTTAATTGCAAAACAAAAAAAGACCAAAGAAATGATTATGGCAAGATACCTTGCTTAAGGACTTGGATCCCTGATGGCTTTGAGTCTAGGGTTAAACCAAACCATTGTTGTACCTTGAGTTGTTTCATTCATATAGTGTTTGATGTTGTCTTTCAGGGGCTCAGCTGATGCAACTCGCCAAGCCCACCAGCTCATAGCAGCCCTGATCAAAGATCCAGATCGCGACATTGCCGACATCATACCAAAGGTCAAGAAGGTGACGTCATCTCACCAGTCTTCATCCAACACTGCTACCTTCACCGTCTCCAACTCCTACTCGGCGACAAAGACCGTCACCACCGCCTCATCTGCCGTCAAGGTCTCCGTGAAGAGCACAACTGCCGACACCAAAGGGATGAATCTTTGGATTCCGCAGTCAGGGGCTGTCCGTCCCTCACTGTCCATCGCCAACAGTGTGGCCCATCATGCGCAATTCTCCCAAGCAGTATTTGCCAAGGCTCTGCAGCAGCCCTTGCAGTTCCGTGGCCCTGGTGCGCCTCTGGCCCAATTCCAGGGAGGGTTCCCGCTTCCCCAGGCAGCCAGTACCATCTCAGGCTGGGGAGCCATCCCTGTCCGGAATGTGGTGCCTATGACGGGAGCTCCTAGACGACCCAGCCCCAGCCAGTCTGGGCCGCGCTTCCCGACAGCGACCACCACTGCCACGGGAGGAAGTCCATCCGCTGGTTCTGTCGCTATCAGCAGTTCGGTGGGATCCTCCCCTCGCTCGGCAGCCCGGCAACTCTTCCCACCCACTTCGTCCACAGCTGGTCCCACACCACAGGCCACCAGCACTGATCACCAGGCAATGGCTGCCCCACCCCGATCCAGTTCCTCCACTGCCCCATCATCTTCGGCTTCATTTGCCTCCAAAATTGCTGACAGCAAGATGGCCAATGTGCGACCCCTGATTCTGACAACCGTAGCGTCTTTGTCACAACCTGCGGTCACTGCACCACCCACCAAGGCATCAGTGATAGTGCGACCATCACAACCACGCCAGCCTAACCCCACCCAGCCAAGCTATCAACAGGTTCATCAGCAACAACCACCACCACAACAGCCACTACCACAACAGCAACAGCAGATGTCCCAAGGCACCCGAGCTGTCACCCCTTCATCTTCATCCACCAACACCACCTCCTCACAATCCTACCCTAATTTCAATTTCCTCACGCAGTCCCACAGCACAGGGTTCTGGGGTACGGGTGTGACCCAGCACTCCGGCAGGCCTGATGCCAACGGCGAGTACCGCCCTCCGACTCCACCTAGTGTGGAGATGTCCAAAGCCCCAGGGTACAACCGTAGCTCCCACATGAATCCCACCCCTCCTCTCCAGCAACCTCCAACCTCCATCCCTAATCCGTATTTCAATGCCCACAACTACCCAGTCCCCAACCCTCCAAACTCCACCTTTCCCCCTGGTCAGCAGTTTGGGGTCAACATCAACCAGACCCTCCCTCCTGAGCAGCCAGATTACCCCTCCCCCATCGGGTCCACCCTGAATGCCAATGCACGCCAGTTCACCCCCATTGCCAATCCTAACCCTTCCCCAACCCCTCCCAACACCATGATGTCCAGCAGTAGCTCGCCGATATCGCCTGGAGCATCGCCTCGCTCAGCGACCACCACGCCCAGTCCAGTCACCATGGCAACTGATCAACCTCAGCCTCCACCTCCAGCGGTCATTGGTCCAGATCGTCGCCTCCCAATCCCCATTGGCAATGAGCGTAGCCGTGGCCAGCGGAAGACACCCGTCAATTACGTTGGCGTGCCAGTTAGTGATCTGGGCAATCCAGTTGGTACACCAGGAAGCAGCATCTGGGCTTACACACCAGGTAGGAGAATTCAATTGAGAAATCTTTCTCAACCCACCAGACATTGACATTTCATACAGTGTTACTAGCTCAGACTTGTACAGGCCCGAATCTATCATCTACTACTCTAGGATTAGCTATTGGATGTTGATAAATAAAATGTAGTCTGTCTGGGTTTAAAAACAGCCTCTGGTTTTGTACTGGACCTGATGAAATATTCTAACATTCTTACCAAGTCTAAAAATTTAGCTGAAGTGATAAAGACAGAATGAATTGGGTGTTAGATCCATCCAGATCCCCCTCCTGGCCAAAAAATCCCCAGATCTTACTTTCATGAAACTTCTGTGTGATGAAAGAGAAGTTCCTCATCTTTGATGGAATCGGTGAAAAGTTCTTGTTATTCCTGCATATTTCCTCCAGGGAGTGGTGGTGATTGGGCCCCCAGTACCAACCTAGAGGACCTGCCAGGCGCTCCAGCTAACGGTATGCCTAACTTCCCTCATGAGGCTCCCCCTAGAGAGGACGGCTTCCAAATGCACATGGTAAGGGACTCAACCTTCTTCTAACAACCCCACCTCAGTTGTTGGAGTTAAGAAAAAGCTAAAAATCCTGGGTCTCCACATTATGTATAAGAAATGAAGCTAAACATTACTGAGAACACAAGAAAGTCGCAGCTTGGAAGACTCTTGAAGTATGCCAGCATTATTCTTGTCTTGTTCTTTATCAAAATCTCCCCAATTTTTAGTTTTCTAAAGAGATTTTAACCCAGAAGACACCTTTTGAGTTGCCAACTTGGCTTCCTCCATTATTTCTTTCAGACGCCAGTGAGTCCATTCGGGGAGCAGCATGAGCCAATGGCAGGCATGCATCACAACATGGCCATGGGAGATATGGGTGGGGTCACAGGTCACGGTATGGCAGAGGCAGTCTGGAACCCAGCACCTACCATGCATCTGGATGGTACCAATCCAAAGGTAGGTCCTATCTCAGCACTGGACATTCATATGCAAAACAAATTAGTTTGGGCAGAGCATGGGGATTATGATAAAACAAACTCATGATTTATAAGTTCTTAGGTAGCCAATGCTTGAAATAATACTAGATGTCACAGCAAATGAGGGTTTTTTTTATTGAGAACAGGGAACCAGTGAAAGTTTTGGCCATATTCTCAAGTCTGCTATATTGAATTGAAAGTGGATTGAATTGTTTTATTTTGGGAACCCAAGAATTATGAAAGCAACAAATGTCATTTATTACATCTAGATGTTTTAAGCAACATTTCAAAATGAAAGCGAGGCATGGAACCCCAGATAGTCTGGCAAATTGACAAAATTTGACAAATTACATTGAAAAAAAATAGATGCAGGGAACATGATCAAAATGGTTGCATTGTGAATAGGGTGTCTTGTAATATATAATTTCTAATTCAATGTTAGCATCGATCATGGGGAGTTTGCATCAGTTCAGTTCCTCAACCGGTTTTCTGTTTGGCTGTCATTAATGATTTGCATTTTTTCTCTGACAAAATCATAGGTATGGGGAGCCTGGAGCCAGTCAGCCATGTGACAGGAGGTGACATCTCCATCTGCTGCCATAGAGGGCGCTGTATCATTCAGTCGTGACATCCACCAGAGATAGCTAAGTTAATCATCGTCGCTGCAGTAGCCATCCTCTAATGCTTTTTGGTCTGTCGTCTGGCCAAACTACCTTTCCCATTCAAAACTCCCATGTGACAAAAATTTAGAATGTGATAATTTAAATTAAAGAATATTATTGGAACAAATCCAAAGAGAAAAATTCTCATCAAATTGCAGAAACTTTCATAGAATAATTGTAAACTGATGAATATAGTACTTTGGTTTTACTTCATTGAAAATGTGAATGCTGTTTTTGAAACAAGCTTATAAAAAACCTATTTTTATTTTTCCATCTTTATTTGTGAGAAGATAATGAACAGTTCGCCACAAAGTTCTTAAGTTGAGACAGAATGTCATTTCTGATTTTGGTAAATTGGCACTTGGATGCTGGTTAGACGCGTTTCAATTCAGCATTACTGGATGCACTGTTGTGGCTTGGATGGGTACTTTAAAGGAATTGTATTTGACGTCAGTATATATGGGACAGGGCACCAGCCTTGTCTCAACCTTTTTAACTGTTTCCCGATGTTCCCATTATCTTAGATTACACCATAGGCAACTTCACTTTGCTTGAGTGAATTATAGTAAATCTCACAAATTTTTCTAGAATCATTAAAAAAATCCACCCTACCCTTGACCCCATGTAGGATGATATTCATAGCGTTGAATTGTTTTGTTTTACATTTCTTGGGGCTTCGTGTTTTGAATCAATGAGATTGACCTTTGACCTATAGTAGGCAAGGCAATGCCCTCTGAACATTTAAAGTGGCTTTTATTTTATTCTGAATTAGACTACGGAAAGTGAAGACTGCCTTCGGACAACTAATTTCACCCCTCTCTTGTGAATCAAACACCTCCAAAGCTTTAAAGCTGGTACTGGAAGAGGACAGTTCCATTATTAGATATGAGGGGTGACCACTGTGACACAAAGGCAATTAGAATGCTGTTTTGTTGATTGATAAATGTGATAGCAAAATGTGACCTAAAGTGATTCATTGAATGCATAAAAGAATTGTCTCATTCGAGATGTTTTATGTGTCAGTTTTACTTTCATTTATGGAACTTGACGAAAAACAGAAAACAAAAGTTTGAAAAAAAACCATGACGAAATGAATTCATTCTTTCGAAATGGTGATTATTTCCGAGTTGAAAAAAAAAACGTGTCAGTTGAAGGCGATGTTTCATTAATAATGTACGTCACTAGTACGGAAGCGTCCATCTTAAAAATAACGTAGCGTTGTGATTGGTTCGTGCATTACATTGTAAACAAAGCGAGGCTTGCCCGCTTGGATGTTGGCATGTATTATGCTTTTGACGAAGGCACAGCATTAAATTAAGGTCAGTGAGCCTGTTTGACCTTTGAACATTTGTCTTAATCGTAGTTCATTTCAAAGTGTTATTCAGATCAAAAGGTTGCCACAGGTTTTTTCTATTCAGAACATTTATCTCAATTTCAGGAAAATATTTTGAATTTTACAACCACTGCAGGTCTTAGGGACATGAACAAATGCATCATTGTGACTGGTTCAATTTACCCAAATGACTCTTCAAAATGAAAGCCTTACCTTCCTAGAAATATTTCAGTTCACTCATGAAACTTCAGCAATAACAGTTTGTTCAAAATCACCCATTGGCCAAACTCCAATTTCTTCAATTATAAAACAAACCTTGGCATTTCCATCATCAGTCATTTATGTTTGTATTTTACTGCCACTTCTGAGAAATGAACCTGTGTGCACTGTCACCAGACTATCATGTGACCCGTCAAAGAAAAAAATTCTACATGTCATGAACAACAGAGGGCAGTGCAGCCTAAAGTGATCACGTAGCATGAGCAGCAGTTCCAGCAGTACATGTGATGGTCAAATGAGGAAGGCCCTTCAACCAGGTTGCAACAAGACCCTCACACTAAGTGGTCTACCTGTCTCACTCAATAGTCTCCAGAGGAGCAAGTCCAGATGTGTCTCTCGACCATGGAGATAACCCAGCCCACTCTTCAGGCATCAGCCAATGACTTGCTCTCGTGAAAAACAAGGAATGATCTTCTGCAGCATTCAGATCTCAGTGGCAGACTCAACACTGCCTACTCCCAGGACTTCTCCGTTCTCTGAAAGACCCAGTCAGACAAAAGTCCACTCCACTTCATCTAAACCAAAGTGCCATCATCTCCCAATCATGGAAGCTACTTCCCAACCCCTGAACCCCAACAGCTCCTGGCCCTTCAATCAGTTGCTCCAAATCATCCAACAGTCACACGCTGGTGCTTAAGCCTTACCCCTCCACCCTCTCAGCCTCCAAGCCTTAGATCTTGCCAATTTGTCAAGGGGTACCCCTTGCAATCTGGAAATCTAGTCAGTGCTGAAAAATTTCTAAGTATAAACAACCTAAGGTTTATAATTACGAAAACCGTAGAGTTTTTCAAGAAAGTGCCGTGGCCTAGCGGAAAAGAAGAGAGACTGCTAGTCAGCAGGTCCCCGGTTCTAGTCCCAGCCATGCTACCATTTTATTTCTTTTTTTTATAAATCACCACTGCAGAGAGTAAAAAATCCTCTCCCCGGGTCCCCAGCTGGATTTGAACCGGGGACCCGTCAGCCTGGCGGACAGCGAGCTAGCCCACCAAGCCACAAGCTTCTTCGAAAAATTCTGCTCGGAACTTATATTTAAAGGTTAGGATTGCGCAATCAAAAAAAAACTGATCCTTGACCTCATTTCAATAAAAAATTTAAATATTCAAACCAAATATTAGTTGAAATGCATTGTGGGATTGGTTTAATTCGACCTCTCGTTCTCGTCATTTGTACGTTAACAATCCAATACTCTTAAGGTGCGATTGTTAAAATTAACGGAAAAATAAACAATATACATTGTAAAATGAAACTGAATTACCAGTCTCTTTAACCAACCTTAAATAGCAACATACAAAATGGCCAATTAATGCTCTAGCAGACAGGCCCTTTTTTTAGTACAATTAGTTCCATTTTTGGGAGTGAATAATTTCTCTTGAGCGACTAAAATTTGGATCCGTCTGAAATAGCTCAGTACCGGCACCAGGTAATAAATTCGTTGGAAATTCAATTAATTTTGTTCAGAAAGTACCTTAAGAATGCCTATTCTTTATGAGTGAAGTTACAGACTGATCCTTACCTGAGCTTCCACTGTGTTGAGGCTTTATAACAGCAATGACCCCATACAGAGTTAAATTGAGTTTCATTTTCCTCCATTTCCAGAATATAACCGGATTTGTCTTCACGTAAAACAATCGTTTCTCAACTCTGACCTTTGCAAACAATTTGATCAGATTTCAAAAAGTTAATACAATAAAAAAATTAATTGAATATTTATAATCTTTCATTGAGCTCCATAACATTAACTGGTTGGTCAGTTGCGTATAACTGCGCAATTGTGAATGGTCAGTTTTGTTTTTTTCACCATCGATCTTGAGTATTTTCATTAAAAAGAGTCAAAATTCACTAGCCCTTCAAAAGAGAAATGCTCAATAAAGTTATTGAGCATTTCAAGACACATTTTCAATTTTAAAGGCATGATCTTTTAATACAAATGAAAAATATTTCAAATGTTCCATTTTTGAATGCTCATTTAATAGAATGACACAGAGAATAAAGCATTTCCAACATTTATTTCATCATTTGTGTAATTTAATCAGTTTTCTGAGCCCAAATTCGAGTATTGTATCAAAATAAATTTCTATTGTTAAACTACCTGAACTGATCATTACTCTTTCGCTAGTATTTAGTCCTAAAAAGAGAAATGTTTTACCACCTGCTAGCAAGAAAATTCAGGCATATTTAATACACTAGAAATATTTTAGGTATTTCATTTTTGAAACACTCATATAATAAAATCACACACAGAATGAAACGTTAACATTTTAATTCATCATTTGTGTTGTGATCAAGCAAAAGTCATTTGTCAACCCAGGCCAATTTATCGAGTTTCATTCCTTTGAAAGGTGTACCATGTTGATTTCATTTCTATGAAAATCCAAACAATGAAACAACCTTTGGATCAACAGTAGTGGAAGTTGAAACATTAAAAAATTTGACTGATTGAGATGTTTCTTAAAATGTGTGTAATTTGATTACAGTTTTTCAGAGCTAAAATTTTCTTAATCATTCCCAGTTGGATTCCACTAGAACTAAAACAAGCCAAATTTCTATCTCTACACTGCAAAAACTGTTCTGATGGACTAAAACTGCATGGACTGACAAACTGAAGTACGAGGAGACAATGAACCATTTCATGCCTTGCCATTCCAGATCTCTATTGTCCTCACAAATCCATACTTGGTGGGGCCCCGTTAAGTTTCATTTCTTTTAGTGTCTTTGATTTTGTACGTTCTGTTGATGGTACTTGGACATCTCTTGAGATGCTGTACATCCTGATTTACTTCTGGTTCTCTGTAGTCAAGAAGCACTTTTCGTGGGCCAAGGTTCACTGCATGGAAGCCTGAAAATAAAAATAATACCAGAATATTGTTGGAAATACACTTTGAAAGTTGGGGAGGTCAAAATGTTTATATTGAGAGACCGTCAGGTAAAGAAGGGCAATTTTTCTCATCAGTAAAAGAAGCTTTAGATATAAAGCGATAACAAACATTAAAAAAGCCATCAGAATGAGCTGAATTTACAGTGCAAAAACTGTAATATTCTCAAATAATTTGTATTTATCGTACATGTAATTGAACAAGTTAGTCTACTAGCATCAGTTTTAATAATGCATGCATACCATTTAATTATTCAATAAAGGAAGTGTAAGTTTGATATATCTTCAAAATGGTGCAGTTCAAGTTTCAATCTGATCAAACCCCCAACCATCAAACTGAAATTAGCCATAATTTTAATTTTACCTTATCTGCATGACGGCAGCCTCGCATGCATCTTCCAGGAGTTTTGAGAGGCATTCAACAAATAATGAGTGAAAAAACCAAGCTATGCTTCTTGATCATGAATGCACCGAAAGGAAAAAACAGATACGCGGCGCTGCTGTTTTCAAGCCGACCTCCTTAAAAGCACCAAGTTCCAATCCAGTCAATGTATGGAAACAATGATTAAAATTAACCTTAACAGACCTCAATCCTTTACTAGTTGGAGGGTTGAGGACTGTTAGGGTTAATTACTCAAATTTCTGATTGTTTGGAGCAACAGTTTCCACAGTGCTTCGGCCATCAAGAGCCAAAATGAAGACCAATATGTCTTAACAGTAGACTTCATCTTTGTAGACAGCTCTTTGTGACAATAGAGGGCTCACTTGTCCTCAGCATAGGGGATGAAGCCAGTTGGTTTCAGTTACTGTCAGTTTACCAAGAGGAGACATCACTCCAGGATGGCAACAAAAGATGCACAAATGCTTGGACAAAATAAACCAAAAGTAGAAATTAATTCTGCACCATTTATTAACCTTCACAAGGGTGATAATCAAATGTTTTTCTTAATTTGATTTGAGTGAACTATCAAAATTGAAGTGCTCTCAATATGATGAATACACGTTATGGTAAATTAAAGAAACTGGATTTGCTTCAGTTCGAATTTTTCACTTTTAAAATTAAATTAATTATGAATTTAAATGGCATTTCTGAAACAGTTTTTGACATCCTAATTCTTTTATTTTATTCCCCTTCAAACGGAGAGCAGTTTATTGGATGTCTCATCTAGGATATTCAATAATTAATGCATTATGTATTCCTGAATAGCTTATACTTAATTGCATTTCATCTCTATATCTGTTAGACATAATTTATGTACTCAATGACCTGACTCAAACTGACCTGAAGGGACTTGTGAGGCATCACAGAAGCATCATCTGGGAAAAAGAAAGTTCAGATTTTCAGACATTTTAACTCGTGTAGAAAAGCTGCCTCCCACATTATGCATTCTGTAAGCTTGGTCACAGATTAACTTACTGGCATTTTTTCCAACAGCTACAATGCAAAACCAATCAAGATACGACAGTGCATGGAGTTACTCCGTATGAAACTTTTATTAAAACTTTTTAAAAACTTAGGTGTTGATTCCTGGTAAGACAACAATGGGGGGAAGGCCTTTTTCAATGCAATACTACAAAAGCCATACAAAGTATTCTGGCATTCAAAGACTGTTTTAACAAAGAATATTTCCAGGCATGTGTTTGTTCAATATCCTCACCACGTGTCCTGCTCATCAGATGCACTGTTCCCTGGAGTTAAAAAACAACAACAAATTTTAAATGAACCTATCAACAGGTTGATACATTTCCAAATGTCAGTTTCAAAATTTGTCTTAAGGCGGCATCATAATAAGTGTACAGTTCTGATGAAATCTTTGCACTGACAAACACCAATGACCAACTTAAATGGACGTATGAATATTTACCCGCTCTAATCCTCAATCACATTTCCTCCCACCTGAAAAAAAAATTATACAAAATATCATCATGAACAAATAGAAAATAAATCATAATTACGAACATACTGGAAACGAATCAAAAATGTTATTTTTCACAATGGTCCTTTACTTAACACGTCATCACAAGTTTCACTTGAAGTGAGTGACATGGAGGTCGGAATTGGCATTTTAACGTTCATAATTTTTTTTCTATTCTCAGAGCTGCCAACTTCTTCATTACAAGACTAACTGAAAACAGAAATAGTGCATAAAGTGGCAAAATTCAGGAAAATTCATTCGTCTGCGATGCAATTATCCCATTTAATTCACTTGAAATATTTCCCCCTTTACAAATGTTGAAAATGTTCTCACACAAAAATGACACACAGAACTCAGTTCAAATGATACATACACAGTCAATTTTCAAGATTTATTTCAAATCTGAGAAGCATGTATGAAACCATGCTGAATGCTGTTTTTGTTTAAGTTAAGAACAGTTCTTTAATAACTGAGAGACTACCAGTATACAATAGATAGAAACTAAGAATCTGGAGAGTAAAAGGACCCTGTAAAGCTGCTGATTAAGAACATAAATCCAGGGGAGAAGTGGAGATCGGGGGGGTGTACGAAAACAGAAGACAGATTTTGAGGATTTTAGGAACTTCTCAACAACCAAGATGTATTGAGCAGCAATGAAAGGGGAGAAAATGGGAGAATATGGTATAAATATGCTATTTTGAGGTAAGGTTCAGTGCTGTAAGTATAGGTAGTATACATGGACATGTATCATGGATCAGCATCCCATCTTTTCAAATTTCCATGGCCGGGTAATGTTTTAAATTACATCATTCCTCAATCGTCTAGTCGCTGGCACAAATTTTGGCAGACTTGCTCCTGAATTGACAGTTGAACAGTAAAGTACGAACTCAACATCAAACACCAACAAACACAAAACATCCATCCATGTGTCTCACATACTGATTTATTATGTTACTCGCTGTACATGCCAGAGCGTTCATTTGAAGAATTACTGAATGAGGTTGAACAATGACATTGTAATCCAAATTTCAATAAATTCACTCCATTTACAGAATATTTAGCTGAACTCCGTATCCACTGCCCAAACTCACACGGAAATAACGGACAACGAATAAACAACTTCACTCTTTATTGCTGTTGCTTCTAATTCATCAAAATATGTACATGATTAACTGAGATTAAACAGAGTTTAAGAATAAAATCAAAGATAGTACTTAAGAAATTTTAGCATGAGGTCCACTCGCATGAAAAAAAAAGTTTAGCGACATATGTGTTGGTGCTCTGTTGGCCTATTCTCCACGATTAAAGTATTTTCCCAATAATGAATACCCCATTTACAGTCCTAGTCTGAGATCAGAGTTCAGGATTAAATCAATCAATGTCACGATCACTGTCTGGGTAAGAATTGGAAAGCAGGATTGGATCCAGACAGTACCAGAAGTAGAGTCCAGGTTTCCATCTGCTCTTAGTTCAGAGTTCTCCGCTACAGCGGCATCTAAGATCCGATCACCAGTTTTGAAGTCTTCCTGTAGTTAGCTGGCTCTGGTTTTGTCATTTCTCATCCACTTAAGTTCCCCCAGTTGAGTTTAAACAGCATATCGCCGCCTTCCTTCGGGGGGGGGGATTTCAGGTGTTGAAGTGTTGTGCAGCATGCAGTGATTGGCCCATCATTACATTCACTCAGATATATCACTTTGATGAAACGGTGTGTCTGTAGGTCTAAACTGTAAAAACACATCTCCAGATGATTCATGCATCTCCAACGTCAACTTGATGTCTTGTAATTGTTCACTTATCGTTCACAATGTTCGCTTCACACTATCTGCCTCGAGACAAAACACACTCTCACCAGTTAAACAGAGCCCTGTTGGAAACTATACAACTGCAATGCATGCATTTCATCGTCATTCGTAAATCAACAAAGTGCAGTTCTAACCAACAGAGCCTCCATTGCTTGGAAAATGGCACCTCCTCTTGATTGTGTTGAGGTCTCATACACATGCGCATCTCCCTGGCCAACTCTTTGGCTGTCTTGATGTGGCACTGACTACATCCGTTAATCCTATGGTTGGTAGTGCCCATGGATGCCCACTGCCTATACACACACCCTCTTTTTGAATTGGCCAATCACAGGCTTGTCTTGGTGGTCAGTATATGGCACTACAGTCAAAACCTGCATTTTCTCTCTTGATTATGGACCCTGGTGATCTACCCTGAACATATGCAACAATGCCTTATTGTTGGGAAGAGGGTTATAGAAAATTGTTCAAGGGTGTTAAAAGCCAAATGTGCTTGGAAGGGGGAGAGTAAAAGATGTGTTAGCTACTGTAAATGAGAAGGAAACTATTCCCTATTCAACATTCAAAAATGGAGGGTTGAGCCTCCTAAGAACAAAGCATGAACTTCTAAATGAAAATTTGTATCTTGAAGTTTCTAAACAATCATTTGAGCACAGAAGACGTGTACAATACAGGATGGAAAGCTGAGTTTTGTATATGGATTCCAGTAATTATTTCCTACAGTGACCTATTAGCCATCAAAAAGCAAAAACATGTCCAGAAAAGTTTTAATTCGGGGGAAAAAGTTGTTTACTTAGAAAATACTTAATTTTTCAGACAAGTCTCATAGGTTTGTGCATGGGGCGTCAAGTGGCGTCCGTATATAGAACTTTTTCCCTGGAAAGGGCGTTGCAAGGGCCTCAACTTTATTTACTATACATGTATATTATTTTAACAAAGGTCAGTCACTGCAAAACTGCTGGAAAGGCACAAATCCGGGACGAAGAAAAATGTCTAATTTTGTTTGGAAAAATAAGTACTTACATTTACAAAACGTTGTTGACTTGCCTGCATGTACAGAACGGCTGTAGTGCAACATTCTATCCAAAATGACAAGGTATTCCAGTCTTAGATTTAAAAACAAGGAGTGCAGCGGTGTAAACGTGATAGGAAAAGGCCCAGGTCATTCATGTATCAATCAATCTTGTTTATTTCTCCACGTAGCAATGCGATAAATATCACAGAATTACTGCAATAAAATTTGGACGAGGCCTCTAAAAAGCAGGGCTTGTCTCGTAATGGGCCCAAGGAATTAAATTAAATAACAACTACAAACACACACATGTAAACATAGCAGAAATTACATGGGACAGAGCGTAACCAGTAAAACCTGTTAACCCTAACCCCCTAGGGTGTATGTAAAATCGTATTGAAATTGGAGGATTTGGGACTGTCAGGGTTAATGGATGATTAATTTACAGGCAATCATTCACTAAGTGATTTTTATAATTGTGTATGATTAAAGATCGACTGCAAACTTTTTTTAATGAGAGATCCAGTGAGTTCCATAGTTGAGGGCCTTCATGCCCAACTGTACTAGCAGCCAGCTTAGTACATGAAGAGCTGTAGTAATAGTCTGAACAGTGTCTAGTAAGGCGGGGAGGAATATTTACATTTTGGGGTGGTTTTTTTTGGTGAACATTCAGCAGATGGATTTCGGGAATTTGGAATTACGTATATGAAGTTGATGCATTAACGTAGCTAGCTGGAATAAGCAAACATCACCAATTTTCAACACTTTACATTTCTATAAAAATGATGTTTCCAAACGAGTCAGAACTTGCAGAACCCCACACCGTTGAAAGCTGAGCCCAAAACTGAATGAAACAGTACTCACCTTGACAAAACTGACGGATAGTCATGGCGTTGACAACTTTATGCTAGATTTGGCGAAATACATGTAACACAACCATTCCTTATGTCCTCGCAACATACACTGTGCATGTACATCGTACTGTCAATATACGCATTAAATGTGCAACCGCAGCAGATTCCAGTTTCGTGTACCTACTTAAAACCCCTCTTTAAATCTCCGTAGTTGAAAAATGCCAGGCGAGAGCACTTCTTTGAGCTTTGTAAAACAACATGAGCTGGTCTACACGACAGGATGTACAACGGAAAAACGAGAAATTTCAGGCTTAAAATAATCCAACTACACCGTATGTTACAGCAGGAGCGCCATGACGAAAACAACCATGAAGACAACGCATGCGCGCAAAATTTGAAAAGAAGGCTAGAGCACGTGTGTACGCGCCTTTTATCCACTTTTTTTTGCATGTTAAGGCAGTGGCGTAAATTCTGTGCTGGAACTATGATGGAAATTGTTGGGGGGGGGGGTTGACTTCCAAAGTTATGGAAATTAGAGGGTGGGGTTCTGACACCATGACACAATATGGGAGTGACGTTCATGACAGACGTATATCTTTATTGCAGTGTGTACACGAACATTCCTGCAGAATCTTACATTAAAACGGCATATTTGTAGCTTTTTAAAAATTGTTGTCCGTTTTTAGTGCTATTAAGTACATTTTTTGTTGTAGGGGAAGTCCAATATATTCTTCGCAATCTACCTTTTTTCTACCTTTTTTAAAGAGAGGTGATGATTCAACAGGCCACGCCCATCACCAGTCAAAAAGTGGGGGACACGCATACTCCCCTTCCTCTGATCACGAATTCTGCCGTAAAAATGCATGTAACTTTCTAAATGTTTATTTCGATACAAATAATATACGTCTTCACTTACGAGAAACTTTTGCCACACCTTCCCCCCGCCCAAAAAAGAACGCAAAACAAATTGATATAAAAATAATCTGATTAGGAAACGGTAAAGTATAAACCACACAGTGCACATAATTATGTACATTATGATGATGAACCCTCATCAACATTTATTTGATTTTACAGGTCGATTCTCGCCAATGAGGTAATAAACTGACTTAGGCAAGATAAAACATTCAGCAAATACATCATTCGTGAGCACCTTATAAATATGTAAAATATGTAATTTGCATAATCTTATAGCTTATTTGCATACTTCATGACGGAACGTATGCTATCTACAGAATATTCAAATAAACAAAATGGAAGTCTAGCTTATGACAAAGCTTTACAGTTAAAGTCATTTACAAAACCTAATTATTAAATAAATTACTCCTCGTCTCAAACAATAGGACCTTTCGCTTAAAGAAAATTGCTCAACTTGAAAGTAGAGTGTTACATTTTATTTTAGACCGACGTCAAGAAATTAAAAGAAAATTTGGTGTTTTTGATATTTCTTGAGAAAGCAACATCTGATGACCGTGATGTAGTTCATGCATTCAGTTATATTCAAAAAACGCCAACCCACTCAAACTTTTCTGCTGTAATGTCCAAAAGATTCCCACGTGTATTAAAGACAACACTGAAATCAAACACACTAGAACGTTTAATTTCCCCTCATCTAAATACAAGCCTCGGCGTTTTCAACAGACAGAAACGAACTCCCTATGTCCGACCATTTCAGTCTGATCTCTATTCATCACCGTATTTCCAGCCTGTTTCATTCTGAAAACGCAACAATGAGATCAGCCACAAACAACAGGCCTACACATCGCGCGGAATTTCGGAATTTAGTTTCGTTGCTATGCAAAACATGCACAGTCCTTAGCAAATATCTGTACTTGGTAGCTCCGTCAAATTTCTGCCACTCCAAAATTTCCAGATAGGAAAGTTATACAAGGTGCCAACTTTCGCTTAGCATTTTGTTCTTACCAGCTAGCTGAATGCATGCACATCAGACACTCTATGGCACAAGGGTGACGTCCTTTCATAATGCAGTATCTTTACATAATTTACACGTAAAATACATGAGCTAAGATTTTGTGACGTCACGAAACAGGTGCTGACATGCATAATATCAAACTTAAGGCAGAGTGTGGGAAAAGACAGTCACCTTTGATGGAGTAATCAATGATTGTCGCTTCAAAAAGAAGTAAAATTGCGATGTCTCTTCCAACTCACAAAGACACCGACTGAATTGAGTTAACACTTTACTCAATGTCCTCAAAAATGATTTAGATACGCACTAATATCTTTCAAGTCTATTATTACAAGAAGCACCTTGGGCAAGCGATTTCTGCAATGCAGCCCCTCATTATTCCATTTTAGGTTTACTGGTGCATAATTCAAATACAAAAATATTGTTATCTGGGTGATTTAAACACAGTATCATAGGAGGACATAATCAAAAGATCACAGATTCATCCGTCAAATTTTAAGTCACGGTGGAGTTGATTTTAAACTTTGACCTTTTCAAAATTGAAAAATCGTCCACAACTGCATGATTCCTCCGTTTGACACTGCAATACACGCAATTAAAGGGACAAGAATTCAACAAAATGACTGAGAAAAAATCATTTGATGAACAAGAAACAAGAAAAAAATTTATGGGCAGTGTCAGCGCCACTGGGGAAAAAAATCTTTCACTCATGACAAAATCAGCTGAAATCAGTACGAAAATTAATCAAAACCGCCCACAATCGAACCTGACAGTCACTGACTTCCTCTTACTTTGTTACTTTTCCAGAACAGTTTCATGTCACAGCAACATTTAAAAGTCATGCGATAACATTCTCAACTTCACTATTTTTCAATAGAACACCAACAGTAATACCAGACAAGGCAATACGATACAAATATAACACAAAAGCACGGTAAAAGTTCTAAACCAAGGCAATCTTTAAATAAAACAAATAAATAAATGGACAGTAATGGCTATTTGACTATTTATATTATTTACGACTACAATTGCATGACTGAAAACAGCATTTCAGAGTTTTCGTCAAACAAATATCTTTTCAACGGATACTCCTTTTAAAAACAATCGTGCATAAATATGTACAGCTTAAAAATGACTGCCGATTCGGTAATTCAAAAAGGCTAGGTCAGTTGAGAGTAAACCACGCTTGCGAGTACGAGTCGCGTTTCGGACGGCGCTGATAGGACAGACATCGTGCGCGTGTAATTCTGTTCCCGAATGACCTCGGGCGCGTTTCATTCTGGACATGTTGCTGTTGAAATACCGAATTAGCCCATTGAATTATAACCGTATATGGAAGGCTTCATTTAGAAGAACCAGTAACGATTATGATTATTCATTCCGCAATATCGCAAAAGCTACACTGTATAGCATGCATACATTCCAATACAAATGCATATTCATTGTCAGTGTCCAATCAAATGCTGTAATGTCCTTTGTACATATTCATTATGAATTTCAGCCAATAAAAATGAAATATACGGTGATGGTTTAACTGTACTTTTATTTACAAAACTAGTATACAACACGAGCTAACGACAGTAAAACATATTCCAGATATAAAAAGAGCTGCTCGAGGAGCATTTTAAAGTTTAAATAAAAAGGAAATTAGCTCACTTATCTGAAAAATATCAAGGCATGCCTTGAAAGGGATCATGAAAGTTTGATTGACAACCCCTCTCCAAGAAACAGACAACAAATACTTCTCACTGAAGACATGGAAGGAAAATAAACTAGAAATCACATCCAACTTAACATTTCCATAAGCCAATTAAATTTCAAGCAAATTTCCTTGTCCCAGTCTTTCAACATGAAGAGTTAAATTTCCAATTACAATGTGATTGGGCAGTAGCACAGAGTATGCAGGCTAAAGTAGATGTGGTACACGAGGCTACTTTATGCAACCCAGTATAATTATGAATCACAAAGTCGTGCATGAATATCGGTAAATTTCCCCGTCCTGCAAAGTTTGGGGAAGACGCAACGTGAAGATGAAGAGTGTCTCGTCTTGACCAAAAAGAGACAGGATTTGGCATTATGCCATGTATTTGTAGAGCCACAACACAAAGAGCCATATAAAGTATGTAGGTTTACCGGAAGTTACTTTGCGAAATTAAAGCACCTTTTATAGAAACATTTCCACCTTTCATACAGAAAAATATCATGTCAGGAACCAGAAAAACTTTGTATTCTGTCAGTGCTCCTTGGATGAGACGATGTGGCCCTTAGTTTCAAATGTTACGCACATTCCCCAGACAATGACCCGCACATTTCTCATGCAGACACTCTTCCCCAAATAGAATACAATAAAAAATATATAAACTTTTTATTATAAGTATTTCTGTTTATTTTTGTTTCTTTTTTTCCCCTTATAAATCTGCTATATGTACATATCCATACAGTGTAGTACTAAAAATGACATGGCAGGAACCAGCCTGGTGTTCCATAAGTTGGTATGGTGCTGAACAGCGCCCTCATGTCAGACTAAACATTTCGAGACCTCTAAGGTTGGTAGTAGCAGCATTCTGGTAGCGGTAACCCATTTGAACCCTGCAGTAATACCAGGGGAAAAATTGAATTTGTCAGGCATAAAACAAAAGAAACTTCCAGGCATACCCTCAGTGCTATCTCCAATTCTTGCTTGTCCAAGTAAGTCAACTTCCACACTACTCAATCAAGGTTCACACCTGTTCCAGATAAATCTTCCTAAATCTGCCAAATAACATGCCTTTATACCCAGTCACACCCTTTTAACCAAAAGTACTTCCATGCACAGCCAGGCTTTGTATCTCCTAACCCAAGCCAACTCCTTCAAACTTCATCACAACCATCAATTCTCTACATTCATTTCATCACACGCCCTTCAAACCCATATGACACCCCTCAATCAAAAAACCCCTTCCTGCCTTTCAGCCACTCCCTTCATTCAAGCCTCAGCCCCTTCCCCTTCAAGCCCCAATCACACCCTTCAACTCAACCCCATCGGTCCTAGCCATATGCCCACGTAAAACCACACCCCTCCAAGCCCCTCCCCCCTGTCACACCCATTTGTGTCTCACAACTTGTCTGTTGGCCGTCACTCATTTGGTCTTCGGACAGCACTGAAGATCAGATCCACTCAGGAGACTCACCACGGGTACTGGCGCATCCAGACCAGGGGGTCCTGGATCACCAGGTTGACCTTTGACCCCCTTCCTCCCTCTCTTTCCTTTGGAACCCTACATTTGACAATAAAAACAGACTTGTAACATCACATTGATTACGGTTTGAGATTACACTGTGTCATAAGGCCCCTATGGTACAGTCTCTTAATTTTCCTGAAAATTGTTTTTAATAATCTTTTAATTTGTAACTGAATTGTCCTGCTCAAAATCAGGTATAAAAGTCAAGCAATAAGCGACGAGAACAGGACTTTAGAAAGTCATGCAACACTACGAACAAAAACGAACAGAGATTGAAAGAATGAAATGTTAACTCAATCATCAACACAACTTCATTCAAAGGACACTTGAAGTTCACAGCACAGACTGATGTTTAGCATAAGAACAAAGCCTAATATTGAAGATCTGTTATGCTGGATCTTCAAAGAGATTTACCTGTTCTCCTCTTAATCCACGATCACCCTTTTCACCCCTGGGGCCTGGCTCACCCTGAATGCCTTGTGAACCCTACAATCATGTCACAACGTTACCAAAAGCACAATTTTTACCACAAGGAACAACATCAAAAAAGGAAAGAAATCAAAAACCACACATTGAGAAAATGACCAAGCAACTCAGAGTCAAAGAAGGTTTTATGCAATTTACATTTTTCATGAACACAAAAATAACTATCAATGTCACCTCAAAAAGAAAAGGTATTCAAGAAAAGACTAATGCTCCATACTCATGAAAACATCAAAAAATCTGGATGACAGTCCTCACCTTTTCGCCCTGATGACCAGGTGGGCCCTGATAAAAAAGGAAAGAATACAAAAAAGAGTGGGTTAGGTAGAAAACTTCATCTTCAATTGTGGAAAAACATTGTTTCAAATTCTATTTTCATGGCTTTTCTAATACCATGAAAATGTTTGCCAGGCTGTTATGTTACCAAATGTTACCAGGGTAATCAGCAAATAAGCTTGTAACAGCAAAAGATCACTTGAAACGCAGTGCATGTAGTTACATGTGACTATCTTTCAGTGTTGTGAGGAAGAGGTTTTATATTTTATGGGACCTCCCTGCAAGGTCTTGGCACAAAAGTCAGGTGACCTTTAAAACAATCTATTATTTGGGTGCTTATTTTTAAAAAAAGTAAACAAGGCTGTCTTACCAAGGATCCCTTTGGTCCTTCTCTGCCAATTCTGCCAGGCTCCCCAGCAGGGCCCTGTCACACACAAAATTGTATGTCTTATTAAATTCCAAGGAAGGTAGTTCTTTGCATACTGGTTTAGTTCATGCACAATTTAGAATCAAGTTACAGTTTAACACCTGAGTGATACAAAAGCATAACCCAAAATCAACAACGGTTTACGTTCATGAGGACACTGTATAGTATTGTGGTGGGGCTTATAAATATCAATTCTGAGGTCTGGCATCCCGGCTTACCATAGCTCCTGTTGGACCAACTTCACCTCGTTCTCCAGTCTCTCCTTTATTACCCTGCAGAAGTATGTGACATATGCATACATAAATTGTACACTGTTGTGTCATCTCCCTTGGCACGTCAATGAGTAAAGCAAGGAAATGTTCAACAGCTGGAGCTCAACTAGGGACTTCTACTACCTCAATTGGGCTCTGGCAATTTTCCATGCATGCTTACATTTGGACAGCTTAACATGGGTAATTCCTGTGTCACCTGTTCAAAGTTCAGTACAATGCTTAGCAATAGATGACTTGGTTGAGTTCTAAAATGGGTTTGCACCAGAAATGAAAATCAAAACATTCTGTTCATAGAGGAACATCAACAATTATTTAAAAAATCTTTACATTATCTGTGACTGAAGCAACAAAATATACGGAGCACAAGACAGGACAAAACACTGCTGATTACACACAAATAACTGTGGTTAACACAGAGAAAGTATGGTTAGTAAATGATTAAAATAAAGGACATGTGGCTGATTCTTCGGGGAGAGAGAATGAAGGAAGGAAACTTGTTAGTGTATAGCACATGATTCATGAAAACAACTATTAGTAGGGAAAATATTTAATGAAAGCAACTGGAAAATATTGGATCAGTAGAACAAAAAATGGAAAAATTAGTGCAGATGAAAATTCAACACGTCCCTAAAAACATTAGAAATATTAGAATTTTTAGAGTGGAGGGTTAGTACATAATTGAACATGACGCCTTGTTTACATACAGCAGGTCCGCTTAGTCCGATAGAGCCTTTTTCTCCCTTCTGACCGGGCGGTCCACTCAAGCCTTGCTGACCGACTGGACCCGGGGGACCTACTGTGCCTTTAAGACCCTATAACAAATCAATCAACTGATTCATGAAGGTACTTTGCAAGAAAATATCAGTAAGAGGAAGGGTTTCAGACAGTAACACAGTAAAAACCTAGAACACTGAGAGTGGTATCTCAAAGTCACCTACAGAATGAGGACATGCCTTTCTTTCTTCGTAGAGATTTTTCCTTTTGAAAGTTCCACTGGATTTATCAAACACTTGTGAAAACCAAATGGAAGACTGAAGCACCTTTACATTCAGATATCAATTTACACACACAGACTGTCAGTTACTTTGTAGACGCTCAATCCTCGATCTTTAGCTAACTCAGATTTTAGACCTGTGTGCTACCAACTAAATGTAGAAATTTGTACCAGTTTATCCTGGTCTGTTTGACAGCAAATTTCCTGGTAACACAGACAAACACCATATGAATAAACAATACTCGAAGATTTGTTGATTTGTAGAAAAATTTGAAGAAGTTGATGCTGTGTACCTCCAAACCTTGCATGCCTGGTGCCCCGGTTTCACCTGGTAACCCAGCATCTCCCTTTTCTCCTTTCTCACCCTAGAAACACATTGACGAATGAAATAATTGAATCAAGCAACAAGCAAAAGCAGTTAAAGAACTTTTAAATGGAAACTGACAAAGTACATTTTTCCCCTTAAATTGAAAAGGTTACAGCCAGGAGAAGCAGAAATAAATGTTAGTACACAATTGTCTGGCTTGATCACATGACTACCTACAGTCAATCCTATTGGTCCAATCTGACCATCGCTGCCTTTCTCTCCTGGTGTGCCAGGCCCTCCCATGATGCCCTTTGGTCCAGGCAATCCCATCATGCCCTTTTCTCCCTGTTTTATAATGATGTAAAGTTCACATAAGTTCAGACAGAAGCACTTCCACAGATTGAGACAATGTATTGACAACAAAATGAAGGAGGGAAATTTACATATTACCATGTCTGACATTTTTCCCCCCAAAATTCAAAACATGAGCTTTAAGCCAATTTCTCAAAGTAACTGTTTTAACTGACTTTTCAATAAACAAGTAATGAGATTGACATATGGACCATATAAGCCACTCATAAGGCTTTTGCCATACAGTAATCACTTGGTTAAATTGATCTTACATGTTGCTGACAAAATGCTCTGATTCAATAAACTACTTTTGGAGACATGATGTTATACTTGAAACAATGAAAATCAAGCTGTGATGTTAGTAGGACAGAAAAAGATTGATTAGTTCTGAGACATGGTGAAGTTTCTACCTGGGGTCCTGTTGCCCCTGGAACCCCGATGTCACCCTTCAAGCCATTTTCTCCTCTATCACCCTACAGGAATAGAGAAAACGAAGTTATTCTCCAGAATCCTTGATATCTCATCCTGAAAATTCAAGCCATTACTTCAGCAAACAAAATTACGTCAAAACCCTGCACAACCTTTAGGAAGAAAGACAACAAAGGCAGAAACAAGCATGATTGGCATCATTCAAAAATGCATGCAGGCCACTGGTATTTTTACAACTATGGTTTAATAATATAAACACATGGGGAGGAGAAATCCTCTCCAACCAATGACAACACCAACCCTGATTTTTCACCCTTTCCAAGCTTCCAGTCATACCTTCCCTCCCTTCATTCCAGGCAAGCCTTGCTCTCCTACATCCCCCTTCTTCCCTTCAGGGCCTGGTGTGCCTGGTATACCATCGCGCCCAGCTGTTCCATTCAAACCCTGAGAAAAAAATATTTGGGAGAGAGAACATCTAACGATTGAACATGAATGTGGAACTTCTTAATGCAATTTTTAAATATGATCTTTGGACTTAATTTCATGTAACTCACAATTTAACTCCCTCTTGCAATCATCCACAACTTTAAGATACTGCAAAGCAACATCTTTTACATTTCCTCAAGTTGAAGAAATAAATGCGCAGGCAATAAAGGGAACAATGTTTCCATGTTGAACAAAATCCTAAAGCTCTTACCATTCTCAGTTCATTGATCCCCATAAATAAATGTTTGAAAAGGCAGTTAGACCTGCAGGTTTTCTTCTTATAAAAGTAATTCACATAATCCAAGCACATGTAATTACTTTTTGTTAAATTAAAACAAATAAAACTTTACAGGCCACTAACTTCACATACATGTAGCTCTGTTTGCAAAAGTAACAAGACAGACAAATTTTACCAAAGCAGACCCAAACTAATGGCTAATTTCCATATGTGGGTCTGGCTTGAAATACCAATAGTGTTTCCAGATGCATCTGGTTAAGACCTGAGAAAAGTGAATGTTAGGCAAAACAAACATTCATGCAAAAAGCAAAATTCAGCAGGAAGTTACTTCATGTTAAGGCGAGTATTTTACAGAAAAAAAGGGGCAACATGACTAGCAAGGAATCATGACTTCATTGGTTCCGTGCAAGAAATGCCCTCTTGTGGCCAAACTATGAAAATCACTTCTGAGTATGATCACTTCACTGCCATTTCTGTAAAATTCATTCTCGTCAGATGACACTCCGCTGTACTCCACACATTTTGTGCACACTCAGTTGAAAAGCTCCTAAACCCAATTTTTAAACAAAAAAGTTCTAAGCTTAAATTCTAAACAACACTGAAAGCAAAACTTAACTGGTGTCAAAAAATTTCTTTACAAATTAAAAACGCCTGTGCTATCTTTACTTGTCAACATCGAACTGTCTATTTTTAATCCTCTTCCCCTTTTGAAGTTAAGAACCATAACTCTGATAGTTTGTCTACTTTTAAACTATTACAAACCATCATCAGCACATGCTCATTGATCCTATTATGAACCCTAATGCCATCATGACATGTTGTGGCATCCGTACTTGTATCTGAGTTCTTCTTCTCAGACTCCTAATCGTACTGATGAAATGTACTCAACCAAGACCCAGAGACTGTGGTACTCAAAGCATTATTAATACTGAAGTGATTTTTTTGTGTACTCATAACAAAGTCTGTGGACTACATGTATGTTGTTAATAAAAGCTGGCTGCTAGTCCTTCTGTTAGTACAATTTTTATCTATCAGTATTTGGCATTTTAATGTTAGTACTGCAGCACATTTTATGAAACTATAATTTTCGGGTCAAAACAAATTGCAAGTTTGTTCAATATTGGACTGGCTGTGTTTCATTGATCCCTCCTTGCTACTTATATGTACTTCTTGAGTGTCAATACCTGCAGATATAATAAGCCATATTATTTCAACAAAAACGTTTTAGTTTCCAAGCATCAACTTTCTCAATTCGAGCAGAAGCATGTCTGCATTTTCCTTTTGTAATTGAAAACACCCAGATAATAAACTCCCAAGAAAGCTATCTCCCAACCATAAATAATATGGCCAAAGTGTCTACAAATGTTTACTTGTGCTGTATCAGACTTATGCCTGATTGGAGTTTAATGCAGATGGATTACATCTCACAAGCATTGCCGTATTATTATTAATTTACACTCCTTTGTCTGAATACAGAATGCATGCCATTGTTTGTTTGTTTGGCTTTTTAAAAGCAGAAAGTCATAGAAGTCTTTTGAGTTGAGTTATTTGCTAATAGAGTCCTATTACTGATGTTCCTTTATCTCCTTTTTACAGTTAGTTAGTAAGTTGGTCTAGAGACCAGAGCCGTTCCATCTCAAGTTAATGCTCGTTAGGAGGGTTCAGCAGCCCTTGGGGGTGGGGAGGTCACATGCTCATCACATGCTACCACGTACCCTCTTGCCCCTGCGCCCTGATTTGCCCAAGACGCCCTTCTGGCCCCGTGGGCCACGCATTCCCTAGAGAACAAAATACAGGCTGGCTCAAAATGTCTGGCTAAAAAAGCAGTCGTCTTTCAAGAGTTAGTCTAGTCAATGCAGAGGTTTTTCCTTGTCTCTGCTAATGAATGGTTCAATTCAGAGATGGCTAATTGTTGTGGTTGTTAATTTGAACTCAGATCTTCTGGTTGCTTGAGACACATCCTGTATGTATCTTTCTTCTTGATCTAAACGTAACTGATTTTCTTTTTTTGTCTTCCGAGACAATGTACTGGTTTATACAACTAGTTCTGTTTCTAACAACATTTGGTGTCATTAATTCACTGTCCGAAGCATACAACAAATTACACAGATCAAAAGTCTTTATTTTGTTAAAATTAGTCTGGGAGTTTTTGAATTTTCACTTTTTCAGTGTAATTTTCAGGAACTTGCTGTTCTAACATTCAGCCTTTCATCACAGTGGATTTAGTTCACCTATATGCAAACGATGAAGTTATGTTCACTTATGAATTGGACATACATGTAGGCAGCAATTTATCGCAGGAAAATAGTTTCACTCAAAGTGAAGGATGCTTTATCTATGGGTGTCTACTTTAATATTCTTGAAGCATTTTGCGGACTGGACAGAATCTACAGTGCCATGAAGCTTTGAGAAGAGTTACAATGTGAAAAGTGATGGTGCAAAGGTTAAAAATGAAATGATGCAAACTACATCACTACTATAAAAGCTCTACAAACAATGTCATGTGAACGGTCCTACTCACTGCCACAATTTGAGACCTGACAGGCTAAAGATGTCAGCCACAAAACAAAGCAAAAGGCAATGCGTTCAGTTTCTGCATTGTCAGTAAAACAATGACATATTCTGAATTCTGAGTCATTTAAATTAATAATCAATGAATAATTCATGTTTCTTACAGGCAAGCCTCTTTCTCCAGGAAGACCGATGTCACCGGTGTCACCCTTGTCTCCAGGTGGCCCCTGCAAAGAGACAGAAACAACATTTTTTTCACATTGTCAATGCTACTTTGGCTGCCATCTTTGCATCTTCAAAACATTCTTCAACTGATAAGTATCACATAAAGCAATGACCATACATTCCAAGTCATGCTCAGACAGTGGCAATAAACTACTCATCAAACAGCTGACAGCAACTTCCACTGGCTTGTAACCAAAAGTCACAGAGAAATACAGAGTGACTGTACCAACTCAAGAACTGTTTCATGCATGATTCTTTCTCACCTGCATGATACCAAGTTCACTGACGATAGGGCCAGCATTGCCCTTTTGTCCCTTCACAGGATGCATGAAAAAGAGAATGGTTTTTGTTGAAAGGGGAAAAATACAGAATTCTTCCAAAAACTATTGCAACAATTGATCTCACATTTCAAACTGCATGAGAGGCCACAACTCAGATGATGCAGTGAGCACCATTTAAAAGTGATACAGTCTCACATGACGGCTCTCAAGCCTAGGTTACACAGCGCCCTCAATTGTTCACGCACAGACCCGATAAACGCTTTTCTTAAGTGGATCTGTCCATTGTTCTTACCTGAGGTCCTGGCAGTCCAGGCTGTCCAATTTGTCCAGGCAGACCTGGTTCACCCGCAGCACCCTGGAGAAGTGGGGGGAAAAAATGATTTTGACAGATTTGACATAACAATAGTTCAGCCAAAGCCACTTTCCTAACTGGCTAGTTTTGTCCTTCTTCAGATTTTCTTTGAAGTGAATTGATCACAATGCATTCTTTACAATGTCTGTTAGAGAGAAAAAATTCTGTATCTAGTTTTTTTCAAACTACATTTCAATATTCCTGTCATCAGGTCTATTTGTTAAAGCGTTTTCTAAATATATTTCTATTTCTCAGTCAAAACAATAAAGCTCAATAAACCAAAGTTTTTTTAATCATGTTGAAACACGTTTGTGATAATTTTCCCCTTAATTCTGACAATATGTCCAAAAGGTCACAGTTCTAATTTCTAGTTGGTACAATGCTAAGATTGACCATTCATGAAAACTCTGTGTTTACCTTCATTCCATCTCGTCCAGGATCCCCAGGTGGTCCTGCTGGGCCAACAGGTCCTGGCGGTCCCTGCAACAGCTCAGCATTGGTTCCCATATCACCCTTTTCTCCCTGAACACAAACAGGAACATAATTTAGTAGGGAATCACAAGACAGGGTTATCCAGGAATAATTTGTGTTCCTCTCTGGGGCAAGCTTCCCATGGCCACAGACTCGAGGTAGACTAGCGTCATCCAGCAGTAAGTAAGATCGACAAGGACCAGTTAAAAGATTTGGATATTTTGGTTGCGAATTAGTGACGCTATTAAAGAGCGACACAGGGCAAACTTAGCCTCTTCATTTACTGTAAGGAGCATTGATGACATAAAAGGGAGGATGTGCCCTACATGTACCCACATGTTATAACAGTCCTAATGGTTGTCAGAATTCCCCAACAAGTTTTAAACCTCCAAATTCTGCCCTCTGTTGGATTCTTTAGATATACCCCATGTTTCTCACCTTTTCTCCTGGTAATCCTGGGAGACCTGCTGAGCCTGGCAAACCCTGTAAAAGAGTAAAAAACTTAAAGCCTTAATCTTACTCATGAGGAAGTCTCGGTTGGGCTTATTCCTCTATCTTTAAATTGATACTCGCTCCCAAATAGAATTTTGAATAGTTTAAGAGTACAAGCATATAATTCTTGCATGAACACTTGAATGTATTTACATTTTATAATTTAGATTTATAAGTGGAGCATTCAACTTTCATTTACGGATTCCAAATTGTTCATGCTGTTGCATTTCTCCAAAAAATGTCGAAATGCGTGTGACAATAAATGGAACATTGAATAATTCCATCATGATTCACAACTGATTTGTTTAATCAGACCACAATTCCTGCGTTAGTTGTTCTGCAAAATTTCAACTCACACTCACCATAGGCCCCTCTCTGCCAGGTTCACCTTTGTCTCCTGCGGGTCCCTGAAAAAACATGAAATAAAAATCCACTTTTCGCTGACCACTCTCTACAAACAACATGCCCACTGCTACATTTTTGCAGCCAGAAAAACGTTTATTATTGCCCCAGAAAGCAGAAGTTATGGATTCAAGTTGCAACTTATCACCTAGCCTGTGAGGTTTTGATCAAAAGCTCCCCCAAATCAACATACTTCAACTTGAAAACAGTAGCACAAGCGAGGGACTGGTATTTTCTGAACAAGTTAAGGGGGCCATATAATAGAAACATTTTACTGAATTTTACTAATACCCTTTGGGTGTCAATTAACCTAATTATAAATTATAAATTGTTTGGCTATTTCAACCCATATTTTGGGCTCCTCTGGATTTTATGCTCATTAACATATTCATATTCATGAGCAAAACTATGATGTCATGCAAGGCACTTAACCTCAATGTTGTACTGATTTATGCACAAAGAATTTCTAAATTTTTTTCAACACTGCTATTGTAGATTTTACTTCCTTCGGCACTCTATGTTATGTAAGTATATGGCTTTAAGATAATGAGCAACCCTTTCTCAGAAATGTTTTCAAGTAGCAAATTTGGAGTTCACAGTTCGAACATGGAAACATGCAAACTGAGCAATGTGTTCCTAGAGTTATATCAACACAAAAGCGCCCTCACTTGTCCAGAAATGCTAGGTCAATTTGAAATAAATGTTTTAAAAGTGTACTTTTCAGTTCGTGTAACTCAAAAGAAGATTCCATGGAGTCTTCATACACTGAAGAAGAGTACAGACACACAAAAAAGTGATTCTAAGAAAAATGCATTGCATGGATCCTTTAAGTCACAATGTTGAAAGTTAAGCCACATTTCAACAAGTGTGCATATGTTTTAGTCTATTCCTATGGAGAGTTTAGGTCAAGAAATCATAACCGACCTAATATGCAATTAACAAGAAACAGGAACTGTACATGTACGGTACATGGAAAGCTAGCTCAAGGCAAACTTACATGTACTGGGCAACAGCTGGATCTATGTTTCAATATTGGAGCCACTACCCAGTGGCCAAGCCAGTTCCGAACGACTTCTCGTGTATTACCATTAGCCAAAGCCATGTTATATGTACACAGCCTTAAGACTTGTACTCACCAGTGGTCCAATGTTGCCATCTCTCCCATCCTCACCATTCATGCCTGGTAACCCATTGGTTCCATTGATGCCATCTCTCCCTGGTACCCCGGGGGGACCTTGAAGTCCCATCATGCCTGGGTCTCCCTTTTCACCCTGCAAAGGCAATTATGATCATCCAATCACCTTTAAACGGCATCTTCTGCATTTTCATGAGGGCACCTGAACAAGTCAGTTTCAAGAATGATACCCAATGAGTTTAAACTATACCTATGCATTATGAGTATGCATATTCATGAGTTGTATTGCAAAAAGTCCAATCCCAGGATGTATGCTGGAAGCTTTTCACATGCTTCCATACAATCTATTAATAATTCATGACTGGCAATTTCAGAGGTAGTCACTTCCTTTGGATTAAGATTTATGCGTCTGAATGAAAGATTCAACAGGTCACAACTACATACCAGCTCAACGTTTGACAGGATGAATTTGTCTTTTACCTTAATTGTTACAATTTTCATATGAGTGTCTGGATCATAGCTGGTACCTGGCGGCCCAGGTGGTCCCACTGGCCCCTGCAATAAAATGTAACGGATACATACATAATGTTAGTTTCGCAATTTTGCATCTTTGCAAAGAGGAACATTTGCCTCCAAAGCACACCAACAGCAATCTTGAAAAAAAACGACACATGCACACTTGCTGCAAAAATTAAAACAGGTGGCAAAACGCAACTAAACATAATCATCAATGCCATGATGTAGGTTCAATTTGCCACTAGAATATATACATGTATTAACCATCGATCGTATTTATCCTCAAGATATTTCATGCTTATTTTCAATTCTGCAAAATCTAGCAAAGGCAAAGAAATTCAAAAACTTGGTTTTAGGATCAGTGTATCAAGTGCTTTTTCTTGACAAGTATTGTGAAAGTCCTTAGAGTGAAAAGAGAGAACTCACATCCAAGCCGGGTTCTCCCATTAAACCCTCTTGACCCTGAAAGAACCAAAAAACCGTAAGAATACAATAACCACAAACTAGAAATAAAGTATTAAATACAAAATGATGAGTGTCTGGGCAAAGCACGCAACAAAGTACCTTTTGCACTGATGCTCGTTACAGTTAACAAAGTGATTGATACATGTACATCATGCATAGTGGTTGCTTCACTAACAGAGTATGTACAATCACAAATCCGTTTCATGTAAGGCATGAACAAAATAGATGAATATTCAGTAAGATGACCTACCTTTTGACCTCTGTCACCCTTCTGTCCCCTGTCACCCTATTTTAAAAAAGCAAAAAAAGAACAATTTCTTTTTTTAAGATTTAACCTTTTCATGGTGCACAATGGCAAACAGAATTCTTGGCTGTTTTAGGCCGAGCACTGAAAACGTGGAGCAGTTTACAATACACGTAACTGACAAAGTTCAACTTTTGTCAACTCCCAGTATGTTGAGAGACTGCCTTAAAATTCAGTAGATTTCTGTTTTAAAATACTGTGTAACTAGGCTCTTGTATTTTAGCACAAAAAGGGTGTGTTTTTAACTGAAATTGACTGTTCTTTGGTACAAACTCACCAAATAGGTGTTCCAAGTTCATGCGCATTGGCATGGGGCACGCTGAGTGCATGCCACAAACTTATGCTGGAATGCACATGTATGGTTTTTGCGTTCACGTCAATTTTGTGCAAGAACCCCGTTGGAAAACTTCTTAGTACCAGCCTGTCTTTCTTTTTCCAGTGAGGGTGTACCTCAACTCAGGGTGGATAAGATTTATTACAGAAATATTGGATCTAGACCAGATTTAAAGGCAACTTTACCATCACAGCTGTAGAGGTATCAAATGATTCCCATACATCACCAGCTAATGAAAAATGTCAGAAAATTGCCTGAATGGACAGCTTATAGCATGCCACACACACAGGGATATAATCAATTATCGGCCACTGAGTGGGTCTCAGGAGACATCAAAGACCCTTGTATCTCAATGAATTCAGTATTCAAAATACACAACCGGTGGTGTGACTAATGGGAGGTTGATCCCATGAGTCTGAAACCAGTCTTTAAGAGATAACCATGGCTATTTATGGCAAGAAGTTCATTCACTTCTAAACAAGTGTCACCTAGGCCATCAGGGAGACTAGAATGTCTTCCCAAGATGATCCTAGTTCTTAATCAGCAGGAAAATATCTGAAACGGCAAGAAACAGTACTTCATCTAATTTGATGAAAGCTTCACAAATGGAGTGTTATTCATGATGTTTTACCACCTATACAACTGATGTTTGGACAACTATGATGATTTCTGTAACACAGTCTTCAAAGATAAATTTATCACTGCTTTTATGTAGGCAGTTTAGAAGTTGCGTAAGTTGATATTAATGTGACACAGTAGGACAAATTTCAATCATTTCACATTACTAACTGCACTTCAAGTATTTCTAAGAAAAAAGTTTAATTTCCAGAGCAAAGTTAGAAAAACCTAGAATATTTCAGGCCTGTAAAAAATGATGGATATTTTGAAAGATATACAAGGTAAATACACATGACTACATGCCTTGTATATTTCCACTAATGATTTTGTTGTCATCTGCACTCGGCCAGCACTTACAAGGTCTAAGCACAGGCCCTTATCTCAATGTCACCTCACCAAGAGATGGCCAAGCATTGTTGAAGTTGTTTTCAGACAAAACATGCTTCAATTTTCACATCAATTAGACCATTTCCTCTACAGATTTAGCCAAGATGGGAGTTCCTGCCATCTCCCAACCCCCAAAAGATTTCTAATAGGACAGTCAAGGAGATTTAATCTGTCTCCCATGGGCAGACGACACGCCATTCTCAGGGGCATTTGTAAAGCAAGCAGGCAGGCAGGCAGGCAACATTCGTGGTAATGCAGAGGTCCCGATTGAATACTGACGGATATGGATGTTCCCTTGTGAGTATTGGTCCATGTACATGTATCTCAAGACAAGGGGACCAGGGAAGAGGGTTAGCCAAGGGGTGGATTAGGATAATAAAGTGCCAAGTGAGTGGGGATGAGGGTTCCTTCCTTCTACAAACCCTCTTAGAATCCACAATGCTTTCCTGTGTGATGTGACATTAACCAGGCACGAACAGCACTCTGTCAAGAATACACTGGCAAGACAATCTTATCAGTGGAGTTTCCTAATGAAACAACTTCAAGTGAAGACTTCCAACTTCAGTAAGACTACATAGAATGTCTCCTAGAATTCCTAGGAAAGTTTTGCACAAAATCAAGATAGCAAATATTTCAAACAGATCAGACAGCCTACCTTCTCCCCTCGTTTTCCTTCTGGACCCTACCAAAGACAAAAATACACATAATTTAAAAATGCAATCTTGAATAAAAGTGGTGTTGACATTTTGTCATTAACAGTTCGGACATATATTAAAGACACAGGCTTGTAATCAGTGTAGGTCTTTCAAAAAAGGCAAGGAATAGAAAAAAACAAAACTGGAACTTAAATTGCTAACTCTGATTCAATTTGGGACTTAAAAAAAAGCCAATGATGGGATTCCCACTAACAACGCCAGGAAATCATACTATTGATATGGAGGTCCTTGGCTCCAATCCTCATGTCATGTTTCTTCATTCAAAGTAATTACAGCTGAACAAAAGCACTGCACTGTTTTACACTGGGCTGAAATTGAGGTTCATATGCAACCATCTTTCAAATTCTTGAGTCATTTTTCATGAACACAAAATCAACAGTAAATTATTAAGAACTAAGCTTACCATTGGACCAGTCATTCCAGCCAGACCAGGTTGTCCAGACAAGCCCCTCTCTCCCTGTTTGGAGAAAAGCAGACCAGAATAAAACCAGTCGGTACATGCAAGCCTTGCTTGTTAACTAGTCGTCCTTTTATTAACAAATATCAACTAGGAATGAACAAAGTCAGTTCGTGATAATAAAACAGGAAACCTTGTGTAATGGTTACCGTATCTCTGTGGGAATAAGGATACAGTCCAAAGATGCTTATGTTGAAGATGTGAAGCACTAAAGCCTGGCAACAACTCAAACCCATCTTCATTTTATAAATTCTGAATAGGTGAGTCCTATTCACTCACCGACATGGTGGGTTTGAACAGATTAAGGTCAAATCTTAATTCTCAAGCATGAATTTTCTGTTTGCATACACCCTTAGCAAAGGCATTCGAGCATGAAGTATGCTCCGTCTTTCTTGAATATGTGAAATAGCAATATCAACATTCCTGGGCATATCCAACCGTGAAGAGGGATTGACTCTGTTCCTAAAGGTCAACAGCTCTGACACTTTTTTTCATAATCTGAAAATACATGATTCCAAAGCTTTCTGCATCTTACCTTTTGTCCAGGTTTTCCAGTTATCCCTGGAACTCCGTTGTAGCCCTAAATTAGATTATGGAAAGGAAATGTTTCTTCAGTCAACTTGCACAAATCAGACGTAAGCATATTTTTGGAACATGTCAATTCGATAAGAATAAATCAAAGCTGTCTAAAATGAGCTTTTTAGTCACAAACACTGACACAGCTCCGTGAGTGAAAAGGAAGGAATGATTAGGGCTTACCGATCTGCCTGGGCTACCCAAATCACCCTGGAATGGACAAAAAATTACAATCAATCAAAATCATGAACCTTTGAGTCATTCAAACTTCAGAGAAGTCTCTTCCTAATCATGATAGAAGTCTGAAACTGAAACTAAAGCCTGGGTTTGACAAGGTTTTTAACCATAGAAGCCAAGATCTTGATGACTGTATCTTTAGGCAAGAAGTCATGTGACCTGTGACAGGATTCTCCTGTACACATCCAAAGTGTTAACTTTCACTTACAGTTGATTTCAAAACTAAAACTCAAGAAAAGGATTGATGCAATATCATTCAGGCAGATATGCCCTAAGAAACAGAAGATTTCTGTAGGACTACGAGCATGATCCATAAACAAATACCTCTCAAAGGCGAATCGCAAGTACAAACAAAACCAAACAGCTACTCCATAACGTCAGGCAGCTTATCAATTTGGTTCGTAAGTGACTTCGTCACAAAAGGCAGATGCACCACGATTTGCTGAAGTTGCACGTTAACTTCCGCGTCCATAGTTCCACGTAAACGGTGATCAATGCATGTAACTCTATTTGCAGTGCATGTCCAGTGGGCGTGGTTTAAACTGAAGTGACATCACACGCACGAACCAGATAGACACAGCCAGTTTGTTAAAGTTGTGAATATGCATTATTTCACAACCAATGAGAAAGCTGGATTTAACCCCACCTTATCTCCTTTACTGCCAGGTTCTCCAGGAGACCCTGGGGGGCCAGGAAGTCCTCTGATGCCTACACCTGGGGATCCAATTTCACCTTTGCTGCCTGGGTAACCAGGTTGGCCAATGGGACCTGGCATCCCAGGGGGACCCTAAGTGGAAAAAAGCAGGTGAAAACATTGACTATCTGAGGCATACATCGATGCTGCAAATATTAACTAGAAAAAAATTAGGAACTTGCTGACTTGTTGGGCCATATTGTACTTCTCAAAACTCACTGAAAGCGGCAGAGCATGACACTTTTTCTGAAAATCTCTCAAAAATCTGGTCCTGGGAAATCTTAGCATTCAACCCTCGTTTCTGTACACTTCAACATCTGTCAAGTCCCTGGCCTGTCTTTACATCTACAAAGGTGCCTAGTCTCTGGCCTGTCTTTACATCTACAAAGGTGCCTAGTCTCTGGCCTGTCTTGACATCTACAAAGGTGCCTAGTCTCTGGCCTGTCTTTACATCTACAAAGGTGCCTACACTGATGTTCTGATCTCCGTTCAAAACAACATTCCACTTGTTCTTCTTGGAACAACCTCTGTCCTCACCAGCCTCTGTTCTGAGGTCATTCACCCCACACCTTGTTTTTCTTCTAGGATCCCACCCTAATCAACCAACAGAAGTCTCTCTGCTTGGCTGACACCCAAACAATGTCTGCCTGTGATCATCTTAAAGGCTAGGAACAGCAGGTGGGCTCCATGCACCTAATACATCAAGGAATGTCAGGTGCTTCGGCCAATGGCTTTGTGTCCCGGTTACCGGCCAGAGGTGTAAGAGACTTTCTAGGTCAAGAAACTGGTCACAATTATGAGATCATCAGCTGATTTCATCATGTGATGAATTGGAAGCTTCGCATGGTGAGGCTTAAGGCAGGATTTTACTGGAAGCAACACTGAGCAGTAAAGAAAGTGTTTCTCAGAATTGCTGGGCAACTATGCTGATCAGGACCCAATTTAATGACTTTTTGACTGCAAGAGAAGGGTGTTAATGACCTACAGCATAACATTTCTCAGTCAGCCTTTTACACAGGATAAAAAAGAATCCTGGCTTACCCACATGCCTACACCTGCTAAATGGGTCAGCTGGCCATTGGCAGACTTAATCACAAAACTCAAATCATGTGGCTCAGAATCCCTCAGGTAATACCTGTATTTTTCAAGGGGTCCTGTTTATCTGCATTATGTAAGTGCTTCTACCCTAACCTGTCAAATCCTGACTAGCACTTGATCTATCAATGTCTATGAGACACATGCAGTATTGAATCTGTACATACCTGTGAACCAATGCCAACTTCTCCTTTAATGCCAATAGGTCCCTGGAAATGAAAAGCCAACCAAATCACTTTGATCTTGCGACATTTGTAAAGGGCACCTGTTATCAGAAACACCTTACAGCAGAAAGCATTTGACATTTCTTGCTCAAAATTAAACCAGTTGTTGCACTTACCATACATGTGTTCTGGTGTCTTTACAACAGAAAGGACAAAAACATGTACGGTAAATACATGTGCTCTGGTGTCTTTACAACAGAAAGGACAAAAACATGTACGGTAAATACATGTGTTCTGGTGTCTTTACAACAGAAAGGACAAAAACCGGAACCATGTTCCAAAAGTGAAAAATAATTTTTGGTTCCACAACAGAGCTACATATATGTATAGCTCTTCTTTTAACCAGTTGTTGACGAGTACATGTAACTAATAGCAAATGAAAAGATACTCACAGGAAAGCCAGTTGAACCTGCCAAGAGAAACAGACATGGAAGAATTACTCATTACTTTAAAGAAAACAGACAAGTGTTTAATGCAACAGGTCACAGTGGCAATGTGCTTGTCTAGTGTGTGGACTAATGGGTTCTTTGCTCTGCTGTTAGGAGAGTCTTCCTCACAAAATTCTAGTCGGCAAATTTGCATATCTCTCATTGTTTCACAAACTGGTGTGACTGTGCAAGTCCACTGGGCTCAGTGCAACTGCAAACAGCACCATGTTGCCTGCCAACAAGACTCAAACAAGGGCAATGGCTTTAGAATTTCTTAATTCTAGTCTACTTTCGAGTGCTTGGTGTATGAGACCAAATGGTTGTGCTAATTGTACTGTGTATCACTACAAAGTGCAAGAGTAAATCAAAAATGGAAGGAAGTACAAAAGAACCCGTCATTTAAAAAGAAATGTTGGCATTTTTTTATCATTTCGGTTCCATTCAATGATCAAATTTGAACGAAAGTGAAAGCAAAGAAAAGCATACATTTCTTCTTCCTTTTTTGCATTTTTTGGAATGTTTGATTAAAATGCATTATGGCTCCTTCTACACAAATAATTCCAGCTACATGCTTGGAAAACAGAACAAAACAAAATGGTAACTCTACGTGAACTGAAGAACCACACTGAAAGTACATTTTTTCCAGAATAAATTGCAGTACAAATGTAGCAAAGATAAACTTAGATCAGACAAGTTTTAATAATGGATAAACATTACTTTTATCAAAAGAGACAAACGTCAGACTATAATCCCAGATGCCTTTCTTGTATTTATTCTGCAGCTATTCTTGAAACGCTTTCAGAAGTGGTTCTTTATTTTTATTATTAGGAACAAGGATAACTCATTCCCGGGTAAGATCATTTCATGAATCTACGAGTAAGCTTCACACTGTTAGGAGCAGACGGCAGGTCGGATGGCGAACGTTAAACAACTAAACTGACCAACAAACGGTGTTAATGGAGAAGCTACCAAAACTCTACATTCCACACAAGCAGCAAAGTACCGACAAGTGTAATCCTTTCTCATTTTCAATTTGTAATGATTTTGCATGACATCACAATGTAGCAGTGAATTAGAATACTGTTACTAAATATGCAAATCTGATGTGTCTGCTCTAATAAAGGCAAAATTTGAAGCTGGACACAATGTTACATCATGACAGAATTGCTGATACCATCAGAAATACACAAAGCAATGAAGAGATGTGATGTAATAGAAACGAAGCAAAGAAAAACAACTGAAATTGAATGATCTACATGTATGCACCGTAGAAATGAAAAAAGCATGAACTGCATTTCTTTTAAATTTCAAAAAAGCAACAGAAATTAATATGAAAGTGAAAATCATCATTTGTTTGATAAGATGGTCTTTAAGGATGAGAACATTCAAAAAATCTCTTGTGGTTTGTTTTGCAAAACTCTCTGAAGACTTCCCTGTCTTAAACTGCAAAATATCACAGCTGAGATGAACTTTGAAGGCACACAACACCACAATATGCACTGTGCACAAGTACCCCCTCGTTGGTTGCAAAGAGAGAGGCTAGTGAGACAATCTAATGTCATTGCCTCTCTTGTTTATGTGTACACACCTGTAGAGAGGTAGTAATGTGGTATATTATGTGGTGCACTGATGTGGTATGCCTGTTTTAGGCCATGTCCACAAGTTAAGGATGTGGCTGCAAATGACACATGCACTCATAGAAGCCCCTGACTTCAGCTAATTCCCCATAGACAAGTGTGTTACTGGCAGCCACAGCCAATTGATTTGGACAAGGCCTTGTGCAGAATGTGACAATGCAGCACTACTGTGGTGTTTTTAGCTAGTTTGAAATAAAAGGAAATGGGGTTAGTACACAAAGGCTAAGAAATGGGTTAGCGATGGAGAGATTTGAAAGAATGTGAAAACACACGGGATTGAGCCGAACCTTGTTCACCTTTTTTACCTCTCCGTCCTTTCTCGCCGGGGAAACCTCGAAGACCTGGGGTACCTGGGGGCCCTGGAGACAGTGGAATGATAGAACAGGCAAAACAAAAATCAACACAGTGCGAGTACAACACCACATTCAGAATGCAACACCATCACCGAGAAATTTACACCAAAAACAGACATCAACCTGCTGACTTTCATACAACATGTATGAGGTTGTGGAACATAATCAAATAAAATACCATAGCTTTGAAGTTGGACGTTCTTAGATGTAGTAGCATGCTTGACCATGTATGCCCTAAATACAAAATAAGCACCAAATATCTTCTTAGTATATATTTTTTGTTCTTTTTACACGTACAACATTACACAACAAGTCAGAACATTGGGCAAGGTACCGGTATGCGCATACCACAGGGTACCAGTATGCGCATACTAGTATATTAAGCTTTTCCATGGTCCCGATGACTGATAACATTTGCATTCTGTTCTACTGCAATCTTTCCAGGCTCACACTCACAGATCCACAAATCTTTCGACTTCCAAAAAAGTTGGTTCTTCTGGAAAACAATATTTCATAAAGACTATGTCTCGTCATGAATCACGAAGAAAAACTCGGGCAATCAGTCTCGCCCTACACTTCTTTTATTAGAACATCTCCCCAAAATAAATAGGAGGTTAGTTTTTCATAGTTCAGGTATGCTTCATAACACCCAAATGTAAACGGCATATAGCTTGCCTCTGTACCCAAATAAACAAGATATCTGTAATTCTCATGTGGACCACAAAAGTCGCACGAACATTTCATAAATTTTCGCGGTATGTTTTTGTACAGTTATTTCAGAGCTCATGTGCTGGTTACTGACAAATTCAACGTTATTTTAAGATGACGTGCTTTTATATTTAGTCTGAATAGACGTTGTCAAAATATGTCAAAACACTTCATCATGAGAAAACATTTAACTAGTACATTAAAATGTTAACTGCAGAGACAAAACCGAAGGAAACAGATTTGAAATATGTCATTTCAAACATATCAAACAATTTCACAATTCTGAAAAAGGTAAATGTACATGTATTTGTCAAAGTTCACTGTACCAATTTGATTAACAAATGTTTGGCATTTTTCTTTTATTTTTAATGGGATAAGATATGATATCGTGCAGACTTCTTTAAGTAGAAGATGTCCTTTTTATATGATGTAATTGTTTCTCCTTCAGTAATCACTGGTTTGAGACATTCCTGCTGAGTCCTGAAAAATTTGAATTTTGTTTTTTTAATGGCTGTGAAATTACATGACAGCATTCATGATGAACCCAAATTACGATGTGCTCACGTAGAGATCACAGACATCGGCCCATCAGGCCACCATCTTTAAAAGTTAAATACCAGAAACATTTATTTTCTGACACCTACATGTATCTTTGAATTGCGTGCGTGCGTAACAGAGTAGCCAACTGCATTGTACATGATCTACAGACTGGCCCGTGGAATGTAAATACAACTAGGTATATTTGTTTGGCTAACATTTACCAATTACCCAAAGTCTGGCTTGGAAGTTAGTCTTGAGACTACATTTCATTGTATAGCTTCCTGCGTGTCGTTATTTCGCCTGTCTCTGAAGTCATGCATCCATCTCACAACTGATGACAGAGCAAGCTTTATTCCTTTCCATATATCACAAAAGAATTTGTGCAAAGCATTGCAGCTGAAGATTGGATTGGAGAAAAGTACCAAGAAGAACCACATTTTGTAAAGGTGGATTCTATATTTGTGATTCAGAATTTCAAAAGATTTTGCTGAACTTGAAAGTTCCTCAAGAATATGCTCAGATCTTGGAAAATGACCCTGGAAGCCAGGCAGAATTTATAGAAGTAAGGCTATGGGTTGCAGGTGACTCTGCCGTAACAAAATGTGACGATAATATTAATCATAACATGTCCAAAAGCAAGGGAAGTTGAAACAAACATTCACCAGTAGTTTCCACCCTGATGAAGTGGAGTTTGGAGGACAGTAAAATAAGAGACAGGACCTATCCACTAGAAACCATCCACAGTCCGCCTAAAGTGCACTTGTCTTTCCATCAGTTACTGTCAGAGCTCCAAACAGTTAACTGGTACTTAGTCCTTTCCCTCCACATCAAAAAATGCACCCCTATCCAAGGCAAGCTTTTAGAACATCGCTTATGTCATGGTCTTTTAATGCATCTAAAATGCACTGTCATCAACTAAAGCCCACAAATCAGCTTCATCTATTGGCCTGCCTTTATCATCATTAAACATATTGGAAGAGAAAGAGAAGTACATGTAGCGGTATCCTCCTCTATGCATCTACCCTTCTTTCACCCTCCTCCAAAAGCAGTCACCGTATAAACACATCTTGACACAGATAACGGTGTCAATTTGCGCAGGAAACAACGGGCAGCTCAGCAGGCAGACGCAGCCCCTCTCAGGTGACACAGCCACCTGCCGGAGAGGAAGCGCCGGAGATTCGGGCAGGCTGAGTGACGGAAACTCCTTGAGAAGGCCAGTATTGTCTTTATCCCTGCCCATCAGGCAGACGTGACTGACAACTTACAAGGGAATCTCCTTCTGATGTATTTTCAGTGTGCCATTTCTCTGGAGCCTCCACTGAATATCTTACAATGACTACCACTGGATGGTCCTGGTTATTTGCAGCGGTTATACCCAACACATGAACAAAAAATTTAACATCCCGCGCCACTTGCAGATAAGTTCCAAACACCCAAGGTGAAACCCCTAATATCTGTCCAGGTATGCCCCATGTTTGGTAGTGCTGACAGCGCTTCCGTTTCAAGCAGGATTCCCTTAGATCAAGATAACCACGCTGTTTGAAACTCTGAGAGAATATAATACTAAAATCCTCCATATTAGAGGAACCAATTTCAATCTGGTTTAGTATTTTCACTGACTGTGAAGAAAAGATTTTTTTTTAATCATGCTTACAAGAAAAACATGTCAAAGCAAATAGCATAATGTGCATCTACATTGATCCAGTAGTCTTTTTAATAAGTGACTGTAATTTGCTGCATTGTGGAGGTAGTTAAGAGATGCCATGATTCTACTCTTATGCACTGTTACCCTGACTCCGTATATGTAATTTTCATATTGAAGCCACAGTGCACAATGAGTCCGAGGTCCTGTGAGATTTGCTCAAACTGTGGTTCCAGTCAAACCCATATTTGTGCCCCAGCCAGACAACCTGAGTATTTTATTTTCATACAATATCACGCTTTATGATGATAAATAACACTGTCCCGGGGAAACATAACTCTGGTTTCCGGCTGAAATCAATCTTGTTCGGGATTTTTTTTCTTTTCTGGACGAGGTACAAAATATGTGAGGCACACATCTCCAACTCATACCATGTGTGTCACACAAGACGGGCGTCTCTCAGGCACGATTTCCTGATGGACTTGCTGACTAAGAATACAAGTTAATCCATGAAGTCTCTACGAGCCAGATGGAGCCAAGTTTTCACTACGAGCTATCTGTGTGCCTTGGCAATCCCAAAGAGTAACAAGAAAAAAGGGCCATGGGTTCCCCAACGAGTTCAAACCCTGGATTAGAAAGTGATATTGGATTAAAGCATCACGTTATCACAGGATTTCAATGGAGGTTTAGATTTCTAAGATGGCTTGCAGATTGTTGATGAGTATTGTAATTTTTCTCATGAGCACTATTGAGACTTCCTCATTCAACTCCTCGACTAACTTCTAAACTCAGGATCGCCTCATGGTGAAGATTCCTGGACAGCTGTCTTACAAGTTAAGAGCTTGGTAGCACTGTTTCTTCTTCAACTTCTCAGTGTAAACCATCGTTCAAAAAGTACAAATTATTGGTCTACTATCTGAGAGGGCACGGGTGATGCAACTTTTCCCTGGGAAATATGCCACCACCTAAGATGTATAAAAGGAAGCCTTTGACAATTGACAATATGGAGGATACTGCATTCAGTAAAAAAATTAAACGAAAGCACAGCACTGACGCTTGAAGTGTTTTTAAAATTGTACCAGCTGTGTCGGGTCATGACTCAACGATTTTGATCTGTAAAGTTTACACTACATGATAAAGTTTTCCACATAAGAAATTTGGACTTCAGTATACATGTGCAGTGTACGTGTGTACATGCACGGCAGGCTTGAGCATAATCGTAATCTTGCGACTCACGTATGAGAATTGAGGCCTTTCCTTTTATCTAGTCCCAAAGCTACCTCAATAACCAAGTAGGCCTACATGAATCTATGAATCAGCACGTATACAAGTAGCTTAGAATATATATGCCACAAAAATCTAAGCACCAACTGTCTTTGGTTTCCATGAAAGAATGCAAATCCATCCATTCCAAATGGGTCTTCTGAAACTCTTTGATCATGATCTGAAAGACTCTCCATGAAGAAAAAGGGAAGTCCAACAATTTTAAGAAGACAGACCTCAGACTTGGCTTTGAAAAGACTAGTCCTAGACTACCACTATCCCACAACTCTGGCCTATTTTTCAATAACCCATACTAAGCTTTAAATGACTGACCCAGGTGTTATGTCATCGACCCTTCCTTTTGACCCCTGACCTCTCTTATGATTCATCATTCTCATTACCCCGTTTCAAAGGATCAGAGACCCAACCTCAATATTTCTCCGGTCTGGAACCTCCTTTTTGGGGTGAAAAGTTGAAATTGGATGAACAAGACCTGAGTCAGAGTTCAGCTGGGAAACAAGTTGGAGACGAACTGTGGTTTTATTAATCTATGCTGTCATCTCCATTTCGTTCCTTGTGGGTCCTGCACATGTATGTCAATATTTTGTCTGTTACCACAGCAATGGATTTGAAGTGTCTAGAAATGACTACAACCAGAAGTATTACTTCCAATGAAATGTGGTGAACATTGATTTGACAGTGAAATTGCTGAAGAGAGTGCTTAAATGAAGCCATCACATCACGACATTGATACACTTGTTTCACACTTTTAACCAGGAAACTCAGATCAGATGCAGTGGTGTCGCTAGGATTTTACTAGTGGGGGGGAGGCACAATGGGAGAGGGGGGCACC